CAAGAAATATTTGCGCATCCTGTTGCCAATTGAAAGTGAATGTTAAGACACGGTCAGTTAAGGTGCATCTATAGGAACGCTGTACCGACGGAACCAAATCCTTTGAAATACTTTTATCGAACGTGATAATAGTTATACTCTTCCCTGTTGTCCACTCTGTCCAAACTTTACGTGTTTAGAATGGTCCAAAGGTCTTCCAGCCGGTCGCTAACGCAAGAAAGATGCAAGAAAGACTCCCTTTTACAACGGTCGCTTCACTTTTGAGTGGCTTCAGACCCTGAGTTCCCTCGAAAAACATGGCTTAGATGTGCAACTCGAGTATTTTTGGCCACTTCGCAACTCACTTTTTGCGTAGTTGGAAGGCATTGAGGAACTTGTAGAGATGGGAGGTTCGCGGACGTCGACATTATTGTATATATTGTGCTCGCTGGCGCTCTTTTGTCAGCCAGCTTTTGCATCGAGGTTGGCACCGACGCTGCTATTTCCAAACTCCGACGCAAGCGCTAACAAGCAAGAATTTTTGCTGCAGATGTGGAGCTCGAAATGGAGGCGTAATTTGCCCCTCTGGCCAGTGTTGTAGTCAGGTAACGTGATGTATTCCTTCCTGCGTATTTTTTTTGAAACTCACACGTCCTGCCAACAACTAGTTTGGATGGTGTTCATCAGGAGCCGAGTAAGTTTATTTGTAACGTTCTATTAATTTCATGGATTTTGAGATGTTGGAACTATAGTTTCTGTGGTGATGGCTGCCAGCCGTTATATTCTCAGGTATTTTTGTAAAAGGTCAAAGTTCCTTCAAGTTACACGACGTTGACCCATTTTTTCATTAGAGCTGTGATGTTCTTACTGGAATGTCAAAGTTCGTGGCCTCAATATCCAGTCTGGCAGCATGCACGGCTCCCAGCACCTTGTATTTTGGAGTATGCTACGCAGTTGGATCAACGAACGCACTGGGCTGGACATGGACTGGTAGTAATACTAGCTGGCAATGCCCATCGCCATCATGTGCTGTATCTTCGGGCACTTATGCGGGATGGTGCACTGGCGTTGGAGATACCACAAAGATACCCGGATCCGTTTGTACAAATGGTAGCTTCGTCTCAACCTGCCCATCCCCCAAAATAATGTACTTTGGAACATGCTACTCGGTTGGTCAATCAAACTCATTGGGATGGACTTGGTCTGCTGGTGGTTGGACGTGTCCTTCACCATCGTGTATGGTATCGACAGGCCCTTACGCTGGATGGTGTAGCTCCAATGGCGACAACACTAAAATGCCAGGGTTTAGATGTAATAGCGGTACTTTTGTATCAACGCAGCTGTGCAGCTGCTGTGCACCTAGTACTCTGTATTATGGGGTATGCTACGCTGTTGGTCAAACAAACAGTCTTGGATGGAAGTGGGATGGTAGCGCTTGGACATGTCCTGCCCCATCGTGTAGTGTAGGCTCAGGACAGTATTCTGGCTGGTGTACATCGGACGGCGATACGACAAAACTACCGGGTTACAAATGTAGTAGCGGTAACTTTGTCTCAACATCAACATGCGCCTCCCCCGGTATATCATATTTCGGAACCTGCTACTCTGTTGGCCAAGTAAACTCGCTGGGCTGGGTTTGGGGTGGTAGTAACAGTAGCTGGCAATGTGCTAGTCCATCGTGTGCCGTAACTTCAGGTCCTTACAACGGTTGGTGTGCAAGTAATCTAGACACCACGAAATTGTCTGGCTCCAAATGTGTTAATGGTGCATGGACAAGTCTGTGTCCTGCCGGGTCCACCTACTATCAAAATACCTGTTGGTCTGTGGGCCAAGTGAACAATTTTGGTTGGAGTATGAGTGCATCGGGGTAAGCTGCAGCATATAGCAAACTATCTTTTATAAGTCTAAATTGTTACTTTTAGCTGGATATGCCCCGCACCAAAGTGCGCTGTACCATCAGGTAGTTACCTACTCGGGTTTCTTTTTTGTTTTCTATGATTTGTTGTTTATATCACACCTCCCGTCCCGTCAGGCACTTATGCAGGGTACTGTGTTGATCAGGGCAACGCTGTCGCTCTCGCTGGAAATGTATGTACAAACGGCGTTTTGTCGGCCTGCTCGTCAACCAAAATCGATGACTTTAAGAGTTCGGCTGTGAACGCTCTTGGTGGCTCCTTCTTTGCGCAAGGCGCTTATAGTGGACTTTCGACTGGTGGTGGAGCACTTGCATTCAGTGTCAGAGCTCAGAGGTCTGGCGAAGGAGCGGCAATTCTTTACGAAAACTTTGGTGAGTCCTCAGTGATGAAAGATTTGGTGTCTTTATATGTTCTGAAAATCCGTCCTTCTGTAGGAGCCGGCTGTTACGACGCGTCATCAAAGTGAGTCAGTGCTGTTGTCGTACCATCGCAGGTCTTGTTTCTCATTTTTTTTGTTCGTGTAGGAACTTCCTTACCATCACCTTCAAAGCACCACCAGTCTCGCAATTCACCGTCGGTTTCGACGTTTCCAATGTTGGCAGCTGCTCAACTCCAGACGTGTTTGTCCAATACCCTACACCGATACGTATTGAAGCCACTGGTGAAATTCAGACAATCTCCATCAGTTTGCGTGGTGGACTGTTAGACACTGGCTCTCCTCAATATAGTATGTATTTGACGAACAACCACGATAAGTATGCAACTAACTAAAACACACGCCCCTCAATAGTCACTCGACTCAAGGATCTTTTTTTCACAAACTTTTTGGTGAATCCGACAACTGGAGGAACTTTTGTTTTTTACAGTATATCATTTGATGGATGTGCATACAAACCGCCTGGTCGCTCTCTGGTCAATCTAGAGCCCGCTACAAGGGGAATCATTTATGGAGCACACATAGTAAGTGTATTATGTCGCTTTCCATCTTCTTTACGCTAGGCTCACTAGTTCTTTTTGAACCAGCCCCTCGGCACTCCAACATCGACTGTCCCAGTAACTGATACCCCAGCGCAATATGTATCCCGTGTGCAAGGCTTTGCCAACTCGAACAATATTGGAGCTTTCAAAAACTTTTACCCCGGATCCTTTGGTTTTTGGGCAGATCTGAACTCTGGCTTCGACACGTGGAGTACGTCTTCTATCGTTATGGTCGAGATTTCTTAGAAACGTACTGACTATGCTTCATTTAGACATTTACTACATGTCGGGCTTGTTGAAAGGAACTGGAGCATCCATACAAGTAACTTTGACATTCTTTTCTGGTCTTGGAGCAGTGACAGCTAGTGCGATTGATACCCTCGCCAATGCTTGTCGAGACGCCAATAACAACGGAGTGGCAGTCTACTTGAGAATTGGAAATGAAATGAATGGAAACTGGTATCCTGTAAGTTACTGCACGAATCAAGCTTTCAAACCCACAAGAACTCACACGTTTGTATCCAGTGGGGAATGAAACCAACCCAGTATATATACACATACCGATGGATTACGAATGCTGTTCGAGCCAAGGCTCCTCAAACTGCAACCATCTTTTGTCGTAAGTTGTACTCTCCGACGAACTATCCGCAAAAAAATTGTCGGCATTCTTCAAAGTGTCGTTTCCTGATGAAATACTCACGAAAATTGTTGAAACCAAACAGCAAACTCTGTATCGCCAAGCGGCTATATTGGATGGTCGAGGTAAGAAACCAACAGAACACTTTTCTTGACACCGTCTGATGATTGATAAATTCGTCCTTTTATAGTGGTTTCCCAGGCTACGGCTCCACAGACTTCAATCTTCTAGATACCAACCACGACGGAAAGATTGATGGTATGCTTTTGGTCAAATGTCGTGAAGTATCGTACAACCATCATTAACAAGAATACTATAGGCTCCGACGATCCATTCTCGCCTTATTATCCTGGAGACGATGTTGTGGATTGGGTCGCACTGTCGTTTTACTGGAGAGGTCCAACTTGGCCCTGGAACAATAACAATTTGCCAGATTGGCAATACAGAATCATGGATGTACGTGATTCTCGTCGGTATTTCGTTTTGTTCATATCTTGAATCATGTATACTTATCACACTTACCGTGTCTCTCTATATTAGGAAATCACTGGAAATGGTTCGTCCACGTAAGTAGAAACAATAAGACACAGAATTCACAAAATGTGCAGGAGTGTTAACCAACTCTTCTTCAGATACAACATCTACCGTATTGCCGTAGCTCACGGCAAGCCATTCTGTCTTGGTGAAACTGGCCCGATATACCATATTGCTACCGGCTCATCAAGCAACAAACCGTCCGATAACTTTAACTATTTGCCAGCGGCAAAAGACTACAAGATTGCATACTATAGACAGCTGCTCTCCGCAGAAATGCGAGACTGGCAAGTACAAATCGCGCTTCCAAGTGTGGAGCAATGGGTCTAAACTTGTAACTTGGTTTTGTAGGATGCCCAACTTCAAAGCATTTTGGGAATGGGAGTACATCAAGTAAGTAACCAATTTCCATATTGTGAAAGTAATCAGGCTCGGATATCGTCGTTTTTAACACGTTTATTCGCATCATAGGTGGGAGGCAGGTTCCCAAGGTGATGAATGGCACGACACCCGTATGACGTACGACAGCAGTACAGCCGTTCAATTCTTCAACGACTTGAGTGCTATGCCGTCTGGCTATCTTCGATCAGCTGGAAACTGGCGCAATTGAATCAATTGCGTCTCCTGGGGCCTTTATCGGCAGCCCTTTCAAAAAAAAAGAACATTTAAACACTGATGCCTGAATCGGTCGAAATATATATGTTACATAATCGTGTAGGTAAAAAATGATGTCTTTGGTTTGGTCGCGATTGTTGAAAAGTAGAGTTTGGTGTTGAGGTGTAAGACAAGGAATGGAGACTACGCGAATTACACGCATGAAACACGAAAGAGCTCTGAGGGAGTTTGATGTTTTTGGTGGGTTTTTTAAAGATGGCTTGTAGCTCGTTGATTGCTCGAAACCACAAAGACGTCTAGTGATCCACCTGTAACTCCTTAACAAGAATATCATAACTACAATGGACACCGTGAGATCAGGCCTTGGGTACGTATGAAAGCCGGGTTCACTTGTCTAGTTTTTGTGGTGCGGCAATTCTCGTCGGAAACCATTGGAAGTCGTTTTCAAAGTCAGCGGAGGTTGTCATGTTGCAAATCGACACGCTGGAAGGGTGGAGGAGATGGATTTTGTCCAATTGTATACATGAAAGTGAGATACAGCCGTGCAACCCTTGTCACTTCTCTGGATACATCTATTGTGGCTGACATTTGCCTTTTGCTACCAAACATATTTGGAATGACGTTCAAACTTTAAAATCCATTGATACACGCATTAGACGAAATATCGACTTATGTCTGACTCTTTCGGTCGTTATCTATATAGTTCTGTATGGATGAGCCCACGGTTTATCTTGAGAGCGGTTGAATGGCTCTTTGCACTGATTGCCTTCTCTACTGCCGCATCTTATACCGGATTCTCGTATATTTCTGGCGCTATCGGATTTATGATCTTTGTTGGAGTACGTCGTCGTTGCAGAGATCTCTGTCTAAGTCTTCAAAGTGCCTGAAAACCAACGCAAACTCATAAAGTGGAAGATTGCAATATTTATGCCAAACTTAATACAATGCCTCAACGTAGGTATTGGCATGGCTGCTGGATATGGCCTTCATGGCCCTGTACATCTTTAGGCCAAATGCTGGCAGGAGTGTGCATTTCGTCGAGCTGATCATCTCGGCGCTTTGGACTTTCTTCTGGTTTGCTGCATGGGTGGCGATGGCTGCTCAAAATCTATGGTAAGAGATCAGACTAGCAGGCTTTGGCGGCCTGGCTTACCTTGCTGCCAAAATGCTCATAGTCTCATCTTTTGCACTTGTCAATTATAGCGGCGGACTTTGTAGCACATGGAACGCATCTATCGCTTTTGGTGCCTTCTCTATGGTAGCATGGGGAGTTTCTACTTTCATGGTCCTTCGAGAGTACCGCAAAGTTTAAAACTTTTAGGACTGCATTCGTTTTTGTGTTTGTGAGGTTATAATCATCAATATACGAGTCATTTTTATATGCAATAATATTTGTGACCTGGTTATCTACAAAAAAGGTATATGGTAGGCAGCAGTGTATCATTTGAGCATGGGAGCCACAACATTTTCTCGTACTTCAGCAATACGGGACTCCAGTTGCTAAAAGATATGAAAGGATCAGTTATTGGGTAGCTCAAACACGACGTGCTAAACGTTGAAACCACACCTTTGCTCTATTCACTAGATCAGTCAGCTTTCCTGATATCTGTTTACTGTTGGTTCTCGCGCTCGAGGGTGTTGGAATAGAGGATGCGGTAGTGCCAGGAGTGAATGATGGTGTTGTTGGACGTGTCAGGTGGCGAGCGACTTCCTCTTGTAGGTCTATAGAGCGACAAGTCAGCTTTGCAGCCAATGTTGCTTTCCAATTCCCAAGCCAAGTCGAAACATACCTCGAACTTCATCATGAAGCCTCTGATTGTCTTCAACAAGTTTGCCCTTGAGTTCAACCTCATGTTCTAGCAGTGTTATTCGCTCTAAACTCTTGTTGTAGCGACTTTCCCAGTCTGAAGAAGAAGACTCGTTGACTCGTAACGATTGTTGAAATTCGGCGTTCTGGATTTCCAAATCTCGCGTTTGGACCTTGTATTCGGCATCCTTTTTTCGTAGGATTTCGATTTCTGTTTCGAGGGTACTTATTGTCTTGTTTGTTTCGGCCTGGTAGGAGAGAAACCTTGCCTATATCATCGTTGTGATGTTAGAAACGACTCGCACGTATAAACACTTCACATACTACCTTCAGATCGTCCAAATCTCGCTTCACAGAATCCCTAGAAGCAGTCAGCACGTCGACCTCCTTTTCAAGGGCAGCCTGCGTGGATCAGAAGAGATCAAAAGGTCAGCACATATATAAGTGGATTTAACTTTAATTTGATCTGGAGACGTGGCACCTCTAGCTCTTGTGACTCCTTTCGAAATTCATCAAACTCTAATTGCAAGGATTCGTAGTGGTTCTGGCCACAAAGAGAACGAGGAAACAGGTCATCAATAAGGGCGCAAAAGTTAGGTAATTCTTCTTTCTTACATCGTCCATCTAGTGTGTGATAAGGTGAGAATGTTATAAGTTTTGTTCTCAAGCTTTCGCGAGCTCTTCACCAACCCAAAGCATCATCAAAACACTCACTACCAGACAAATTACATACCCTAGATAAATACCTGATATCAATAATGATCCTGCAGCTATGGCTCGTGGCCGTACTATTCCTATTTGGATCTGATAATGTTTTTGGAGTTGAGAGTCGACTGTTACACTCTAGGTTCCTGTCAACAGCTGCTACTCGCCAGGATTTGACATCTATACGTAATTTATCTGATTTACAAACCAACTTGTCTCTAAACTCATCGACATCCATACTTGATCCATTGCTGATTGAACGTGTAGCTGGGTCAGAGGGCAACCTGAAGGTGCAATCATATATCAAGACGTATATAAAGCAGCTTGGAGGGTGGACTATAGAGGAAGACTCGTTCAAGGACACAACGCCATATGGAGTAAAGCCATTCAACAATATAATCGCCACGTTTGATCCTAGTGCTGAGAGGAAACTAGTCGTCGCGGCACACTTTGACTCTAAATACTTTGAAAAAGGATTGTTTATTGGTGCTACGGACTCGGCTGTGCCGTGTGCGATACTGCTAGATGTCGCTAAAGCTCTGACGCCTCTGCTGCAACGACAATTGGACTTGACGCAACATGGGATACCCAATAATATACAGGATACCGTAAATGACTTCGCATTGGGTACATCAACGACACTGCAGCTCATCTTCTTTGATGGTGAAGAAGCATTTAAAGAGTGGTCTGCCACGGATTCCTTGTATGGAGCACGCCACCTCGCTAAAAAGTGGGATGAATCACATAAACTAGGCTCGATATCGTTATTTGTATTGTTGGACTTGTTGGGTGCTCCTGCTCCGTCGCTTGTAAATATGAATCAGAACACGGAATACGCTTGGAATCGTCTAGCTGACATCAACTCCAGGCTCACATTGTTGAATGTATTGGCTGGCACACATCGATACTTTAATCCCGGATCTAATTCTCAGTATTATGGTGGTGTAGAGGATGATCATAAACCCTTCCAGGAACGAGGAGTACCTGTAGTCCATGTCATTCCAGTCCCCTTCCCAAATGTATGGCACACGCTTCGAGATGATGCTACTGCCTTGGATATGTATGTAGTGCGAGACTTGGCTTTGATATTCAGGATCTTTGTATACGAGTATTTGGGGTTGGCAATACAATAATGGTATGGGTCGTGTCCAGGAAACGTATGTATATTATAAATGATTGCCACATAAGTTTGCATAAATATAATTTACGAATAGAGTATAAGTATTAGCTGTATGTACAATGGCTCTTTGACCCTATTTCTTATGTCCGACATGTCAGGGTGAAGTTTCAAGAGCTTCCAGTCTTGAAGCCAGCCGTTCATTAAACTTGTCACGATACAATGGACTGAGATGATTGAGCAGACTGTCCATGGATTCATAAGGGGGGTCAGAGTTGACCTAAAACGTCAAGATGCGCAGAGTTACTTGCTGAGTGTTTGATTCGTTTTTACGTCGCCTTACCACGAATCCAGTATCTTTAGCTTCAATGATGAAAGTTTGGCCTTCCAGAGTACACAGTTTGAGTGCCAACTCTTGGGTGCCCTTGTGCGCAGTATCCAATTCGAGCTCCTTCCTGGTTTTCGCGTCAATAATACGTATTGACTCCACTCCGAATCCATATTCACGAGCGGCCTGAATGATCTCGTCACGTCTGCTACTACTAGTTCCTTGCATCGCATTGGTTGCCAACACAATGGAGGTTTTGATGTTTTGAGGACTGTGAACAGATAAAGAATCACCAAAGGAACTGGCAGAAAAGGTATGAATATCGCGTCATTTATCATGCTGAATGTTTCAGTTACTTCAAACTATAGCTGCATGCCAAAGATCTACACCAAAAGTGAGCCCATCGTCATTTGTTGTTGTGCTTGATTCCTTCTCTCGGATGGTACCTTGTGGGTGCAGACATTCATAGATCATGCTCTATAATCATTAATGTCATAAACGCGGCGCAAACGCGGTATGATTGCTTCCTCGTGAGTGCTCCATTTTCTTCCTCGAACATTCTTTCAAACCTCGAGATTATAACTAACAACCAAAGCTAACTCTCAAGCGAGGTAAGTACCATAGCTACGTTGCAAGTCACATCAGAACGTATTCTAACTGCTTCGCTCTCTCATAGAACTACCAAGTTAAACTCAAGTGAGTGAAAAACCAAACACTCTTCGCCAAAAAACCAAATTCAGATTAGATTGCCATTCGATTCCTTGATTGAGTATTCAAAGAACATTCTTTCTGACATTTTCGCACTATTGATCGTTCTAGATCTTATCTCAGATCATTAATATCTCGGAAGTATGTCAACATCAGGACACAGTTGCTCTTGTGGCGATGACTGCTCTTGCACTGCGGCTGGAAAAACTTGCACTTGGTAAATTCTTGACTGATCATGAAGATTTAAGTTCAAATATATAGGTTTCATTCCACTTATCAATCATTGTCATATTATAGTGGAGCTGCTGAAGTGAAGAAACACGCTGCATCCTGCAAATGCGAGGAGGGCAAATGCTCATGTGACGACTGTGGAACAGACTGTGCTTGTGTCAAGACTACTACTCATGCCGCTACCTGCTCTTGCGGTGGTTCTGGTAATTGTGAAGAATCATGTTTTCGAAACAGACGGTTTCTAATTCAAATCAATTCCAGGTTCCGGATGTACTTGTGCTGCGGGAAGCTGCACCTGTTGAAGTCATTCGGTCGTTCTATTTGGGTTCGTTGGTGGTGAGGATCGAGCACATTGCGCTTCTGTACGACATAACCCGCATCATTTGACTGATCTATTCCCGTCCGGATATATCATAGTTACGTGTGTCTCTGGAACGTAACCCTGTACAAATTAGTGTGATGAAACAAAGAAGCAATTTCAAGAGTTGTATTAAAACTGGGTGTGTTTTTATTTGACTACAAGCTGTGTTCTACAAATACTGCACTTTTTTCTTTCACTGCAAACTATTTTCTTTCTACAACTTTTGGATTTACTACAATGTGTTCTACACTATGCTTTACAACAATGTGTTGAGACCGAGCATAAGGAGCCCTCCCATCAAACAAGTACCACTTATATAGCAGCGAGTGGATCCCAACAACCAGTAAGCACTACATGCTGCGACAGGCCCTAAACTACGACCTAGCTGACCATATGCTCGGAATCGTCCTAGAGCACTACCCATCCCTTCACCATCTTCAAGCATTTCTACCTTGCCACACGCAAGACTGGCCAGACTGGTAAGAGAAGTAACTACAGTACCACTAGCAAATGCGAATCCTACAGCTGATAAATACAGTACTTGTACGCTATTGGCAATCGACAGCAATACCAGGGCGGCACAGCATCCCACCATTCCTCTAACCACAAGCATACCCTCATGTCCAGGTCCCAGACGTCTCACATACCCTCCCTGAATGAATGCAGACAATATCCCGATGAATCCCAGCAAAGCACCTTGTTGGGCATGCGTGAAGGAGAATCGGTCGTGCACCAAAAAGGTTAATGTGAACTCCATCCCTGAGAATATAAATAAATAAAAAAAGTGGAGCAGCGATAGAGTCTCGATAGATACTGAGTTGGTTGATGGAGATGGAGGTGACTTGGCACCTTCGTCCTTCTTAGATGGACGCTTGCGTCCAAGCGTTTCGGGAAGACAGGCGTATAAATATATGGTTTCAATTACGAGTAATACGAGAGCAAACAGTGCTGGAGATGCATATGCGGATAGTGGTAGTGATCTCAAGGCTGGTATATGCCTTAAATCTATGTTGGCAAAGTATGCGCCAAGAGGAGGTCCGACTGTAAAGCCCAATGCGAATGCAATCCCAACGAGAGCCTTAGTTAAGTTATGTGTTAGGAACTTGATATTCTGTAAAAATGTTTCGCGAGGAGACAACAACCAAGCTTGTGCCAGCCTTTCATGCGAGTGAACTTACCAAACCTCGAGAACGAGTACGTGGTGTGGTTATGTCCGATATCATTGCTATAGACATTTGAACGTTTCCCTCAGTCAAGCCTCCCACAACACGAGACAAGACGAATAGTGGAAAGGAGTTTGAGACGGTCCATAATATCATAGATAGTCCATTGCCGATCTATAAAGATAGCGAAGTGAATCAGAACCATGATAAAAAGGAAATCGTTGCTAATCTTGACCCTTAACCTACGTACCATGCTGACCAAGAGCACAGGCTTTCGTCCATACGTATCACTCCATTTTCCAATCCATGGACTAGAAACGAACTGAAGAAAGGAGAACAGCGATCCTAAAATGCCTCCAAATAGAACTATATCCAGCTCTGATCCCGTTCCACCGATAGATGTTCGAAAAGCTCTCACAGCGGATTTGACCATGAAATATGATGTTTCCTAACAACGAGATGACATGATAGTGAGACCTCAAAAAGATCAGCAATGATATTAAACGTTGAGAACTGCTAATTACTGGGTTGGATCCATCCACACGGTCATAATATTCAAGAATTCTTGGCAACAATGGAAGGATTATGGTAAAGGCAAGAATGTCGATCAGGAGCGCCAGAAAGATGGTAAGAAGGATCCCATTGTCTGATTTTGGATCCTTATCGTGGTCCTTGTCATTGGAATCGACTTTGTGGTCAAGTTTCTGTTGCTTGGTCATTTCGATTGGAGTCAGTGGATTTGAAAATGTTTGATGCAGGTGTGGAGGTTGGCTCAACATTTATTATAACAATTTTCTATCGAACAATTAGGACGCTATATTCTGAGCTGCTTCGCGGCGTTTCTCCTTGGCTCTCTGGCTTCATCAGAAAAGTGGAAAAATCACGACATAATGAACCTTATTACCAGCAGTAGTAGTACACGTCAATATAAAATACAGCTGCCAGTATCAGACACGATCGCATTGACTGAACATTATTTCAGTGATGCAAACGTGTTGGTCAAGCTACTCAACGAGACAAAGCAAATACACGACCAAACACTCAAGATCCCGTTTCCGTACACGGACGAGGATGCTCGGAGCTACTTGTCAACAGTAGTTGGTGATCATGAACAGCATCTCAGTTTTGCTATAAGAGATCTCTCGACGGGCTTGCAAATTGGTGGGACTGGGGTTATGAACTATTCGGATACCACTCACATGGTCGAAATCGGATATTGGTTGGGAAAAGATTATTGGGGACAGGGTCTCATGCCCAAAGTCGTCAAAGCCTTACTCGATTACATCTTCACTACCATGAAGAACGTGCAAAGAGTGGAAGCAATTCCGTTTGCATTCAACAACGGTGAGAAGGTCATTCTTGATCGTATGTCGTGTACATGAAGTTGACTACTACATATTTGTGCAGCCTCGCAAAGAGTACTTGAGAAAGCTGGCTTTACACGAGAAGGTGTTTGTCGCTGGCTGGTTGTAAAACACGGTACGGTGTCATTTGGCATTGAAACCACATCAAGTAGAGCTGATACCGGTTCTTTGGTCAGGCCAATGTCAGGACTGTGTAATTTATAGCATTCTACGCCCAGACTGGACAGCAATAGAGAAGTCTTGAGGGCATAATCAATACAGTTGGGTTCATAATATTCGGAACTGTTCACGTATTATGCACTTGAATATAATTACATGTACATTGAAAGTCCTCACCTGCGACCACGGGCTCTTTTCTCTTTGTTGAATGCGTGCTTTTTTGACGAACAAGGGTTCAAAACAAGAGAAACTTGGACACCTCTTCCACCGGAGGCCTCAACCTTTGAAGAAAGGGAGAGTGCTTTATGAACCTTTAAGTCAAGGATTCTATACTCTGGGAATGATGGTTTAGTACGAACTATCGAAGAACGAGGGGTAGACGTTAAAAGTTCTACAGGCGTGAAGTTCTCTTTTCGGCAAGCACAGCTATATTGCTTCAAATTCTTGCTAGGTCTAGTACTCCTGGTCGCTTTGACGTCATTTGCCTTCTTCGTCAAGACATCTGAAGGGCAATCGTCGAAATACCATGAGGTGCATATCGATAATTAAGGAAGCAGATCCCAGATGATTTTCGATGGCATTTTGGAGACGTACAAGGCAAGCTTGGAGTAAATATATATAGCTTTTCCGTCGGGAGTGGCTCCTCTTTGGATCGAAACGTCACAACCCTCTGAAGTGTGACTTAAGCTGCCCAACGGCCCCCATCCAAAGCAGAGTATTTCGAATTTTGGTAATTTTGGAACTGACTTGTGCCCTAGAATTTATACAAACGCCACGAACGGGCACTAGAAAATACCAATACGACCGATGGCCTATATACAATTGCATCATTATTACGACCCTTTATCGTTGGAATACACGTCGGAGCTCCTTAGCTAGAAGACATTGCATCAATGAGAACATACGCTATGATAGCTCTCGAGCTGGCTGCTGTATCTGATATAGCACCAAATGGTGTTGTGGCTACAGATTACGAGGGTAAAAAAGAGACGAGTTGAAGGCATGGCTAGGAGATTGCGCAAGTATCTTCCAGTTAATTATAGCATGGAATGTATTGCGCAAAATTCCAGGTGGTCGAAGTGAAGGTGCTACTTTGGACTTTATGAGCCTGGCAAGTAGTAACGTCGTGATTGCCACCTTCTCATCCAGCTTTGGACAATGGGCAGTGGCAATGAATGGAAACCCGTATGTTATAGTTGGCCTTGGTCTGCAGAACTGTGACGACAACAGAGCAATCACAAGTTGGAAAACTAACATTGCCGAACCATGTGATTTCAATATTAAGAGCATTATTGGCAGTCCAGAAGGGCGACATAATTTGTGGTTAGGCGGGGCTAATCTCACTGCAACGGAGCAGGAACGAATGCATAACGCCATATCTCTAATCTTGGCCTCAAAACACTACCTTCACCACTCTCAATGTCATTTGTTTCACATAAAAGCAGACCAGTATAAATAAAATAGCAATATATGTATATAAAGCAAATGTAACATAACTACCGTAGAATACACAAGCACATTTACAATAGTTCAGTTTTCAAAGCAGGAATCATTGGCGCCGGTTTCGGATGTGTGCTTTTGCTTTCTTCTGGTTTTACGACCTCTCTCGTAGTCTCTTCTCGAACAATCAGTACAGGGACTCCAGCATGGTGAGATACATATGAAGACGTGGAGCCCAATAGCATTCGATGCACCTACAGCAGACGCTCGTCACGACACTGATACCAAGAAACGACTCGATACAGTAACGTACCACTCCAAGACCTCGAGATCCCATAACAATCATACTTGGTTTGAGTTCGTCTGCGTACGAGCAAATAGTTTCACCCACGCTAGTACTGGCAATCTTGACTTCGGCAAAGACTTGCACAGCATGGCAGTCACTCCAGTTTGCAATAGATTTCGAGTACGTTTCAACCAAAAGTTCAGCTTGAGAAGCACCAAGAAATAGTACTGGTCAGTACGCTCGTCAACAATCAAAAGTTGATCAAAGGCAGAGCAAGACAATCGTACCAGCAGCATTCAATTCAGCCCTCAATTCATCTTCACTCGAAACGAAATCAGCTATCAAGGTGCTTGGTGTGAGCAACCATGACTCAAAAGCATCCAGATGCAACCTTACCATAATAGGTATCAACAGCATCTTGTTCTGATACCACACGAAGCAGCACGACGGCATCATTGTCTCGAATGACGTGAGTAGCAGCAAACTTTAATGCAGCTACTGCAAAATCAGATGTGTCGAGTGCAATCAATATTGTGCGATCCTGTGTCAGTTCCAGAGCGCGAGGCCTCATTCCCGATGTAGGGCGTGGTTGTCCAGACTGGATCATAGCTGCCTCGAGCGTACTTCTTGTTTATGTCGAGCTCTAAAGTTTAACAATTTTTTTGACACTTAGTGTATATAGTGTATATCGGTCGCTCCCATCGAGCAGCACGAATACAGTACCATTGACAATGGCATCATACCTAAAGTCTATATTGAGAGTCCCTGTACGTAGATTTGCTTCCACAGACAACGCAACAACAAGCAACGTTTCTCGAAACTTGTTGCAAAGAAGTCCGTCAGCCATCTCAAAGAGAATAGTCGCGACACAGTTTCTATTGTCACGATGGGGCATAGAAAGTGTCCATAGAGTCAACGCAGATCCGAGGGTTGTCGAAAGTCATAACATTGTGAAAGCCAGTATTGAAGTTTCAGGCATCTCGAGTTACTTTACGGACGCTGAAAAGCCCTTTATTGATGCAAAACTGGGCGCTTGGAATGATGATGACATTCATCAGGTTGGAAAGCGATGGGTATGTTTGGTGTTGTTTGAAGCTTTGGTTGCGTTCTGCTAGAGGTCGATGGTGTGTTTGGAACCACCATCGGCGAGATCTTGTTGCTCGGAAGTCAGTTTTCTGGGAGAATCTCCAATTTCCCACTACATTTAGGCGTTCTTTCGTGAATTTGTTTATACAGTGGACCAAACATACCGCCAATGATGGTGACCTTTACTGACCATCATACCACAATCAGGAATCGCTAGGCATGCTCCTATGGACATCCTTAATCATCCCAGAGCTGCCGACTCCTTACACACAATTTACACACGAGAGCCTCTTCAAAGCTTCCTCGTTAATACCAGCATTGCCATCCACTGTGACGGATTTTGTCGAGTATTTCACAAATGGAGCCGGTGCTGGATCAGATCACTTTCGAGCCGATCAGGATCTGAAGGAGGCCATTGACGTTGCTGAGGCTTGGTACAACTGCCCTGCTTGCCGTTCCCTACCAATACATCGTTTTGACTTCATTCTCGATCTTGTAGGTATTGGCGTAGCCAGATGGAACAAATATCTGACTTGAAACGAGCCATTGAAGCTGATGAAACAAACCAAATGCAAATGTAAGCTGGTTTGTATCTGCACCCACTTCTGACTTAACCCAATTCCTTCAAATAGAACCATTCCAGCTGCTCTTCGGAAACTTGTTGCTGACTCTGATGTCGCCATCCGACAAGCTTCAATATCAGCTTACAATAAGCTGCTCATAAAGGACTTGATAGATCACGACTTTGGTGTGGATGGTCAACCCTACGCATCGCTTGAACCGGATCGGAAGCACCAATTAGCAGATATAGCTGAAGCTAGATTGACTACTCTGACTTGGCTTGCTGACAACACTAGAGAATGGGATTATAAAGAGGTTTGGTCCAAAGTCGTGACCGATTGCAAAAGATATGCAATGCTTACTTTCTCCCATTTCCTTAGGTCAAATACTTTAACCCATTAAACTCCATATTCAATGTCTAATCATTTAATCATAATCATTTTGTATAAACTCCCATCACTACACCATTTAAGGCTCGCTTAAGGTTAGCCTCGCCTTCGTCCTCGGACCATTTTGAATCACTGTGCAGTTGACACTGGAAAGGAGTATATACAGCAAGTGATGGTTTTATTCTAGCACTGAAAGTTATAAACAGCGAAAATGGACAAAGGTATATATCAATAATGCACAAGTATATTCATGGCTCGACCTTGCGATGAGGTATCATGGGTTCGGTGATGTCGTAGCGTTCGATCAAATCCTATTGTGTAAAAGTAGTATTGAGCAGTGCAAAACACTTTTTCGTTGCACACCAAAACCTTACCCTCCACATGTCAAAAGTCATTTCCATTATGACTTGTTGCCTCTTCTGGCTGAATTCGCCTTGATCTGTATCGGCATTGGCAGCATTGGCGTCTGTAGGGAATTACCAAACGATTGAGGTTAGAACTAGATCCATATGGCAAACGATTACAGTCGTCTTCTGGTTCATACATAGTAGGAGCTCTCCAGATTCTTCAGCGGCAATTCCTGCCTTCTTTTCATTAACCAGAAAGGCAACATGGAACATGTTTTCGACAGTTTGAGCAAATGAGTGTGGGTTGACGATGAATTTGAAGTAGTTGACTATGGCCTCGTTTTCCATCAAGAGTGAATATGTCTCCTTCACTGCTTGTTGTGTTGTAGGGGTCTTGTCTGGGTCTTCCCTGACCTAATTTGAGTAGTTAAGAATGGAAACTAGAAGGTTTATTGCCAGAGCAGGAACTTACCTCTTCAGGTTTGACGACTTTGGCTTTGGGGCCCTTTTGTTTCGCTTGTCGTTCCTTCTTTTGTCGAACCTTTTGCTCCACCTCCATAGGTCCCAGCCTGTTTTGGAATTGGAGGAATCACTATCTAGTTCTCCAAACCAAAAACGGCCGCAAGAAACTCACATGAATCCAATAGTTGGTACTCTGAGCGAATGCTTATGAGCAAGTTGACCCATCTTGGTCCAGTCCATTGCAGGTCCAACCATATCATCGTCGTCATCTCTACCATCATCATCGTCACGATATTGGGCCAGTTGAGTAGCACCCATGTATATTCTGGCCTTTTGAAGGTATCGGTTGATGTCAAATCCAGCTGCTTCTCGCCGCAGGGCATGAGCTCGTTGCACCGCGATTGTAGCCGAGGTTGCAAGAAGACGTGAATCCATGGTAGCTTCTTGCGTGGTCTTGATGTCGCCTAAAAGAGTATAATTTGCAGTGTTAAAAAGTTAAGTTGTTATGTATGTTAATTGCAGAGTTGCGCAAAACACGCACCGGCTTCGACATGAATATTTGCTTTGGTAATAACTCGTTCCAAGAGATCATCATCAGCGTCCTTCTTATTGCCTAGAGACGATAAAATTAGAATAGAATAGATGGAAAGCGACAAATGAATGCGCCTTACTCTCAAGCATATTCAACATTTTCCGATATTGTTTTCGAACCTTTTTACGAGCAGCACTATCTCCGAATCTTTCATCGGCATCTTGAGCACGGCTTCGAGGAGTTGCTTCCATGTCTTCTCCTTCTCCTTCTTCTTGCTGTTGTTCCTGTTCATCGCCTTCTTCTCCATCCTCACCTTCTTGTTGCTCGTCCTCTCCTAGCTGTTGCTCGTCCTCTTCTTCCTCGGGTTCCTCTACTATGACACGACGTTGTTTGGAGCGGCCGTTGTCGTCGCCGGAGCGAGTTCTGGTCGCCATCAGTGCTGTTTATTTGTTGCCCAATATGTTAAGAAGATGGAGAGTTTCGAGAATTCGCGGTCATGTCATGGAGTTTGGAGATCAGCCAAATCAGAACGTTACAAGTGGCAGTACGTGTTCATCTATGCTCTCTTGTTTTACAAGGGAGCATAGTTGATCTATCATCTATCAGAACCGCCGATGAGGATGTCTTGATCTGTCTCGTCACGATGAACGATGAACATTAATGCGTGACGTGAAGGAAGGAAATTTAAGATTAATTATAATATTGATATATTTAGGCACCTGATGACTTGCTGCTTACGAGTCGGTGATTTTGCTGGGTGTTTGGATTGCCAAGTGTGACCCAGAAAACAAAAACAAGTTCCAACTATAGCAAGCACCTGACAACCCAGACGAAGATGGCAGAGGATGCCAGTAGCGCAAGTGCCTCGTCCTCACTGGTCGAAAGCACCGAAACAGCTCCTGACTCACCGCCTGGTTTCCCTCAAGGAGAACCTGGAGCAGATGAACTTCCGACCTATCACGAAGCTGTAATCCAACACCCTTATCCCTCTACTCCCTCCAGAGTCGTCATGATCGCTGTGGACGCAAATCGTAAGTGTCGACGTTGCATGCCTTGACTTGAAACTATGGATTTCTATGTGCCCTGCTTTTTACACTTTTTTAAACGGCCGACTCACAATGACCCAAACATTTCATACAGCGCACGCTGCGTATGCTTTCAATTGGGCATTGGACAACTTTTTGAATGCTGGTAGAGATCTAGGTAAGTTCATTATAAACATTTCGCAACGCTCGACCCGCAACAACTCACAACACCCCACAAACAAACTAGCTGTACTAGTAAATGTCCGATCCATTGTGGGAGGTACACCTACATACTCTTCAGCTGCATGGCATGCTTTTGTTGAGGCGCAAGCTGCTGCTTCAAATACCCGGATGGCTACAACTGCGGATTTCTTGGTGTATCTGGAGGAACAAAACCGAGCGAACTCGCATGTACTGTTGCAGAGATATGCCATCAAGATCCAAAGGCGGGGCATAGCTTGTAAAGCGATTGCGATGAGGGGAGACGCTGGCAGCGAGATCGTTCGCAAGGTATGTGTTTGAAGCAAATGTGAGTTTGATAGAGCAGAAGCTCAAGATGTCCTCTCTAGGCCTTGGAAGTAAACGCCGATGCTCTTATACTTGGATCCCGTGGTCAGGCATTGTTTAAGAGGTAATGATAAATCTTTGTTGGGCAAGATTCCAAACGAAGCAGCAGCGCTTGACTGCTTTTTCACTGGGGACGAAAAGATGTGTATCTCAATACTGCATACGCTATACTAATTACTTTCTCGTTAGGGGAATGATCCCCAGAAGATCCGTATCCGAATACTGTCTGAAACAGTTAGACTGCCCCGTCATCACCATAAAAATGGAGCATAGCAGACGGTCCATGACAGTGGAGAGACCTCCATCTGCCATGTCAATGAATCGGAGATCGGAAGACATGGGTCGGAGGCGAGACTCCATAACGAGTGCTACATTCTCCATCAATACTACCACCACGAATCGTGGGTGGATGGCCTTTCTACGGCCATCGGCTTCTGATAATTTTATATCTGGAATACCCGCAAACATTGAAAGACCATCTTCGCCAACGCCGACTGTGCAAAGGAGCTGGACCAATTTCTGGAGAGGATGAGGTGGACGGGGACTAATTGGACTTTTAGGATAGGATGATGGATGAGTTCGAACTCTTCGGTAACGCCGAATATATACATAGATGCTTCCAAGCTCATATGCGATTGGGTCTATTATGGCCATTTTAATTATATATAGATTTATGAATCACCAATTTGCCGGTTGTGTGTGTGTGAATGAAAGTATCATTGGTCGTCGGCGAGCGGACGTGCGCGTATAGTTGTAGACTTGATGTGGGGGTTCGTCCTATTTCATAGAAAGGGACCTTTTCGAATGCGGAGAGCATATGAAATGTTCGGCGTTGGTAGTGAGACCATTTCCGTGCCCCTATTATGAGGCCACCAAGCAACTTTCTCCTCCATATTCAAACGGGCGGCCGCATGTAGAGTTGTCACCTTCCACCGCCTATTGGCTGTTTCAACCATAAATCTCTCGAGAATCTCTGTAGGCAGCAAGAAACATTTTATGTAGAAAAAGCAAAACTACAATACAACTCTGAGATGACCTCTGAAACGCGTCGCCCACCCACATACGACCCGTAAGGCCACTCCCTTCATAATCGCGAAACCAATACGTCGAAGAACAAACGACGAAGAATAAACGAGAACGTGACCATTTCTTTCCCATCAAATCTGAATTCAAGCCGAGGTACCGACAAGCAAGCATCCTTCGCAGTATAATTTTGCACAGGGCGGTAAATTACAGGTAGCGAAATGAATGAGGTGGATCCCTTGCATAAGCTCACGACCGAAGGTAAGCTTTCTTGGATCAAGGTCTTAAGCCTTAGGACTTCTATAGTATTGACAATGAGCAATGAGGGTGCTAGATCACGTAAAATGAATACAAAGTCACGCGTCAACGCGCCAAGCTTCACAAGAGATCTCGATGTTGTCTCTTGCGTCTTTGGTTCTGCTACAAATGTCCGACAACGACCCATTCGGTTTCAACAAAGATGCCCGCATATCCAGGACTGCTAGTACAAGAGCAAGAACAGCTGAATGTAACTTACAAACCTTGCGGTATTCCCTTTCCAATGATCTCTGTCTAATGTCTATTCTCGCGGTCTATAGTTTGCGCGAGTTCTATCTTTTTGGCAGATCAACCAAGGCAAGCAACTACTGCGCCCCCAGCTGATCGGTTACAATTCTTTATCTGAATTACATGGTACTGGTACTGATTTCAGTCGTCTCTTCCATAGTCCAACTCATACACCTCACGGATGGTGATCTACCATTCTTGATCTCGACTTATGGACCGGACGGAGCAATCGCATACTTACAAGAATGGATCGACGCTAGGAGAGGTGCGAAATGCCGTTGCTTACAGTGGAGTTGTTGGTTTCCTTTCCTACCGTGCAGAGAGATCACCGCCCTCACAATTGTCCTTAAGGTTCTCTGGTGAAGACACCTACTGGTCTGATTGATTATCAAGGCTTAGTGAATGCCGGAAACACTTGCTACTTGGATTCGGTGGTGTTTGCATGCTTTGTCAACGCCTCGCCGTTTGATTTCTTGCTGTTGAAGAGTGCCAGCAATCCCGCAGTCAGAGAAATCCAAGTCACTCTACGATTCATCGTAAATCAGTTACGTACTGGTAAACTGGTAATGCCGCCAACGATACAGAAACTCTTGTTTGATTTGGCTCAGGTTGGAAGCCCTTTCACAAGCACTACTCAATGTGACGGTAAGCGCTTATGATAACCAATGGGTCTATAACTTTTGTTAATCAGCCCTTCCTCGTGTTTTTTAGCATCCGAATTCTTCTTGTTCCTTATGTCTGATCTCTGTCTTCAAGCTCCTGACTTGCCCCTCGTCCAACGTTTGGTCTACGACGGTTCTTCAACAATACGAGACGAAACTCATATGCGAGAACGTATATTGCAGCTTGGAATACCAAAGGACGACAGGACTTCAAAAACCTTACTCACTGTTGAAGACTTGCTATTCTCATATTTTTTCGACAATCAAGTAAGCCTTGGAAATGTCACCGTCTACAGTTCCAGCGCTGATTTTGTGCTTCTCTTCCCCAGATCAGTGTGACCCGCGAGCTAGACACTCGAGGAAGGAATCGGATTCTCGTAGAAGCATGGGCTGCCACCAAGCTGATTCCCGTCGTGGACTTTGGAGGGAGAGACGCGACGTGGTCGTGGTTCTCTTCTTTGGGCAACGCAAACATGGTCGTTCCGGTTGCTTTGAAGAGATACGATGAGACTGGTCAACGATTAGCACGTAGAATTGTAATCCCACCTCAGATTCCATTTGGTCTTTTTGCTCAGCAGCTCGGCAACTCTCACACAAGCAATCGATCTCATTACACCCTTGTTTTGAAGGTAACTTTCCTATAAACGACTTTTGTCCTCGAGGATTCCCGTACGAAGATTTGATCGCTAAACATGCACCTTTTAGAGCGTCATTTGTCACCACGGGAACTCAATTGATTCAGGTCACTATGTCAGCTATGTTTGTACCGAATCCTTGAATGGTGAAGAATGGGTGCTCTTTGATGATTTACGTATTCCTCAACGTGTTGTTCGATTCTCAGACCTCAAGTCAGAGACAGCAGCCTTTGAACAGGTAATTTCAGAGTCTAGCCTCTCATTTTTCTTTCAACAGGGCATTGTGAGCGTTTGGCTGTTTGGTACGTTGTCGCTAATATCACGTCTGATAGATGAGCACAACGGCTTACTTGCTGCTTTATCAACTGGTTGCTGATGGTGCTAATAACGCGCTCACGCAACCAACGGAACAAGATCACGATGATACACTTGAAGCTCAAAAGCTGCAAAACATCGAGTTTGAACGTGCTAATGGTGGTATAAATGGCAGCAACGTCAGCAACGGTGGTATAAATGACAACAACGGCCGCTGTACTATTATGTAAATTACTAACCTTTGTAAATGCCGTAAATCCGTGTAACTCTTGTAAATCTTCGTTCATACACAATAGTAGATCGAACCTCGCATCAATCTGCAAGAAGAGAAACAAGTTTTAAAGAGGGCCATTTCATTATGGAACACGATTTGCAAGTGTATATTGCCAACACGGTTAGTGTTCCTTGGCTTGTTGCTTTGAGGGTTGTAATCTAACCCTCGTTTGCTAAACCCAGCCCAATGGTGCGAGTACTACTTGTCGAGGCACTTCGGATCCTACCAGACTAATTCTTGAGCTCAATTTTGTTTCGATGTATAGGCCAAAAGCCTACCATCTTGCTTGAAGAGTATGTGCTTTTGCTTCGACATTAAACATTGTACTAAAAATCAACACATAGTGCTCTGACCTAGTTCCGCTGTATAGATTAGGGCTTCAATACGACATTCGTTACGTCTCGTTTGCAAACAAGGACCAATTCAAGCCTGAATTTCTCAAGATCTCGCCCAACAATAAGGTATCGGAACTTTGGAGTCCAAGGGAATCTTAGACAACCCCGCGATCAGCTTGAAATTCGACCATTCACAATCTAACTATCTCATCTTTGGCACTGTAGATTCCGGCTCTTGTTGATAAGAAACCTGACCCGCAATTGTTTGGTGATGGAGGGCCAGTGAGTATATTTGAGAGTGCGGCCATCATGCAGTACATTTGCCAGTAAGCTCGTATGCAGATGATGACGCACAGCTAGACTCTGTAAGCACAACTCGTTCCCTTCATTTTCAGGTACAAGGCACCAGCAAACGAACTGTATCCCACCACGAATCCACGAGCCAAAATCGCGACCGACGAATGGCTTTACTTCCAAATATCCGGTGTTGGCCCCATGTTTGGCCAGCTGGCTCACTTTAAAGGGTTTGCTACAGAAAAGGTAATCGTCAGTTTCTCTATACGTACAGACTGTCCCGAAGAGCTTACCAGTTGATTGATTACAGCTGCCCTACGCCGTGAAACGATATTCTGATGAGGTAGATCGCCTTTTTACTGTGGTGGAACGACGGCTATCGGAACATGAATGGATTAACGGGTACTTGAAGACAATCCTCAGGCACTTTCACGTTGCAACAAGCTAACTCATTGACTCATTTAGCTATGGATACTCAATCGCAGACATTGCCTTGTTTTGCTGGCTTAAAGGATACACTTGGTTGGGAATTGATATCAGCAAGTTCCCAAACGTTAAATCGTATGTTGAAAAGATAGCTTCGAGACCCGCAGTGGAACGTGGGTTGTCGAGGGCCGCACCGCCCGTTGTTCCCACTCCATCTGAATAAACCTGTGTTTGAATGGCTTAAGCTTAGGCTTAAGTTAACATTGAGCGTTGTTGAATCATGAGCTAGTTTACTAGGTGAGGTAGTTTCAATGTGTGCAGGTAAAACCCAAGATGCGAAGCTAATCGCGTGGATAGCGAACAAGCTACTAGCTGATTTATAAATCTTTTGAGAAATCCGGTTCCTTTATTGTAGATTATACACCAAAGCGGTTCGAAAAACACTGGCAGAACTGATTTTGATTTGATTTCCAATTCAAACTCCTCACACTCTCACGCTGTGCATGTCTTTTCAGCGAATAAGAGCAATAACCAGGTACGCGTGTAAAGAATTCATTAACGAACTTGATCCTTTTGTTGTGTATTTGCATTGGTTTGTGTCGGAGCTGTATTCCTTGTGAAATAACGTTTGCCTTGTTTCTAACCGATCGCTCAAATATCTGATAGTCAACTACGTAACATAAGCAAAAGTTCTTCAATGGCTGATATCCATCTTTATACCGCCAATACTCCTAACGGGCAAGTCGCCGAACTTGAGAAATTGAAAATCCACTTCTGGTGAAACGCTTGAACTGACCCTAACTCCCCGCTAACTCCCTTCCTGAAATAGAGTAAAAATTACTATTCTTTTGGAAGAACTTGGTCTACCATATGACATTACCTACATCAGCTTTGCAAACAAGGATCAATTCAAGCCTGAATTCCTCAAGATCTCGCCCAACAACAAGATCCCAGCTCTTACATGCAATGCTAAAGATGGTAAATATTAGCAGTGCTCCTTGCTTTGCGTTAGTATTAATATGTGTTCTTGTTCCAACACTCCGTCTGGCATTCTTTGCAGGAAAATCAATCTCGGTCTTTGAATCTGCTGCTATCATGCAATACATATGCGAGTAAGTATTCACCAGAAAGAGTTTCGATGTAGAGGCTTGCTTTGCTAACGATGTCTCTTTAAAGCAACAAGGCTGGTGAAAACGATCTCTATCCCAAGGACGAAGTAAGTTGAAGCCATCATTACTCTTCTTGTTTAGTCCTAGAAATCTATTTTTCTCTTGTATTAGCGATTACGAGTCGCCACAAATGAGTGAGTCTCCGTTTTAATGACAACAAGTTTTGGACGACGGTTATCTTGGATGCATTTCTTCTTATTAACGCACCTTGTCTCGCTTAAGATGGCTTTACCTACAGATCGCTGGTACTGGGTATGCTTGTCTTTGAATTGTGGTGGTTATTATTTTTTCTAACAGGTCACGAACCATAAATAGTCCTATGATGGGCCAATTATTTTACTTCAGCTCACAGCCAGATGCCGAGAAGTCCCCCGCAGCCATCAAACGATTCAACGACGAAGTTGAACGTTTACTCGGCGTCATGGAGAAACGGTATGTGTTGGATGCATCTTTAAAGTCTGGATGTCAAGACGATTTGAAACGATTTTTCTATTTTAGACTCACTGATAACGAATATTTGAATGGTAGAGGTTTCAGTATCGCTGATATTGCACATTTCGGGTGGTTAAGGATGCATGCTCGTTTCCCTTTCGATTTTGCAACAAAGTTCCCCGCCATCCTTGCTTGGGCCCAAAAGATCGCAGCTAGACCTGCTGTGGAACGCGGTCTTGCCAAAGCTGCCCCTCCATCATAGGGCACGAGACAGGAAAAAAAAAACAAGAAGAAAAGCACAAGAGATGGAAATTGTAGTGATCATATTTGAGGGCAGCAAGCTAAAATGGGAAAGTGTAGTGATCATATTTGAGAGCAGCAAGCTAAAAATAAATCTATTCCTATGATGCAATGTTTGATTCGCTATTTCTACATTTTTGATTGTGATAAATACGTTTTCAAGTCGTAAATATCAGACCCAGGTGCCTTTTGGGCAACTCCTCGTTCCGTCACAATACCAGTTATCAAACTGGCAGGAGTAACATCAAACGAAGGATTCCATACGCCAATGCCTGGAGCTGCAATGCGAATAGTGACACTAGGTGGGACTCCTTCAGATGCATCTCGAGGTTCTTTAAAATCCGCAATATCTTCCACGACTTGACCACGAATGGTAACGACTTCAACAGGACCTCGCTCTTCAATTGTTATCAAATCGCCCGATGCGAGTGATAGATCGATAGATGTAGATGGAGCAGCAACAAGGAAGGGCACTTTATGATAGTGAGCCAATAATGCTAGTTGATATGTTCCAATTTTGTTTGCTGTATCGCCATTTGCAGTGACACTATCACAGGAGAAAAAAAAAGTCGATTACTCTTACAGTGGTCACTTTGTGAAATCAGCTTATTCGCAAGACATATTTGTTGACGTACCGATCAGCACCAACAACGATAGCACTGATACCACCTTTTTTGAGTAAGGCTCCCACCATGCTGTCCGTCACCAGCGTAGATGGTATCTTTTCATAGACGAGCTCATAGGCTGTCAATCGGGATCCTTGATTGTATGGCCTCGTTTCGGTGCAAAATACATGATTCAATCGCCCCGATTGATGCATGTCTCGCACAATGCCCAAAGCAGTGCCCTAGATTCCAGACGAATGAGTTCATACCATCGTTTCGCTTTTACTGCTAGAGCGTCATACCCAACCAGCTGTAGCGAGACTTCCAGTATTACAATGAGTCAAGAGCTTGATTTGTGCGTTTGGTTGATATAGCGATGATACAAATTCAGCTCCAAAACGACCAACTAAGGTCAAATTGACGTTATCAGCTCAAGAAATTGACAATAACCAATACAGACTCCTGCATTCTGTTGAGCCATTCACATACTGTTTCGATTATCTTCGACATCATGTCGCAGCATGGCTTCAGCAGCAGAGATATAAGCTTCAACAACAGTTTGACTTGCTTCTTTTGATTCGACATTCAAGCCAGCTTGCTGTGCACTAGTTTCAACAACAGCGGCAAGTTTCCGAGCTGCATCAAACAGGTTGACTGCAGTTGGCCGAGATGTTTTCAAGTATTCGAGTTTATTTAACACATATTCAACAACAGCCGATGGAGTCGCGAAGGGTGAATGAGCAGCGTGGACTGTGTGTACGTGGAGCTCTATAGCGAGGGATAAGGCTGCCACTATAGCGATAGCCGGCGCTGTTGAGAAAAAAAACTAGCTCAATTTTTCGATGTTTTGAATCTTGATGTGGAAGCAGAAATCATGCTTTTACCTCCTCGAACCTAGGTGACCATCCAGTCAGAACGATTCAAAAATAATTACAGAAAGGGCTAAAAAAGATATCGTTTTGTGCTCTTCACCTTCATTGTCTTGATTGCAGTGTGTCCATCTTCGACACTTTTGATCTCTTCAAACACAGATTCGTAGGGAAGAAGGAGCTGATTGATGATTTCTAGCGAGCTTCGCCTGTACTTGATGGCCTCTAGTGTAGCCATATCAATGTTTGGGAAGATATGTGCTTGTCGGACTTTTGAAAGAGTTAATTTATTTGTACACAACATGTTCGCAAATGGGCAAATGGGCAGCTAATAAATTCCAATCATAGTTCTACATTCATCATACACCTCATACATCATCATCAGACCTCTTCGTTCTCCTGCACTCTGATCGCTACTTCGTCACTCATCATACTTCATCAACCTCTTCACCAACAACAATTCGGCAAGTAGATTTCTTCTTCTCCTTTCGCGCTTGTAGTCGTGCTGCAGCCATTTTCTTTCCAGCTGTAAGTCCCACTTGCCCGCCCCACACGCGTCGTGAATGGCTGAAAGGGTCGGTAATGAGATACAACCTCCTAGGAGCAGCATATCCATAGTGAGGATTGCGCACAGCTGAACTGACTGTATATTATTGATTTGCTTCAACAATTGCAGAGGTTACCTAGTGATGGAGTTTTTAAGATTTCCACGTCGCTCAACCTGAATTCGTCCTGTGCTCGACCTTGGCTCATTCGCTTGGTGGGATCATCCTGAAATCAAAGGGGCTACGCACTTAGAAGTGAAAGAACGAGACCGAGACATAACACTGAAACTGTTTGAAAACATGCCAGAGTCAGAAGTGGTTCAGGCCGTGCCTCGGAAAAAGCAAGACGACAAGGCAAACAGAGGGAACGATTCACATGACCAGGTGTTACCACTGATACGGGGAATGCGGCCGCACCACCCGAAACAGCGCATATCTGGAAGCAATGTGAGCACATTTGGTCCTTGTGGTGAAGAAAAGCTTGCATCCCTGACTTGGTTTTGATGGCACGAGCTTTTGGTACTGGCAGATTTGCTAGTAAAGAGGATTGAAGCGCATCAAGTCATGCCTGTAGATACAATGTGATTGTATGCATATACCTTCCTCACAAATGACCTTCCAATGTGGATGACGTACAACAGCGAATGCCCAAGCCCGACAGACAAGTTGAGCAGCGACGAGTCATTCGGGATGATGCTTTCCCAGATGTTCGAATATCAACGTAAGCACATCTGCATGAAAATTAAATTATGTATTAAATTGAGATGTATGACTCTAAGATGTATGTCAAAAACGTAAGTGACTTGCCAATGTTCAAGCGATTTCAAGCGGGCAGAAGAGGGTCGGGATCAAGAGCGGCCACTTCCACATGGGCTTCATCATCGTAATCATCTTCGTCAACTTCCTTGACCTTTCCTTTGCCATTCGCATCCTTCTTGGGCTTCTTTGGTTTAGGTTGGGATTTAAGTTAAGAAGCACTGTAGTCTTTTTTGTCTGTTGAGAGTGTTCTGTTTCGTTATTCGTTGTCTCTACTTGGTGTTTGATGGGTCTGAGATGTCAAGGCTCTCTCCTTCAAAATTGATCTGGGCGCCCGAGTCCAAAGCAGCATAACCTATTCGAGTAGCCTGTCGAGAAGACCGTCTTATTCCGTAGCAGCATTGATACAGGGTTCATGAAGTTTTTCATAATTTTCCTCTGTTTCTTTGAGGACTTTGCAGCGTCCTCCCATGGTAGGGTCGCTGTATTGGTATATAATAGATAGAGTGTCCCTGAAGGAGAGGAAAGAGGCTGGCAGATGAGTTTTCTGTGGCGTTCGACAGCTTTGCGTCGCGAGAACGCAATTGGAATCAATGTGTACGTAACCCACAATAACTTCCATAGCAAGTTTGAAGAGGCTGAAGCAGATTCAGTGAGATCAGGTTCTTGACGCTCGCTGTGGCCTGAAATGCAACAATCTTCAAAACAAATGCATTAGATTATTGTATATTTCGTTGAATGTGGTATCTTCGTGAAAAATATCTATATCTGAAAAGTTCCTCGCGTTTACGAATAGTGGTTGGCGTACGGCACATCCATCTCCTGCAGGGGCTTGACCAGAGACTGATCTAGAACAATCACAGTCTGGTCCTCCAATGCCTATTTGAAGAAAAACATCAAAGCCAAATCTTCTACGATGATGAAATCACTGATTGCACATTATCGAACCTTCATGTTAATGGGTAGTATCGATGTGCCGTTGCCCTGATCTAGAGCAGGTAGCTTCCAGATCCCAACCATTTTAAAATTTGGAGGTTCATTAGCCTTACGATCCTCGCCGTCCAGGACGTACATCAAGGGCGGTGGGAAGTTGAATGGTGCTTTCATCACATCAACATAATAAAACTCTATTTATGGGAGAGTATGGGTCAATGGATGGAACGATGGAAACGGTAAACTCGACTGGACTTACCTCCAGGAGTAATCTTCTTGTTTCCGCCAGTCTCAGGAATGATATTCGCTGAGTGGAAGTTTGTCACAAGGTACCTGTGGAGGTTTTGCGGGGCAAGTAAATTAATCTGCTTCCTTCACACTGTCAATTTGAGTCCATACTTGGCACCAGATCGCTCAAAGTTTGCAACCGCAGCCCGTCCAGCGGTCATGGGTAAATGTTGGATCATGTCTCTGCACAGAATGACGTCCATTGAAGGGGGCAAATTGTCAACAGCAGCATCCATGTGTAAGAAGCGCATATTTGGACGTTGGCTGTGCTTTCTGCCATCTGCTAATATTACATCCTGCACAAGGAGAGAAACCAGGGTGTTAGATATTCTGCATTTGCGGGGATTCAATTCTAGAAGTCGACCTGGCTCATTTAGTACATACCCCAACAATGTCCAAACCAGTGTACTCGATTTTATCAAAACCAGTAATATTCCATTGCCAATGGCAGTCACCACATGGCGAATCGAGCCATGATCTGACTCTGAATATCTGAAATACGATGGCCAAGAATTTACGCACGTTGACAGTGGCTGACATGTAACTTCCAGAACCACTTCGACTCTCACCTAAATTAGAGCATAAGTAATCCAACAATAAGATTTAAAAAGTATTGGAATCTCACCATCGCCCCATATTTGATTCTTGTATATGTGCGAGAAGGCATTTTCACGTTCATCATGGTCCTTTTTGACAGGACGAGTATCAGTACAAAGAACTCCACCCGTAAAAAGCAGCATTGATAATGAACATCTTCCAGGGAATTATGCTCGAAATGAGGAGAAAACCTTACATTTGATATTGATTTCAACTTGTTGGTTGGGATATCAAGATGTGGTTTTGATGTTCCAGAATTATCCTGTTAACCACGAGGGAAAATGCGTGAGTTGTAGACAGATTCTTACCAGGAACAGAGTGACAACACTGCACTGACAAATATTCAATGAACTGCAACAAACATACACTGTACAGGAACATAAATCCAAAAACTAGGACAATCAGACCCACAACCATCACAACTGTTCTAGTGGGTAAACGACCCATCATACGCGTTGCGTTTCTGCCGAGAGAGTTCTGCAGCATCTTGCCTCCTGTCCTCTTGCGGTCACTCATGAACAACCACTGATGCTTGGGTACAGAGTGAAAATTTAAAATCAGGAACTGATCACTGTCAGACGCGTTGGAAGCGATCACCATATCGAACAAAGACAGATTTCTCGATGTAGCCGATATGGTGACAAATCTTGCATTGAAAACCAGAAACTCGACTGAATTCTATGCTGCATTAAATTCAAGCTATTTACAACCTATGTGATATACTTTTTACTTATTACTTTACTCTAATTTTAATGAGAGGTCTCCATAGTATGCCCCACATGGCCACGGTGGAGTTTCAACAGCACAATCTATGGCAGCAAAGATCAGTAACAAGTCCTTTCATAAAACAAACTGATGCCACAAGGAGGGGTATTCAGAAATGACGCGTACCTCTTAGATGCAGAATCATGTATGAGAAGGTCGATCCGTATTGTCCAATGAATCCAGTCGACAGACTCAATACGCCCAAATCCACCACAGTTTTAGCAATCTCTGGTAGAGACGATGTAGAAACTGTTTGTTTCAACAGTGTCCATCCAGCTGCCTCAAATCTCTCCAGCGTTGCTGTGTTTTTTTCATTGGTTGATACCAAGACAGATACTTGATCAACCGTCATTAAGTACTCGTCGGCTAGCTTCTTTCTCTGTGCCTCACCAACCCGAATCACATAATCATCAGGTGGACACTGTATCTCTATCGGTTCATCTTTTATGTGTCCCTTTTTAAAATGCCAGCTCAGCTCGTTCTTTTGAGCATGGTGCAGCCAATCTCCTCGTCGCACGTGCATGGCGATGAATATTTTAGAGAGACCTAGTTCTTGTATCACTTTCTGACTACGTTTCAATACCCAATCCGTCAATTTGATTTTAGGGAGGTCCATAATGACGTTGAATTGGTTTCTATAGCAATTGCAAAGACAAAACTGCTAGTTATAAAGGGTAGCATATACAAAAAGCACCATAAGTAGTTACCCTACACATGCTACTCTTTCTCGGCCCCATTTGTCCACAGGATATACTTCTTCTGTTTTCTGAATCGAGTAGCCCGTGTATGCAAGCACCTTCCAGCAGTGTAGATCTTTTGACAACGGCGAATAACCGTACTTTGAATCTATTCGCGAGGGTAGCCAATTCTTAGGACTTAGATCTGCCATGTCAATCACGCGCAGATTGGGAGATGCTGGTTTTATATATTTCGTAAACCGTCTGTATGGATCACTAAAAGCATCAGAGTCCCAGGATAGTTTGGCTACTTGACGAGGCAGATCAGCTGGATCTGGACCAGCTTCTACGAATTCATACCATCCAGATGTTTTGATGGCAAAATTGTCGAATGGCGGAGCGATAAATGTTCTAGAAATTTGGTTGTAAGGTTGGATATGGCATAGCAAATAGCTCCAAGATGAATTTACGATAATTTACCTATTGTGTTTAGCAGCATAAAACATTCCAGCCTGAGTGGATAGAATGTTATTACACATTCCAGCTTCTGCAAAGTTATTGAGATTTGTCAAAAATCCAGTCTCTGCACCGCGGTGGAGTCTAAAAGAGTAATCAGCGCAAATACTAATGAAGCCATTTGAACCCTCGGCAATGTCGACCGACCAAACTTACTTTGGTATTTCGTCGTCAGAATGGTAAGATTCCCAATCTAAATTTGACCATTTTCGCCACAAGACTAATATTCCAAGACTTAGTAGGCCTAGGATGACTTTAGGAAAGTGTTTGTATATGTAATTGAGTCTCTTTCGAGTAATGACTCTCATGCTGCATCAGCGATTTCAGACCCTCGAGTCTAGAACATAGTGGCATTGCACATGACGATTGTTAAAAGTGGAGAGAAGAACTCGTCAAGACGTGTCTGCTCATGTCATACTTAATTTCAGACAGAACTGAACCGTGATGCGTTCAAGTAATCTGTATGGCGTGTGATGCGACGCGTCAATGTTGTCGAACTTTAACAACCAGCCAGTGAGCGATTGAGCCAACGAGTTACTTCCCGTGAGGAATCACGTTAGATTTAATAAATTTCATGCAACATGCAAATACGCCTTTCAGGTCAATTGATTCCCAAGTCCTTCTGAATGCTTTTAAAGGAACACGCGGTCACGCGGTTACGCAGATGTTCGAGTCCTGGCTTCGAATATCTGGTTTCGAATTGAATAGTTAATTTGTCGTCTACTACTTGAACGGAACTAATTTCCGATGGACTACTAATCACTGCTTTCATCCACCAGTCCAGATCTAGATCTCGCTCGACCGGTCTGTGGATAGCTCAACGGCAAGGAGTAGAAGAAAGATTGTCCAAGACTAGAGACTACTCTTCCTTGCGGTAAGTTGTATCTTGAAAACCAACGTGTTAGCTGCATATGATCGGTGCAATTGCCATGACATATCTAGATTCCTAGTAAAAGCCCGTGATGTAACTGCTTCAGGTGACATCCTGGATTGATATCTTGGATTCTTCTCTACAAATTTCGATCCAAGTCATGAGGACCTTTCGTTTTCAGCGACAAGTCAGTTTTGGGCTTGTACTTTGTGAAGCAGACTTGAAAACCAATGATATGCATATCACTGCCACTGTGTAGTTTTCTTCGTAGAAGATGATCTAGTAATCACATGACAGATGAGAGGTAATAGGAAAAGAGTGTTGTTACAAACGGTTTCAACTGAACGATTATATTCATAATTTCTGTGCCGTCTACTGCCGCAATTGACTCTGTGTCGTGAACGAGACTTCAGTTATCGTGTTTTTCCTTACAAATGGTGTCAATATGAATGCGATACTCTCGTTACTCACCTGCAGGCTGTAAAAAATTCGCCGGCCATCTTGCCGAAACACCAATCAGCGCAAAAATCACATACTTTGCGAAGAGAAACCCGTAGAAGCACTCTCCACGCTGATTGAAAGGATTTTGTACTGGAGTCATCAACATGATGGAGGACGGTACTCGAGGGATCTTGCAAGATTTGACCCATCACCGCACTGCTACACCAAAAGCATCTGCAGCAGATTCTAAAAAGGATTCCAAATCCGCATCGCCACGACAGCAACATGACGAAGACGAGAGGCCATCAGCTAGACCAGAATCACGTCCTAAAGTCAAGGAACAGCAGATATCTTCCTCAAGACCTGCTGGCTTAAAATCAAAACCACAACCAAAGTCTCATTTTGATGATGACGAGGATGAAGATTCGGAAGACAACGATGCACCGGTACGACCTAAACCGTCATCTCATGACCTACCGTCAACGCCTGTGATGAGTGAACGCCCTGGAAGTACTCAACGAACAGGTTTTAGTCCTGTGAAACAAGGAGCCACGAAGCTTATTGTTTCCACAACCTCCAAGGACCATCACGACGATGAAAACGATGATTACGATGATGAAGTTGATGAAGACGATAATGTGGCCACCAAAACATACAAACACGGACAACCTCAACCGCAACAGCCAGCTAAACGTCCGGGGAGCCCGATTAGACAGTCGTTATCAGTATTGCAGCACTCATTGGCACCACTGTCGCATAAAGAAGCAGACGATTCCGAAGTGGAAGAAAAGCCAAAGCCTCAGAGGCCTGGAAGCCCAATAAGGCATGCTTTATCGATGTCGTCAACATCTAGTATCAACCGTAAAGAGCCATCACGCCCAGCACAACACGGCGATGATGATGAAGATGACGATCACATACCTCCAAAACCAAGCAGTCCTATCCGTCATACTTTGTCAATGTCTCGGCCGTCAGCTATTTCAACGGCACAGAAGGAACCGTCGCCTCGAAAGCCTTTATATGATAGTAGTGAAGATGAAAAAGTGGTCGCAAAGTCAACAACGTCAAAGAACAAGAAAAGCGAAGACGAGGAGAGTTTCCCTGTTAAACATCGAGTGGAAGGTAGTAAACCAACCAAACAGGTAGCTCGTCCTCAACGAGACGAAGCGAATTCAATTCGAAAACCTACATCAGCTATGGACAAGATTACTCCTTCGCAAGAACCACTGTCTCGCCCGGCAACTGGTTCCTCGTCGTTTACAGTCTCAAGCTCAGATTTGAGAATGGGTTCAAGTGGGAAACGACCATCAGCAGATGTTTTATTAGCTCGAATCAACAATTCACCAAAAGTAATGGAATCCAATCGGCCATCGAGTCCAACCAAGGCTTCAGCACCAAAGCCTGCTGGTAGTTCACCCACCAGTGCTCCGCCTACTCACAAAGCATCACCATTGGTGGCGAAAAAGTAAGATATAAAACTTGCCACTTTTTGATTTCGGTTGATTCAGGTGATCTTAAAAAATATGACCAGCTTGGAGAAACTAAGGCGTCCACCTGTTTTGAAATAGACCATCCCCCACACTACAACCGGATCGGATCGCACAAGAACCTCATCGTGTTACTCCAAAACCGTCTCTATCACACAAATCATCTACGGGATCCTTGTCGAAATTGGATCCACTTGCGTCTCATCACGGGTCAGGAATTCTCAAACGTACGGGCCTTTATTTTTATTGAGACCTTATCGATAATAACGGTATTTGATTTCATATCGTTTTAGCATCTGCATCTGGTCCAGGAGATTTGGATCTAGTGACATCCATGGCTGCACGTCTGAACAAACTGGAAGCCGAGATTCGACTATTGCGTGGTGATATACAAACGAAGAACGTCACCATTCAGAAACTCGAAAATGAGATCGAATTGTTTTCACACCATCAAGGTGAAGCCAACGACCATGAACAGAATGCCAAGATTGAGTTTCTGGAAGCAAAATCAAGAAAATTGCAAGGTCAGGTTGATGAGATGGAGTCATTCCTTGCACGATATGACATGATTTGGGAAGACGCTTCCACTCGTCCTGGCAGTGTGGGGACGTCACGTCAAAGGTAAATAAATCAAACCAGACAGAATTCGGTTGCGCATCAGACCACCAACTACTCTGTGATACTGTATAGTTCAAGGCCAGTATCTGCTGCATCGTCATTGTTGTCTGTAAGCTCTCGAGTGGGCCCTGTCGAATTTCCCTATGAAATGGATCGCATTCGAGCTCGGGTCACAGAGTTGAACGTCTTGGCTGGCGAAGGAGTCGCTTATGTACAGTCTGGACGGGCTGGCGCATCACTAAAAATGCAAGCTGCTCTTCCTTTATCCCTATATCGCAACGGATTTGCCTTACGATCAGGTCCATTCCGACCATTTTCGGACAAGTCGACAAAGATGTTTATGAGGGATTTGCTAGATGGTTACTTCCCATTCGAGTTGAAGGACCAATATCCCGATGGAGGTAAAAATTGTGGTTGGAAAGATGTTATCTGTTTGCCAATATTTCGCTTACCTTGGTTTGATCAATAGTTCCCTTTGATTTGAGAGATTACCATACCACGGCGTATGACGATCAACCTAAATACATTCCATTCAGTGGTCAAGGCCATATTGTCGGCTATGCCGGTGAACCAACGTCCAGGCCGACATCTTCAAAAACGATACATTCCACCACGACCGTCTCGAAACCAAACCCCGCTGTCACCCACTTCACGAGCCACGAAGAGGACGCGAGCAGTAGTCAGTCTCGACTGTGGAATCCTGAAGCATCAGTCGGTGGTCAATATTCATGGCTCAAGAGCGTAAGTATTTTGTTGAATTTCTTGGTATTGCCTGGTTGCAAGTTCTAATTTGCCTTTATCCTTAGGAACACGATCGTCACGATTCATCCTTGAATCTCCATCCAGTCGAACGACACGCTCGCTTCAGGGAAGACACGCCCCCGGCTCACGATTCCAGTCTCAGCTGTTTGAATGATTCACGTGAGTTGTGGCGTGATTTACTTGTTTTATTACAATTGGCTGATAACACCCTCGTATCTCGATTCAGCTTTGAAAAAGCAAAGCAAAGAAAACTTCCTCCAACAAATACCTAAATGTGTAATCAAGAATGGCCAAATTGTCAATGTGCGTGAAGGAATCAATAGCTTTTTGGATGTGAGTTCAGTTTTGATCATTTTCACTAGGTTTTCTTAACGATATGCTTTTCTCTAGGGTCGCTCCGAGTCTTCTTCTTCCCTTCTACCACCCACATCAGCTTCAGCAGCACATGTTTCAGAGGCGACAAGACACGATCCAAAACACGATCCAAAACACCCTCCTATCATCAAAACAGTTGTGATTCCAACAACGGTTGATATGGCTGACCGTCATTCTACACGTCGCTCTCATTCGGTGCTGAGTCCTCATCCACCAGTGTCGCGTCCTTCATCTCGACCAGCATCCCCCATACGCAAGGCGGCTGGGTCTCAAGACCATCTACAAAACCATGTGGAGCACGTAACACCTTACGATCAAATCACAACGTTAAAGATCCATGCTCCTGATGATTGCACTGAATATTTTGTGAGAATGTATGCTAAGCAGACGATAAAGGAGCTCAGAAACATGTTGGATGAACATATGTAAGTAGTGAAGATGGTGATTTTTCTGCCACATCATCAGACTTGGGCATTTGTTGATCAACCTGTTTTCTAGACTCAAAATTTATGGCGAGTACAGTCTGAAACCATCATTTCCTCAAAAGAAGCCTTTTGATCCTCAAATGACCTTGGAGGTGAGTGTTGTTTGCTGTGATCCTTCGCCCTAACTGTGGAGGTCTGACACATTTATTTACCTCTAGGAATGTGGGCTAGTGCCCAACGCAAAGCTGTATATATGTCACAGACACAAGTAGAACAAGTTCAGTGTATGTTTGTTTCGAGCCCCTATTATATTTGGATTCGCGTATGGCTTAAACATGAGCTTCCAAGTGTTCTGTTTTTTGAGTGTACGTTGGAAGGACAAAGACGCCCTGTCTTGCATTTCTTGAAATTTTTAACGCGTAGTGCTTCCTTAATTGACCTCTGTCGACCCTATTTCTTCCTCGCGTGGTTTCTACTTTGCAAGTCCAATTTCCAAACATCGAGATCTCGCTTTTCAGGAGAGTGTTTTGATGGACGATTCCAAGGCACTATAGAGCACGAATTATTTTAAGAAATTAGAATATTCTGGACTGTCGAACTGGAGGGATACAAGTTGGAACGTGTACAGAAAATTCCATTGACCAAACCCGTCGTTGACAACCAACAACGATGACACCAACCACTACGAAGCAGTCGTCAGATTCTACATTAGCGGACGTGACTATTGATCCACCAGATAAAATTAACGATAAAGTGAACCATTCCACGAACGGACATGCATCAACAAAATGTCATGGTAGAGTAGCAGACCTCGAAGCCATGGTACCAGGACAATGGTGGAAGACTGTATTTGCTGATGGAATGTATCTGAAGACAGATGGAGATGTCGTCGAAGATCCTGAAATCACCATGGAAGAAATAGCAATGCTTGAACAGGATTCTTCGCTGCGCAACATCTTCTCCCAAGGTGGAGATCAGTCAGGTAGACAATCATGATAATATTTTTTCAGTTTTGTTTGATTTTTCCTTGCATGTTTCGAGAATGGACGGACCAAACTGTCACGTTGACCGGTGAAGGGGTAACCAAAACTCGCTAATATCAAACCGCATGGATGAGGTCGTGAAAGAGTGAATTCTGAAAGCAATCATATTTCGTTTAGGAGGACCTGTCGCCAAAGTATTAGATTTATGTTGTGGACAAGGTCGCCATACTCTATGTTTGGCTGAGAAATATCCAAACCTTCAACTATTTGGACATGACCAATCCGCATATCTGATCTCGGTGGCTCAAGAACGAGCAACACAGCAGAAACTGACGGAAAACACTGTTTTCACCGTTGGAGACTGTCGACAAATCCCATACGCCGATACCACCTTTGATCTTGTACTAGTGATGGGCAACTCGTTTGGATACTTTGCGACCGACGAGTCTGACAACCACGTACTAGAAGAGATCCATAGAGTGCTAAAGCCAGGAGGCCGCATAGTATTAGATCTCACAGACGGTGGCTATATGAGAAAGAACTTTGCCGAACGTAGTTGGGAATGGATTGACGACATGTGCTTTGTATGTCGTGAACGTCAGCTATCCAAAGACGAACGTCGCCTGAGCTCACGTGAAGTCATCACTGTGACCAATCGTGGAGTCGTAAGAGATCAATTTTATCAGGAGCGACTCTATGCACGAGAAGAAGTGCAAGACATGCTGTATAGTGCTGGATTTGACGTTTGGGTAGAAAATGTATATAGTGAAGCAGCGGCCATCATTACCACTGCCAAAGACATGTCGAAACGTAACGAGGATCTGGGAATGATGGAGCAACGAATGTTTGTCAAGGCCTCGAGACCTGTGACAAATGGAGAGCCGGACGGATTGAATGGGCAGATGAAATTGAAGACGAACAGTGGCTCTATGGTCAACTCTGTATCTCTGTCTTCGTCAGATTCTAGTCCAGCTTCTAGCCCACCATCTCCCAAATCTTCAAACAATGTAGTTAGTGATTATGATCTCAAAAAGGACTTTGATGATACTTGTATATCTCCTGTACATAATTTGCCATATGCCAATATTCCCAATTTTACAGTAATATTTGGAGACGCAAGTATTCCTTGCATCGGTAAACTCAACAACAGCTGGAACCGAGAGGTACGTTATCCATTCGATCAGTCTGGCGATGAAATAAAGTGTTTATCCGCGTCCTTTTAGGATCTGGAAACTAGGTCTAAATTGATTCAAGCACTGGAAGAACTTGGATATTCTCTTGCTAGTGAAAGCAATTCTGATGGCATTCGAATACTCGAAAAGCACTCATTACTGATCTCTGACATCAAGGCCAATCTTCCTGGATTTGTCTTCAATCTCTGTGGGTATCGCGAGATGGAAATCACAGGTTTCTTTTGTTGCATAGTAGGACGCTAACCTTTCCAACTAGGCGACGAAGGATATCTTAATGACTCTGTAAAGGAGCTCCATATTCCCGCATTGTTGGGTGCGTGGACTACGCCAAAATATTTTTATCACTCGTTATATCCACTCTTAAATCAAGCAAAAGGCTCAAATATTTTAAATCTTCCCGTAGACCTAGTCGGTGTCAAGTACTCTGGTGCTGGACCCAACTGTCTCTCGATTTGCTATGACAAGGGGGTTGTAAATTCGACAGCATCAGCTATTGGGATCCCTACACCACGTGAAACGTATTATTTTGGTGGATTTAAGACCGGATCTGTAAGTATCGCGTGCAGTAACCTATTTGGGCTTTTTTTTGGCCCTGTTTTTCTTTCTGACTATATTGGAAATATGAAAATCAGGATTCCAACTTTTCTAACGATCTGGACACTCTTGATCGCACTATTACCGAGAAATTTGGATACCCTGCATTTGTCAAACCAGTGAAGGGTGACAATTCATACGGTATCAATGAACGCTCTATCGTCACGAATCGAGAAGATCTGCAACACTGTCTCGAAGCCCTACGACAAGAGTATGGCGTCCTGGATGTCATAGTTCAGGAATATCTCGACGGCAAAGAATTCAGCGTTGGCGTTATCGGCAACATTGAGACAGGATTGCACTTTTTGCCAACATTAGAGGTATTGAAACCAGGCCATGTTTATGTACCATGAATACTAACATATCACATCGTTTTAGGTGGATTATAGTCGTGTTGTGGACCAAGGATTACCAGCAATTCTTGGTTATGCTTCCAAGTGGGATCCTGATTCTCCCTACTGGAGGGATGTATCATATATCCCAACTCTTTCATTGTCGCCTCAAGATGAAGCTGATCTGAAGGCTAGCTGCGTCATTCTTTGGCAAAGATTTGGGTATGTTGTTGAGAAGGGAGATGTCAACCACCCCTCGACACCCAACTAACATTGCCTCAAAGGTTTCGAGATTACGGCCGCTTCGACTTTAGACGCCGTGGAGTAGATGGACCTCCGCTTCTTCTAGAAGTCAATCCTAACCCAGGCTGGTAACGAAACAAAGAACAAAGGACCGCTTTGGCCCATCCCTATCTGACCGTCATCAAACCAACTAACCCTTGTCAAACCGCTAGGTGCCATGATGGGAAGATGGCGCATATGTCCAGATTTGAAGGCAAGCAATACAATGCCTTGATTTTGGAAATACTGGAAGCGACGCACAAAAGGTTGTTTGGGGACTCGAAGTAGGACAGTCGAGAGCTTTGGGAGATTAATTATGTTAGCATGGTTGTAATCGGCACCAATGTATATGCAATGTGCTCGTTAAACCAATCCATAATAATACCACCTGCTCTTAAAAAGACACAAGCTTTGGTAAAACACTGTCACTAGGTTGCGAGCTTTCACGAATAGCAATCAACAATGTCCGTGGCGTCAGTGGCCTATAGGTATCAAAACTTGCCATTTGGGCTAGTCGAACTAGACGTTCTATGCCAAGATCTACTCGCTTTTCATTTTTTGACGGCCTTGGTAACTAACGCAGATCTCCCCCTTTAGCCATGTATATGGTCTCAAGTCAGATATCCGAGACAACATTCTATATTTAGACGACAATACTGTGATATATCCAGCCGGCAGTAACATTATAAGTGAGCACTTGCATCAAAAGCTATTTTTTGAACATTTTGTAGAATGGTGTTTGTCGGTCTACACCGACGAAACAGACTAGATTTGGAGCATTATGATTTCAAGATCTACTGGGAATGATTCGCAACTGCCTTCATAGTACTGACAATGAACAATTCTCATAGTTAGCAACTTTGAGCAGCATGTGCAGAGATTTGTCCCAGTATCGGAACGTGGAGACGGATTCTCAGCTATCGCTGTATCTCCGGATAAGCATCTATTCGCTGTTGCAGAGAGAGGCCCTACAAGAGCTTCCATTCACGTGTATGACGTTCAGAACTTTCGTAAACGCAAAACCCTCGTCCCTGCATCTGAGTCATATACTGCAAAGGTATGGAACCATTTGATAACCGATTCTAAAATGGCCAACAACTCCAATTGTTGGTTTTAGGAGTTCTCGCACCTGTACTTTTCACCCGATTCGAAATTCTTGGTCGCTCAATTGGGACAACCGGAGAATGTGTTGCACTACTTTGCATGGGAGAAGGGCAAAGTTATTTCGTCTATACCAATTGGAACTGGAGAGGCTCCCAAAACCGTTCGACAAGTCAGTGTAAATCCATCCGATGGAACTCTAGTTTGTGTCTCTGGAGAGGGATTATTTGCAGTATATAGATATACAGATGGATCGTTTACGGACGTACCAGTCAATGGATTATCTGAAAACCAAGTAGATATTTGATTTTTGGAATGCCGTTCCTGCATTGACTTATCATAATGTTTCTTGGCAGGACTATCGAGCCCACACATGGATTTCACAGGAAAGATTAGCCGTTGGAACGAACACTGGCATGATTTACGTACTAGAAGATTTTGCTGTGTGTCAAGAAATCAACGTGGGGTTGGATTGCATCGAGTCAATAGTACCGATAGAAAATGGATTTGCCACTGGTGGCCAAGGTGGTTCCGTCATGGTGTTCGAATGGATAAATGAAGGCACATCAATCCACCAACAAGTACCCAAACGTAAAAATGCTCCAATTCAGACTATGAAAGAAATTGCTGCAACTATGGTGAAAGTAGTTTCAGATGGTTACCACTTAACGAAACAAGTAGCACTACCAGACGAAAGCGTTGGAATCCGAACCATGACCTCGTCTGTCACACATACCACCATTCTCTGTGAATTGGAAAACAATCAAATACTCAAACTCACGCTGGCACAACCTGAAACTGATTCTAAAGAAGAGGCGTCAGGATTCAAGCCACTATCCCAACCATTCCATCACGGCGCGGTAACGGGACTGGATTTATGTTGCCGAAAACCTCTTGCTGCCACTTGCTCAGCCGACAAGTCTGTCAGATTATGGAATTATCTGACGGGTATGGTCGAATTGACTCGATATTTCCCTGATGAACCGTTCTCTGTCGCATTACATCCCTCCGGCTTGTATATATTGATTGGATTTAGTGACAAACTCCGGCTCATGAATGTGTTGATGGATGATTTGCGACTCTACAAAGAGTTCGCCGTTCGTGCTTGTCGTGAGGTAGAGTTGGAGGTGTTGTCTATGTGCCCTTTAACTTCAAACTTAGATTGTGTGGAACAACTCATAGGTTCGCTTTTCGAATGGTGGCCATCTCTTCGCTGCAGCACACGGAAACGCCATCCAAGTCTTCAATACTTGGACGTTTGATATTATTGCTGTCTTAAAGGGACATAATGGAAAAGTCAGATCTTTGCATTGGACTCCAGATGATCAGTTTTTAGTGTCTGCTGGATCAGATGGAGCCGTTTACACCTGGAGTGTTCTAGATTCCAAGCGAGAGAGTGAACATATCCTTAAAGGCTGTGGCTATTCAAGCGCTGTTTCAACACCAGATGGAAAGAGAATATACGCTGTTGGATCTGATAGGATGCTGAAGGTAAACTCAATGCGCAAAATCAACCCAACCTCCAACACAATCTCATGGACAAAAACTCCTCATAGCAAATCACCGACTCCGCCGTCACTTGTGAAATCGACTGTGGAGTGACTTTGACGCAAGTCATTCTCTCTCATTCCGGACGTATGATGTTTGCTGGTTGTTCGACCGGAACTGTTCGAGCAATGAAGTATCCGCTCTCTGGTGATGCTTCAGATTACCAAGAACACGAAGCTCATTCTGGAGCAGTCACTCGTTTCCGACTCTCATATGATGATCAATTCCTCTTCTCAACTGGAGAGGATGGATGCTTATACCAGTTCCGTGTGTCTGATCGGGAAGATCGTGGAATGAAGAGGGAGCGTGGTCTTCAATTTGCTGATGAGGTACGTATTTTGAGGTTGTCGTGCAACAACAACCTTGCACTTACTAACGTTGTTTATCAAAAATCCTAGATTTTGATTACAAAATCTGACATGGAAGAAAAAACGGCATCAACGTTGGAGCTTCAACGATCTCTCGAAGAGCTCAAACTTGAGCACGAATACCAGATACGTCTGCGAGACATGTCGTTTGGAGAGCGGCTCAAGGAAGTGTCAGAAAAGCATGCTCAAGAAGTCGAAAATCTCAAGATTTCGACAAGTATTCTTCGTGGTGAAAAAGACAAGGAGGAAGCTCGGCACGAAGAGGAAGCAGAGGACCTTAAAGTCCTCCATGCCAACGAACTTCACGTAAGGCCTTAAAAGTCATCATTTTCCAATGGTACCATAGTGATGCCAACCACTACTTTTTCATAGGACTTGGAAACTCGCTTTAGTACAGAGTTGATGGCTGAATTCGACAAGTTCACACGGTTGCAAGGCGACTCTAGTGTTATGCAAAACGATTGGGATGCTCAAGTTCGACAACTGGAACGAGAAGCTCAGAATGAATTGTCTGCTTGTTCCGCAGCGTTTGAATCAAGGCTTAACAAGAAGGTTGCGGAAATAAACAAGGTTGGTTGTGGTTTTGTGTGAAGTTGCATGCGAATTCGAGATGGTTGACAATTTTTTTAGCTACAAGAAGAGCTACGCAGTTTACAAAGAGAGCATGCCGAGACTTCACGACATTTAGAGGAGGAAGCTGATGCTGAGTCAGAGACTTTAATACAGAAATACGAACGAAAATTGCGAGGAGAACGTGAAGAGGGTGCAAGACTCAAGGGCGAGAATGGTATCATGAGAAAAAAGTTTCTGACTCTGTCAAAGGACATTGAAGATCACCGTCACGAAATCGCTCGTCTTCACGAAGAAGAAAAGCGACTCCGTGCTATTGTTTCAAGTTTAGAAAAAGATGCCGCAGCCCTCAAGAAGGAGGTAAGATCCTGTTATAAAGAGCTATACAGTTTTAATATTTGGTCCTGTAACGCCGACTTATCCTTGTCTTAGATGGGCGAGCGTGATGAAAACATTCAAGAAGGAGAACGAAGAATGTATGATCTGAAAAAGAAAAACCAAGAATTGGAGAAATTCAAGTTCGTATTGGATTTCCGCATCAAGGAACTCAAGGAACAAGTTGAACCCCGAGAACAAGACATTTCTCGAATGCGGGATGGAATTGAGGTGACACTTAACCTTTTATCTTCGTGGTGAGTTGAAATGATACTAACTTTGTCCTTGTTTAGGAAATCAATGGTCAATTGGGGCGCTTGGCGAATCACAAAATCAGAGTTGAGGAATCTATACAAGCTCTATCGACCGATCTTGCTCATCTCAGGCAAGACTATGCCAAGGAACAGAGACGAGCAAAAGACGTTGCACATCGTATTCGAAGTTTCAGGAGTGATCTCATAGAGAGTGTTCAATTTATTCAAGAACCAGAGAAACTGAAGGTAGCTGTCCCAAAGGAGGGTATCAAAATTGGATTTATTGTGGAAATCTTCATTAATATTGTATCCATCTTAACAGAAATCGGTCTTGACACTCTTCCACAAGTATTGCAAAGCAGACGAAACTTCAAGACCAAAACTTGAACCTGATGTGGATCAGGAACTCACAACGCATAACTCTGCATTGTGGGAGGATGTGAAGCATTTACGTGCTGAAGTCAACGCTCGAACTGCTCTGTACCGAAAAGAACACGCCAAAGCAATATCGGAAAACAAGGAATTACTTGGGTGCGTTGGGTTCTCGATGAAGATGCAGTATCAAAATCGCTCTAACGCTGCTTCCATATTCAGAGAGATTAATTCGCTACGGCGTACTGTTGGCAAGGATGCTTCGCTTGCACATGCTGTCATTTTGGACAGAGTGAACGATGTTGGACCACGAAGACGGTCATCAAGAAGGGAGCCATCTGGTAAGTATCACGTAATGAGCATACGCCTGGACACATTTTAACACATTCTTTCATCTAGATCGGACGTCATCCTCACAACAACTACCGTCGGTACGACCGCCAATAATGGTGGTAAACAGCATGTCAAGTACTAATACGCGTTAATTAAACTTGTGAATCACAACATCCTTCCTAATTTGAATATGACTTGTCTTTTTGGCCTCATAAACACGCGTGTCAAAAAAAGATTTTCAGATTTTCCTCCCACGCCCCTCGTTTAACTACACACAGATTCTACAAAAAACCGCTGTCACATTGACCCAAGGAGAGAAGAACAAAGGAGCGACAACTATGCAATATCTCGACATGAGCAATTATCAAGGCTCGAGCAGTCATCCCGGCTCACCTACCTTCAACTATACAGGTGCATTTGACCAAAGATCCTCCACGCTGCTTGCAACATGGGTGGCCGTCTATTCCTTGCTATTGATATGGGCACTTGGAATTCTCTTGAAATACGCACTCATTGGCTGTAAGAATCTGTTCCCATACGTACCGATTGGTGGTCGTGTCAAACCTTCTGGCATTCGAACAAGTCGCGGCATTGGAGCGACTTCTTCCAGTGCTGAAGAAGAGAGCGAGACTGTTTTTGGAGGTGGTGCTGGCGAAGCTGAAGAGTCTGAAAGATTCGGGACTTGGGTAAGCCGGTCAGCGCACCTGTCATTGTCATCAGCGTACCGAACACTTATAAACTCTCTTCTTGATTTTCTGATTTTTGGTCTAGATATCTCGTCTTGATCATGTATCCGATGCATTGAGAACCAATCTTCTCTTGTTGTTGGCAGCAGCCACCTTGATATCATTGCCGATCGAATACAGCTGTGCTACACTCTTCAAGACCCAGGCTGGTGCAACTGCCATCTCTTGTGGACCATGCATTTCAAATGCCACGTCTACTATCTCGACGATCTTGGTCTGGCTTTTTGTGGCTGCAACCATGGTTAACATTTCTTGGGTGGCGTTGTCAAAAGCTTGTCTGAAATTCTGTCTTGTTGGACATAGATCTGGGGACTCTTGGAGCTTCTCGTGTCAGACCCAAACAGTGCTTCTGCGACTAGGTTTGCCATCGTTCTTTTGGTATGTTGAACACATCAACCGTACAATGACAGCAAATATCTCTCTCACTAACTTGCCACTGGTCAATGCATAGTCTCAACCACTCATGATTGTCATCTTCATTATGGCTTTTGCTCGCTGGAGTTACCTCAAGGTAATTCCATCCCTCTCGCATGAGCGAAGTCAAAATATTGACAGTAGCCAACACAATTGGAATCTGATAGGGTTTGGAATGTCCAGAAAAAGCTTCCACAATGTTTGATTATCATTACACGAAGGATATGTACGATCTGTTGGTTCATGGTGTCAACCTACTTTAAAGAAGGTAGAAAAAGTGAAGGGTTTCAAAAAGAGGGAAAATGCATGCTTGAGGATATGTAGGGCAGAAAAAAAGAAAGATTTTATGAAGTGTTGTATTAGTTCTATATAGGATTGCTGGAAGAAATAGGAATTAGAATATCAACAATGTCTGCCCAGCTTGTCTTCCTCACGGTTTTTGGTGGCAGTTCCGAGTCTGGACACTTATTCCAGTTATACGATCCTGCGTGATATTGATATTCGTCAACAAAGACTTCCCAAACACAAGCAAAGTCACGGCATTTTCAATACAAACCTTCCAAGTCAAACAAAATTGCGTAGAGACCGTGGTTAGATACATCTTTTGCATAGTCGAGATTGTCGTCAACTAATAAAACAGCAGATGCCTCATCACACAACTCTGCTTTGGATTTTGAAACCAAGCCTTGATAGTGCACATGGTCTGTCGGGTGTATCCAATGATTGGCAAAGTGAATGTGCTAATAGTTTTCCATTTGTAAGCCAACTTTCCAGATGGATTGAATGAATGTGACTGACCTCATCATCAAATATGCCCGGATAATGCTTTTGTATGTTTGCTATTGTTGCAGCTCTTATGAAATCTTGTCTCGAGGTAACCACCACCAGATCATAGAACTCTTTCAGCCTCTGTAAAGCTTCTAGTGCGCCAGGCACTGGATCGAGATTTGCAAAAGAGGCGAGTTGGTACCATTGGCGAACTTTGGCCGTGGCGCCTTCACGGTTGCCTCCCCAGACCTATCACAGGATATCGAATAATGGCGATGAATATTTTTGAGTCCTTTTCATAATTTTGAATAAGGCCGAAGAGTATTTGAACACTCCTTGATGTGGTTGTAAAAGGCATTTCTTTTTCTTTCAAGATTCGCGAGATGTTACCTCCCAATAGTTGTAGGAAGAAAAATCCGCTGGCACGAGACTAGTTGCATAATGCTCATTGTGAAACTGGCAAAGTCCCTGGTCGATACATACGGTTAGCTCTCGACGAAAAAGGAAATCCATCATCTCATTGTGACAACAGGATGTACCTCGACGGTTTTGAGCAGAACGTCGTCACAATCAATCGCGAGCACAGGCTTGACTCCCGGCTTTGTGAGAAAGAGACTTGAATCTATAACCATCGTGTACGGGATCGGATAGCCAAAACAAACTGCTGTTGACGTTTTCAGAGGTGTACGCTGAAGTCAAAAGTACGAGGGTCCTGGAGGATGGGGCGCATCTCGACGTTGGAAGCGTGTTTCGTCAATATCGACCATTTTATTCTGACCGCTGGGTGTAAGGTTGAAGTGTATGTCTTTATTGCTATTGGAGGCTCAGAAAACATCAACCAGTTGCTGATGAGCGTGACGATGTGTAGCAACAGCAATTCTGCGCAGGTGTAGCTACAGCTGAATGATGGGAAAAAGTGCCGCGAAGGTTGGTTCCCTCTGTCCATTTTGCTCCAGCACTGCTCTACGTGGAATACACAACTTCATATTGACTGGTGTTTAATGACTGAGAAGGTAAGAGAATGCGCCTATATGAGGTAGCACGTACCATAGCGCATATATTAACTCATCCCGTATGCCCGTAGACTTCCTCGTTCTACAGGTATAATACAGCAACACGCATCGTTCCAATCACTTGTGTTTTGTTGACTGAAAACACTTGCTTATGCTACACTCTAATTGTGCGTTAGATTTGGGGATCTTTCATGACTGCTCGTCGAAAATGGACTCTTCTTCCCTTACTTCAGCTGGTCTTCTTTGTCTCATGGGCGCTCATGACAGTCATGTTGTACCATTCACTCACTACAGGCACTGCACATCCATCTCCCCAGCGGCAGCGAGTACAGCGAAATATACCATTGGAATCCAATCCAGTACCGAGATCCCTGAATCTCACAATGTACAACTACGTTCCCACGTCTCACATGAAGGACGCCAAGATGTTGTGGTATGACATTCTCTTTCGCCAGGACGACAGCAGGATCTTTATCGTAAGTTTTGGCTTCGGTGTAGCTACCGTTTATGCATCACAATCCCTCATCGTCTTGTATTCATTGAAATGCGAGACAATGAACTCACACACGAGAAGCAAGCAACGCACTTCGCTCGATTAGCATTTTCAAGTATTCACCATCAACAATCTCTTCTAGATAGGGCCTGGCCATGCCGAGAAAGTCTTGCTAAAAAGTTCACGGTTTTATATTGATGGAGAGGTCGCTGATGCTGTGTGGCTCGCCGACACTGCTCACGTCTTTGTAGTCCAGCTCAAGATTGATATAGATCCGCTAGTGCAGAGAGTTAGGCTCGACGCTCCAGGTGCGGGAGTGACCACTTGGGTTAGCCGGCAACCAAACAAAGTACCGGATGCCAAACTCGGTGCACAACTGGTCTTTGCAAACGATTCAGACACGATGGCTTTAAATATTGCGTACCATCATCACTTGGGCTTCAACACCTTTTATCTCTATGATAACTCAATTCAGCATCCCTATCCTCAAACCCCGACTCCCACAAAAACTCATAGACAGTGCGTAACAACTAGAATGAGTTTGACGACATCAACTAGGACTTCCACGGATCAGGCATTGATCCCTCTCTCAGCCTCTCCACAAACCACCTTCCATAGTCTAGACTGTATAGAAGACACTACGCCATCCCCGCTGCAATCATTCAATACATCTCTTGTAAAGCCCTTATCACCATATGGCGTCTCACCGTATTTAAACACCACCACCGTTCAAAGACTACTAGACTCCCTTCTAGCCCTTATTAAAGACCCCGAACGACCTCTCTATTTGATCTTTGCAGATTGGCCATTCATGTATTTTGGGGATAGTAATATCAATAGTGGGCAGGTTACCGCTCAGAATCATGTCTTGTACCTCTCAAGCCACCACATCAACTGGATGATGCTGATCGACCATGACGAGTTCCTAGTGCCTCGCATATCGTCACAAAAGTCGGCTGAATCTTTCTTTGATACAGTTGACGAAAAATATGTAGCAGTGTCTGTGCAGTCGGTATGGTTTGCACATGCATGTTATGAGACCAATGTAACTTTTGGAAGTACCGACTATATTGAGAAGCTATTGTGGAGGAATAATAACGCACTTGGTCCGCATTATCGGGAAAAGACTATAGTCAGGCCGCATCTAGTAAAGCAGTTTAGAACGCATTTCGTTGAAATAGGAACGGCCGACGTTCTCCTTGTGGATCCCAGCGAAATTTGGTTTCACCATGTAAGTTACTTGCATCTGTGAAACGCTGTCCAAATACTGACTTGCGTAATTCGCTAGTATCGGCCACTGACGGCATGGACTAAGCAACGTGCATCAGAGTGCATGTCGCATCAGACAGACACATATGATCCCAGAATACTTGAACTATGGATACAAAACTATACATTTAAACCAGCTGCATCACCACCGGCACTTCCGTCTCCAGTACCATCTACTGTCCTATCAGAACCAACCGAACTGCCGGAAGGAGTTAATCCAATAGTTCTCCCTGACGGAACTGTTGTAGTTCCAGATGGCATCGAACCATTACCTCGCGTGACAGGCTCTCTGGGCGATCATATAAGTCCGCCAACTCTAAGGAGGCCAGCCATAAGAAAGCACACAGAATCCGTTATAAGGCCAAGAAGGACGAAGACGTTTAGAATTCCTTCTCCCACTCGTTTGGTTCGACAACCGTCACAAACACCATCTAGATTCCATCCGATACTGGCTAATATGCAAAACAGCCATATTCCGCTCAAGCCCTCAGCTGCTAACATCAATTATAATAGGAAAGAATTCGATACGCTGGGTGCCGGTTCTGAGTCTCAACTTGTAATAGGACGTGTCTTATCATCTGTTGACAACAGTTTTGAAGCGAATCAAGGTGATTCTACGACTTCGTCCGTCATTTGGACTTCTACTGAGGTTATACCGGCTGCTGCTTCAGCTATTCCACCGCCAACGAGTCCTGTTATATCAGGTGTCGTCCCTACAGCAGTAGTAGTCTCGGCAATATCGTCATTGATATCATCACAATCATTCAGTCCGGTGAATCCGACATCATTACCCACGCTTCATTCGACCAACTCTCCAACTGTAGAACGGACTCCAAATGCCAGTCCCTAGCCACATTAGCATAACAACAATAGTGTAATACGGACTCAAGGCCCATTGTAATATAGCATTAACAAAATGTCATTGTAACTATAGTCAAGCTAAATTAAACCACCACTGAATATACTGTAGTATAAATGAAGGGTCTGCATTACGATGAATGAGAAATCAAATGAGGTCTATTTGAAACGTTACATATTTGCTGCAATTATCAACATGTGTGAGATATATATACGATGAGGCTGGCAGAATTATAATTCGAGGCTGGCGATGATGGTCTCTGAGATAGCCAACACAAATGGATCAAAGGTTCCAATGACAACGGTGATGTGAGAAACTGTGGTTGCGTTCAGGTGGAAACCACTCACGAGAGTGACTGGAGGATAATGTAAATGTTGGAGAAAATCAGTGCCTGATTGTGTAGAACTGGAAACAAGGACAGTCTTACTGATTGCGGCAGTTGCGCTTTGCAAAAGGTCTTGATTCAAGATGAAGGCTGGTGATTGAAACCCCTTTGAACCTCCCGGTATTGTCCAGTGTTGAGAGCTGGATAAGTACCCCAGATTATGGTCCTGAAAACAAAAATCACATTTTCTTAGGATTTTGGGTGACTATGGATAAATACTCAAATTAACATACTTTAGATGTGATATTTGATTCGAGGTTGATAACATTCAGATCAAAACTAAATGGATTGTCGACAATGACGGAGACGGATATAATTGTTGGGAGCAGTTGCACCACTCCTAGCTTGGCGCTAGTTAGAATGGGAGAGAGTCCGGGTGCTTGCAGCACGGTACTAAGAAAAGAGGTGTCAGCGAGGCCTTGCAAAACTCCAGAGCGTCAGACGGCTTACGGGAATGAAAGAGTTGAAATAGCGGCGTCTAGACTTGCAATGGCAGTGCTTCCATGGCGTCCTTTCGCCATCAAAGCGGTCGGTATATTGGTTATAAAATTCTGTATCAGAGACACGGAAACAGGTGGCGGCAGAAGAATAACAGATGCAGTTACATAATTATTCCCTGGAGTCAGGGAAGCTCCTGAAATCGTAGCAGTTCCAATAAGGATGGCGTTTATATCGTATACATCAAACGTCAAATCACCAACGCTCAATGTTGTCGTGGCAGGATTTACCACCTAGGAAACGAATGTCAGGAAGTAATCTCTAGCAAATAGTCGTGAATGCTCCTTGATGTGCTTACATTGAATGGAACGGTGATTCGAAATCCAATTGTACTAATTCCAGTGATTGTTGCTTGTCCTGCAATACCAGAACCCTCAAATCCTCCAAATCCGTTGAGACTCCACGACGTTTTGAACGCTAGACCTGATAGCCCCAAGTTCCCAACAGACGACACCATGCCTACACCAGCTGTTCCCTGAATGGATATCGACACTGTAGATGATGATGGTGCAGAGACAAGATCTGTCAGGAATGATTGGAAGACCGTCTGTCCTGCAGAGTCCACCGCTAAAACTCCAAGAATACTGGATTGAATTAAATGACTCTGGACACTTCCAGTAGCAGGCAAGACTCCAGTAGACAGCACCCCCACAGGAGAACCGGAATATGATACATTTGCGCCCTGTTGCAAAAGATAGATTGTAAGCCATACGATAATTGTCAACGGAAGGTATACACATACAAGCTGCAGGGTATTGAATGGAAAACTAACATCCAGCGGAAAAATCATGGCTGACGAGATTTGCTGAATCGTGACCTTGGCCGCGTACGGTGTTGCTGCTGCAAGTTGAAACGAAGCCTGTTTACCGAATGAGACGTCACGGACAACATCTGCTGTTGACGTGGGCGGCAGTATGAAAGGGAAGGCTATCCCCACTACAGAACTCCGAAGCCAGCTAGGTGTATTGTAATCTCCCACGTCTTTGATACTGAGCGTAATAGTGTCCCCGGAAACATATGAGTTCACTAGTCCCTGTAACTTTTCTACAGCAGGTACGCCATCTGACGAGTCAATGACACCAGTAGAGTTTATGATGTTGATTCCTTGTGTTATGGTAATGTCGTTTGCGATTCCGTTTGCAAATGTAGCGTTGCCCAAGGACAGTTCGTAATATATGACGCCGATTTCAACCCAAAATGAAGACTGGTTGTCAATATACACAGAGGAGGATACTGAGCTTCCGCTGATATTTGCGGTTGGTGGGAGTCCAAAGTCAATAAGTTTGGCTCCAAGGAGTCCGTTCATGCCTATGGTGGATATGCGACGTCAGCAAAAAAAGATTTCAAGTAGCTTTACATGTAGTTGGTCGTAATTACCATCGAGCACTGCAGTCTTCTTAACCTCCACACCCCGAGACGTGAGAAACAGAGCAGACACATCAGCTCTACCATAAATATCTAGCTGAACTGTTTCCGAGGCGACCAACCTCTTTGCGAACGCCGCAAAAGCAGTACCGTTTACGATGAGCACTAACTGCTTGATGGACGCTTGTCCACTTCCCCCTTTAGCTGATATGTCTGGGAGAATAACATCAAAGATTCTCTGACCGCTAAACGAGATCTGTACTGGATTGCTTCCAAACGATATAAGAGCGTCAAATGGTCCGGTATTTAGCACCGTCAAATTGGCGGCGAGTACGAATGACTTCGTAGTTGCGTTTGCTATACCAGCTCCGTCGAATCGTATAGAGGCTCCATTGACAATGTTTTCTAGCGGGCAAGTCAGTGGTGAGTTTCGTCACAAAGCATACATAATTTTTTAGGAGTCGCAGCGAGGCCGTTGAAACACACCAAATAGTCTTTCAAGCACTTACGGAAGATTGAAGGGATGATCACCAGGAAGAGGACTGGCAGAATGATAGCAAGTATAACCAGTAGCAGCAAACAACATAATATCCAACATCTTGGCCTTTTATACCACGGTCGACGATGAATAACGTCAACTGTCTCTATATAATCAGGGTATATCTTATACTTGAGTTCATCATCACTAACAGGATGCTGTATTTGCTCGTAAATAACTTGGGGTTGTTGGTGTTGTGAAGGATTAGATCCAAGCACAATGGCGAGTACTCTTGGCGAAGAGGACGATATGCTAGATAAAAGACTGCTTCGGCGTGCGGGAATATCTTGTAATAGCGGTGTTCTCTGATATGAGGCTCGATAACTCGACATTGGGTTGGGAGACAGCACGACTGGTGGTTAGGCCGGTCTGATCGGTTTTTTGACAGATGCAGTCGATTTGAATGGAGTAAAGTACTAGATTTGTACTTTTGTTAGCCTTAATTTACAGCTCTAAAGATGGGCTTGTTACAACAATCACCTGCAAAAATTGGCCACTACAACAAGAGACGATGGGGTTTGGAGGACGCAGATCGAATGGGAATCATAGAAGATGTGGTGGTTCCTAATACTGATGAGAGCGACCGCATTGGTGTTTTCGCTGGTTGGGTGGTTGCAAAGTTTGTGAAGTTTTCTGGAGGCTCAGAAATGATGTCGATGTCCAAAAAACTATAAGCAAACACAGAAACATGTCGAACTCCAAGATTAAATAGGCAGAAATATATAATAATAAATACAGACGAGCGACGAGCAGTAGCGGTATCAACTATTTCCGATTTAACCAAACATTTTCTTTTTTTCGACTTTTGTTTTTATCTCAAGGTAAAACTTGAGCTAACTGACTGCGTGAAGGGGATTGTTCCCGCTGGATATGTATTCAAGGTCATTGTGACCTTGTTTGAAGCAACAGCTGATACAGTGCCACCCGAGGTGATGAAAGCGAAAACGCCATCAGCTGTAGCGTTTAATGGGAATGCCGGGCTTGCAGCGTTTCTAGCATTTGCTGGAATGGTCCAAGTCATAGCCGAGTCGATTGTGGCCAACGTGGTCGACTAGTAGACAATAGCGTCAAAAATGGCAATTCAAAATTTAGTTTACAATCACCTACTCCTTGGGTAATAACCGAGACCAGATGAGTGATTGTTACAGGGATAGGATAATAATTGTTTGCGTACAACGTGATTGACAAGGCAGGAGGGAATATCGAGACTACGTTTACTTGTGAATTTGCCAATAATTCACCGGTCTGAGCAGGTAGCGACGAACTATGGACAAGGTACATTTGAGGGCTCGTATCACAATCGCCAAAGGTAACCGACGAATGTTTCCGAACAATACCTGAAAGATACACCAGAGAAAACGGGCACAAGACTTGCAACGTTGGTACTGTTAGCAAATCCTTGTGCCGTAACAGATGAAGCAGTATTCGATATGAAGGACCCGAGGAAGTTCACACCAGCTGCTTTTGCGGCATCCGTCAAAGGGTGATAATTGGCTACCGTTACGATATTATTCGCTCCAGGCTTGATGACAGTTGAACCTGGGATCGTTAGAGAGCCAATGACTTGACCACCGGATACCAAGTTCAAGCTGATTGCCCCGGCGGAGAAGGATACCGTTGAAGGATTGTTGAGCTAACAATGGATTAAGTTAGAAAACAAGGAGGCAGCAAATGGGAAAAGAAGAATACGTACTAGGATTGGGACATTCAAAAGGACACCAGTTGCAGCATCTGCGCTGGTGATTGTTGGAGGTGTTGTTACAGTGACATCATTAAGAGATCCGAAGCCACCCATACTCCTATGGAAGATAGAATTTTACAGTCAATCCCTGTAGTTTCGAGACCCAAAACAATAGATCTCTGATGAAAAACTCTTTCAAGAGTCCAAACCAATACATATATCTCACCAGGTTGTTGTAATAGGCACTCCAGGAACAGATACGATACCAGCCGGAGTAGACGCATAAACATTTGCAAGCCCTTTAATATTCACGGGTACCATATCTGAGGCAGCGCCATTGAATACGGCCGATAAGAAATTCTGGAAGGTCTTCTCTTGACCAGAGATGACCTGAAGTGCACTTGCAATGCTGGTTGTGAGCTGGCCGCCAGTACCAGATCCACTGGCAGGTGTTCTAGTACTGTTAATGACGGCCATGTTGACACCTTGGTATGCCAGAGTCAGATTCTACCAAGAGTTCGAGTCAATTCCAAACGCCCGATACATAAGCGAGAAACGAATAAAATGCCTTACCTGCTCGATAGCAGTGAAATTGACATTAAACTTGAAATCAGGAGATAGCCCTGCTACAATCCCACCAACTGTGAGTTGTGGAGCATATGGTGCTGCGGCGTTGAAACTCAATCCAAGACCTCCACCTCCAAATTCCACTGACTGGATCAAGGAATCACTGCCCCCTGGAGCCATCAAGTTGAGCTTCAAGCCAACGATTGCACTCTTGAGCCATTGAGGAGCTCCACTAGTTACGTCAGTCGCTACCCCCGTCAACCCTTGACCATTTACAAAGGCCTGGAAGAGCGATTGCAAGTTTGCCAATGGTGTAACATTGTTTGCACCGGCGTTGATCTGTCCTACGGCACTAAGGGAGTTATTGCCTTGTTGCAAACTGACGTTCTTGGTTGTGACGGTTCCTATGGTGGTGTTGTCTGAAAGCGCCAGTGCGAATAATATATCGCCGACTTGGACATTAAAGTTTGATGGGTTGGAAAGGGTCAGCGACGAAGTTATTGGGATACTGCCATTGACTGTTGTGGGTGCACCGATATTAAAGTTATTCAAGGTCACGTTCTGAAGTCCTCCCAAACCTAAACGAGAGATGAATGAATGAGACTAGTGCTATAATACATTCGAAGAGAACATACCATTGACTGGGACAGTCTTGTCCAATGCTAGATTATTGAAGCTTTGACCAGCCGCTGCTATCGACAACGAGTCGGTAAATTGAAGATTCACTACATTCATATTCAACAAGTCCCGATTGAATGCTGCGAGCTGCGTAGTGTTGTAAATGGTAACAGTCTGTCCAATTGTAATGTTTGCACCTCCACCACGAATGTTGACGGGATTTACGGTAAGATTAAAGATTTGATATCCGTTATAGCTAACTACTATGGGTCCATTGTATGTCAATGTAGCGTCGGTGGTGCCAGCGTTTGTGATACCCAGCACGGAATCCAAACGGAAGGTAGTTGCAGTTGGCTGCGTGATACTTGCGGAAGTGAATGTCAACACAGCACTATCAAGTGTTCCCTCTACAAACGCTGGTGTGAGACTTCGTAACATTAGGCAAAATCTTGGCATACGTACGAATTGCTTTCGGGATGATGACCAAAAACACGATTGGTAGTAGGATGATCAATAGCAAGATCAAGACGGCCGTGATGATGAAGCACGTAATCCATTTTCTACGTCGGTACCACGGTGCGGATGGCTCCGCCTTTTCGTCAGCAGGTTTATCCCAGTTGTATTGGTAGTTGTTATCTGGGGAGACCAACGTCCCTTGAGGAGAGACCGTCCATCTCTGTACATCAGACATCTGCTGAGGTTCCGTTTCCGTAGCGGGTACTGACGCATATGCTGGTTCACCAAATCCCGTTCCTATCATTGTATTTGGTGCCGTTGTGCCTGGCAGACTCGTTTCACCCAAGTCATGCTCTAAAGGTGCAGGGGCGTTCGCCATGTATGATGGAGGTGCAGCGACATGTCTCGGCGGCGCCGGTCTTTGCATATTCATCCATGAGCTCATTCTTGCTGGGTTGCCGCAGAGACTTTTGCGACGGATTCGTTCCGAAAGAAGGCAGCAAGAGAGATCCTAGTACATCAATGCCAAATGATTAAATTCTGAAGGTGAAATCCGTTGGATGCAGCAGCAGTTTTCAAAGTCAACAAGAGCGACGAAAAGCCAAGCGCTGCCGTTAAACTATAATGCGTGTACTTGACGATACCGGAAAGGAGAGCACTTACTGGTCTATAGTGATTGATGCACTGTGGATTGGGTGCCTTCTGGATGAGAACTTTTGTGATGGGTTTCAGCTGTACAGCGTCCGTGTGTGAAGAGAAGGACAAAAGCAAGCAAGCAAGCACTATGCAAACAAAACAAGACTGCAATCAATGGCCGAACAAGCTTGTTGAGGAGTTAGTATCGACTGGAGATCTGGTCACAATTCCTGTTTAAACGCTGAAAAGCCTGATAACTTGGCATCGTGCATATTGCGGACGTTGTCGTTGTGAAATAACAGGCAAACCTAAAGAGACAGCCCAGGAGAAAGCTAAAGAGAGAAGAGCGAAGTAGTGAAAATATATTATTTTCTTGCTGTGAATCTGAGCCTCTCCATTCCCCAGTCTGTGTTTTTGAACAACCGCATCATTGGAGCACTTTAGATCACTTCTGCTTTACATTAAAGTGAGTAGGCAGCAGATGAGCTTTCATCGCTACATCTCTAAATAATAAATAAGGGAAGCTTAGCTTACGAGGTTGTTGCGACCGTCGGCGATCATCGTTGGTCTTTGTTGCCCGAGCGTAAAAAGGAGGTTGGAAGCTGACGAGGCTAGAAATTCCGATTTAGAGAAGAACAGTCAAATAAATACCATCGGACCATATATCAGATACCAGCTGCTGGAAAGCCCATCAGGAACTATTCCGTGAAAACCACGTATCTCATCAAAACACTCCCTTTTGTTTGCGTGAAGATCCTCTTGGACAAACACTCAAATCAAAAGCAAGCAACTACAATCAACTGCCACCTATAGACGCCGTCAATTGTCTGCAAGCTTACCGCATTCCAGTCCGGCAATCATCGTCAGGCAAGTCCAAAGGACCACCATATTCTCTGTCAGCAACCACACGTTTCCAAACAAAAAACGATATCTCCAAGACAAGCTTCGCTTTCAATCCAAACTTGCTTGCCTGAACGCAATATTAACCTGCACATACAATATAGTTTACATTGAATACATCGGTACTCTGATAACTGCTGCGTACACATCCTCCCGCTCAACATTAACAATCCCCAGTCAACGAAAAAATAAATCAGTGTTTTGCAAAAGAAAAATGCTCTCAGCTGAACACTCTCATAGTATTGCTGGCAAACGAAAAGTAGGCCATGACCTCAACAATCAATGCCAAACGACCTCTCCACTGTCATCTCTTCAAATGCCATACCCAATGCCAAACGATATCCCCCGTGATACCTCACCAAATCGATTGAATGAAGCTCTATTGCTCATGAATCTCAAGTCTGTCATGTATACTCCTCCACAGCCATACGAAATTGCACATAGTAGGAGGCCATTCAAAAAACTGTCGTTTGACTGTATAGCTGATGCCTCCGCTAAAGAGGGTGCCTCATCCCTGATTGCCCCGCTTCAGGATATGGAAATGACGGACGCTCCGCCAGAGTCTACTCGAACCATACTAGGATATAGTAGCGACGAACACTATGGATCTACTGGCATTCCAACAATCACATTGCCACAATCCAGACCCGGAACGACAACACCACCTACCATGATGGACTCCTCAAACGCACAGTCATCAACATCATCACCAACATCCACAGACTCGTCATCGTCGTCAACAGATACAGCCATCCTCGACGAGACCGTAGAACGCAACAACAAGTTAGTCTGGGCGCAAGCATTAGCATCTATAGCATCAGCACCACCACCATCAGGCAATAATACCTTTGCGCCGCCAGCACCACCACCATCTCCATCCCGCACGACCCCCGTTGACCCTACAAACATATATAGTCCACCTAGATCATTTGTAGCAACTGGCAACTCGTCTCATTCCAGGCATAACTCGTATACTAGTCCTAGAACAGCATCCATGCTAGCAAGTCCATCACCTCATCGTAAACATCCATACTACCCACCAAGTACTGATGCACTCAACTCAGAAGAGCTTCGAAGAAGGTTGAAGGTTGTAAAACGATCAGAACGTAGTGTAGCAATGCCAGATGGAGTAAAGAGTAGCTTTAGATACGTATTCTGATAAGTAGATTGCAACAAAAGCTATTGTATATAGGGAGAGTGTTTTTTGAATAGTGATATAGTAGTGATGCCTTGTCGAATTGCCTTTTGAAGGAAAAACACCAAGTGTTTTGTGTATATCCAAATGTTTGTATAGTATTATAATAAAAAAGCTACAACGAGATATGCATTTACTAACTACTAGCTTCGATTTCACAAGTGCAGCGGCATGAAGCAAAACCTACCAAACATGGCTGATACTGGGCCGACGCCGTGGCTCTAAATACAACCTAGGTACCCAACCACGAGTTCCAGTCCTATCATCCGACGATTCTATAATCTCACCAAACCACCAGTCTTCGCTTCCATCCGCTTCAGACCCATCAGAGGCGGCGCCCAACCGTTCTATTCTCACAACATCACCTGGTTCGAGTCTGACTTCTAATTCATCTTCAGGATCAAATGCATACACCACATCAGCATCAAACAAGTAATTACTAGTGGGCGAGAGCGCCTCGTGTACCGAAGTTCGAGACGCCCTATCTGCTGACAATGCTCTAGACCGTCTTTGTCCAGGACCATGATTTGATTGAGGCCTTGGTGGTGGTGCTGGTCTTGACGGCAGCTCGACATTGTCTACATTACTTTGGTGATTATTGGTGCTATTATAGTTATTACTGGTGATTGATGTAGACGAAGAAGAGGACAGGCCATCTTTTCTCTTGGTCCCAAATTCAAACGGCCTGAAGAGGGATGAGCCAGATGCAGACGGTTTCATGCTCTGTGAATTATGTCTGCGTAGAGTCGGCGACGTTCCTTCTGAGCTGTTTCTGCTAGGGATGCTAGGTCTGGTGGGAATACCGAGTTTTGGTGAAGGCATTGCTACTACCGGTCTCGGTGGAATGTACGGAGATGTTGCTGTTGACGATTCCGATTCACCAGTGACGGTCCTACTATGAGTTATTGGGCTCCAGCTACCAGGAGCAGGGCGACCGAATGGTGCATGGGTCGAAGAGGCATCGGATAGATCAGGAGATAATGCTCTATCAGGAGCTGCAAATCCAGCGCCTACAGCAATGCCATCCACCAAATATTCAGCCTCGCTGCTGGTGGTTTGATCTCCCCATATGCTTCTCCTCCATTTAGAAAGTGCACCCATTCCTTTAAAGGCTGACTCTACTGTTCCACCAACAGCCACTGACTGCTGATAGAGCGGCACTACTTGAAGCCCATCTACTATAGCTCCTGGTGGTAGGATGTTCATGATCGTGTGCAAGTCATAATATGTCTGAGCTTGAACAGTTACTATGCGTACGACTATTATATCTATCATGGATTCGACTAGAGATAGGAATTTTGGCAACTCTTCCACCAGTTGAGCATTCATACTAGTATATGTGTCTGCAGATTCCGCCAAGGCTCGATCTACTGGATCACCTCGAGTCCGAGCCTCCTTGACACGATTGAAATCCAATAACTTTGCATCTCGCTTCTTCATCAAAACTGTGGGGTTTTTGAATTGACCTTGCAACGAGTCCATAGTGGAATACACGGTGCCCTTCATTCGAGTGTCCTAAATGGCAAAAATATTCAGACATCTACAATAATAAATTGGGCATGATTCCTTCGTCCTTACCGCATCTCGCCATAAACTGGCAGATATTCTAGCTGATGCTTTACGATATTCTGACACCACATGTGATCCTCTGTCAATACTATACACTTCGTCCCAAGCAGTAGCAAAAGTATCTTCCAGTTCAGAGTATTCTCTAACAGACTTGATCCAATCGCCACAAGCCTGCCGTAACTCTAACATATCTCGTTGAAGCGACTCGAATCGATCAGACAAGGCTTCATATGTCGTGTCGACCTACATATTGTATGGGCCAAAAATAAAAAAGGGAAAAACGCGCAACTTTTAATCCGTAATAAACTTACAGAGCCTTTAGAGAGTCCTACACCTTCCTTGACTCGTTGGGTACCACGAGCAAGCTTCTTGTTGATACCCCGTCTGCAAAGAGAAAACAAAATTGAGACACAACTTTAATGTAATGTACACACCAGAAAGTCGCGACGAACACGTACACAATGTTTGTAGATCCCTTTCCTTCTACGTATTTCTCAACAATGTCCTTTCTTCTTTTGACTTCATTGATCTTTTCTGCAATGCGTTCCATTTCCACATAAGCTCGTCCAAGTTGCTGGAAGTCAGAATGCGTTGAGGTAGTATCCTTTATCAATTGCTATGAGAGAGGGTAGATGTTTGTAAAGGTTGGATAATCGTAATCGCATTTTTCAACTTCACTTTGATGAGTAACGGATATTTAAGCACTCTCTGCACCGGCTTAATCAGCAGCGAGCCCAGATCCCATGCTTGAGTCCTACCAGCCAGCTCTCCTTGTGCCGACTTTAGAAACTCCTTGACTTCATCTGCACCAGTCGGACCAGCCAATTCTTGCAATCGTGTCACTGAAGATTCATTATGTTTGCAAAACTCTGTAAAGACTTCCTCCAGTTGTGGAGCCTAATTTTGATGAAGAGTACTTAGACTCTGGCTGAAACGAGGATATGATAAGAAGGACTGAATTCTCACAGCATTCATGAAGGCATCTCCAGCGTAATCATCGTCAGGAACACAAGCTTCGTCTAGATATGATAGAAACCATCGAGAGACATCAATGACAGATTCAAGGTTTGAAAACAGAATCTTAACATCGGATTCTGATAGTACACCAGTTTGTATTGACGGATAGTAGAATACCTAGAAATCGAAACCGTTGGTCAGGGTTATAAAACAGAACTTGAATGGACTGCTCAATCATGTACATACATCTCGTAAAACTTCCATGTCATTCAAAAACGACCTCTCAGTATCTACTAGCTCCTTCAGCACATTCCGTCTTCTAGATTCACGCTTCTTGGCTTGATCTTCCTCAGTCATCTCACCACCATCTTCACTTGGTACAGGCGTTGACGATGTAGGAGGGCTAAAGGGTGAACTACGACCAGCCATCCGTGAGAAATCTTCAGATATAGGTGATCGCTGACCAACATATGCTGATTCAGGCAACTCGGTCAGAGGTGGTGGTGTTCCTTCTCTATTCATACTACTATCACGAGTCATTGGTGATGGAGGAGCTATTAAGTTTGCATTCATTACAGGAGAGTTGGGTGATATTATTGGTCGAGTCACCGATGGTGTACGTGAGAGCGAAGGAGCGGTTTTTGGTGGTTCGAATGTGAGACCTCCTGCACCAGCATTCAACGCGGCAATCCTTTCTGCTAATGGCCGTACCGGCATTACAGCGACTGGTTCTTCTTCTGTATGCGATGCTGTAGGTGGGGATTCTGAGTGTACTGGAGATGTTATAGATGGCGGGGGTGTTGGGCCTGCTACGAATGGATTTACAGATCGTTTCTTACTGGGCATTGGTGGTCGAGAATAGCCCGGTTTCGGTGGTGAAGAAGTACTTACTGAAGTTGGTGATATTGGTCGTGGTGCTATTATTATAGGATCAGCAGAGAGATTCGCAGGCTTTGCGGGCCTGACTGGCGGTGGATTCCTTAGTGAGCGATTTAATGAAATTCCACTACTAGCACCTTGTCCATCTTCTGTCGAAATAGATGCAGACGATGACTTGTACTTTAAACTACCTGGTCCTCGTCCGCTATCAGTCTTAACAACACCAAACGCCAATTGACCAGTATTGCCATTGTACTTTGGTGCCGTGTTTGCATCTTCAGCTTCGAATATCCTGCTAAGACGAGACACTGATAGTCTCTTTCCCTGAGCGTCATAATCCGTCTCGCTATCGGATCCGGCACTTGATCTCTTGCCATTACCACTGGAATCGTTGTTACTGCTGGTATTTCTACTTTTAGGTTTACTATGATGTGGTTGTTTTCTCTGCTGACTCTGCCAAGGTTGCTGTGTTGAGGAATGCTGTGGTGTAGACGAGTTGCTAGTAGACATTGCTACAGAAGACGCCATTTTTCTAATAGCGGATCCTTCGGGCGATATGACACTAGAGCGAAACGTGGCAGCAGAAGTCTGTTTGTGGAGAGGTCGTGATGTAGATGTTTGGGGCGTGATGTTGGAATTGGCACTCTGTTCAAACATTTTGGCCAAGTCTCCGACACGTTTTCGAGGCTCCGTCGACTCCATACTAGTATCTTCTTCCATTGTTAAGGTCTTTCAATTGTGATCCTCGATTCCTCGCTGATTCTTCAAAAGTTGAACTTTCAACCAGTCTGCTACCTAAAAGTGAAGGGAAAGGTGAGCAAACTTTGTTCCGTTTGGCTTGATATTTGGAAAGCAATTCGTTGCTCTTGCCCACGTACTTTGCTGCCCTCAACAGGTTGTTATCTTTTGTAGGTTCGACACCTTTTGAAGAACAGGGGCATCGAAGCTCTACGAAATATAATACGCTGAAATACATTATGGCATCATATTATTATTCTACATATGCCATTGTCTTCTACGTGGCAATCCTTATAGCTACTGTCGTGGCATTGGATTTGCTTTTCACAGGAAATGGAGAATTATTCAATGTCGGCAGATTCTTGATTGAAACAGACCCATACATGTGGGCCCTACTAGGAACTTCATTATGTGTCGGCCTATCTGTCTTTGGTGCTGCTTGGTATGTCCTCCTTGACCTTGTTTTCGTGCAATGGAACTCTGGTGTTTTGATTCTATTATCGTGTTAACCGTGTCCGTACCCTCAGGGGCATCTTCATTACTGGATCAACCATACTTGGTGCTGCTGTCAAAACACCAAGAATACAAACAAAGAATCTCATTAGTATCATCTTTTGTGAAGTTGTCGCCATCTATGGCTTGATTTTGGCCATTGTCTTTTCTGCCAAAATGAGTTACAATAATGAAGAGGGCGTCTCATTGACTCGGTCTGCTTACTTTGCCGGTAATCCGTTGGTTTTCTATTTGAGTAGACATAGTCCTTGACTGAGGCCATTCGTTGCAGGTTACTCATTATTCTGGTCAGGATTGACTGTCGGATTTGCAAATTTAGCATGTGGTGTATCAGTCGGCATTGCTGGAAGCTCTTGTGCTCTAGCTGATGCTGCAGATGGTTCTCTGTTTGTGAAGGTCCTTGTTATCGAAATTTTCGGATCTGTAGTAGGACTTTTTGGCCTGATTGTAGGCCTATTGCTCTCAGGTAATCAATTACATGCAGCTGCAGGTTCCTTTTAGCTACGATGGTTATGATGTTTGTAGAATGACAATCGTGGTCTCAACATTTCCTTCGTCGTGTAGGGAAAGTTGCCGATTTTAGGTGAAAGAAAGAGCCTGATACCCCTCTTGTAGTGTGTAAATACAAATTAGACCAACGCAAGCCTTTCTCTACAATTGGAAGTGTTTATTCGAGAGTTTTTTGCTAATAGGTTCACCTGGTTTTTACAAACACATTAGTGGTTGATTCCAATATTATATTATCCATTTTACACAGTAAAGTGCTCAAAATTATGCTATGATATTCTGCAACGCAACCACTTGACGTTGGCCATAAACTATATACTCCTCATGAGGATGAAGTGACGGTGGAACACTAGTCCCCCATTTAGAAGGACTCGCTCCCATCCAAAATTCAACCTTATTGATTTGACCAGGCAACACGAGCTCTGTATGCCGAATCCAGCTATTGTTGAAATTTTTTCCATTCAACTTCGCCTTTTGAATGTAAATGTTCTCTGGAGAAGCACCGTGAGCGATGATATCGACACCACTATCGCGTCGGTTATCTGGTCGTAGATTGACTTCCGGAATACTTGGCGAGCCTATTAAATGCGGGCCCGTCAGCAATAATATTAAAACCTGTGTCTCATGCTATCTGAAAACAAACCTATCAGATACAGATCTTGTCCAGCGACAGGGAAAATTCCAATCATTCCAAATATGACCCACGATCCCATAGACCTGATTGATTAACCATTAGTTATACACCGAAATGATATCTTTCAGACGCCAAAAGGCAAAACCGCACCCAGCGTCATCATTTCCAGGCAGACCATCAGGTTCAATGCTGAAGTTATGTGCCAAAATATGTCGGACTCGTTCAGCTGTCTTATCTGGTCGACCCGCATAATTGTAAAGATATGGAATCAAAAAGGCTGGTTCGTTACCAATATCGAATAGTCCAGGTGAGTCTAGAAACACGTCGATACGCCTCACAAACTCTTCTGGCCCGCCAGAGAGTTTGACCAGAGCGGGCATATCATGAGGAGCATAGAAACTATATGTCCAAGAAGATGCCTCATAAAATTCTAGTGAGAGAGTTCAGAATCCATCAATGGCAAATACATTCAAAAACAAAATTCTTAGAGTCACCAACCTGCATTCCACATTGTGCAGTCCTTGTGTGGGTTGGCCAAGGAACACAGCGTTGGATCACGAAACGCTGATATCCATTGACCATCTGGCCCTCGTGGAGCAATAAACCCCTGAATGTCACCGACACTTTTAATACTATCATCCCACAAATTACGCCAATTCAATGATCGAAATGAGTACTTGTAGTGGGATTGAGTGTCGTTGACGAGACGAGCAACTTGAGCAATACTAAAATCATTATACGAGTATTCGAGTGTGCGAACACATGCGCGATGATACCAACTTCGAAAAGATAAAACGTGTTAGGATTTGGTTGAGACAAATAAAACCAAGAAAAATAAGGACTGACTCAGCTTGTCCCAAATATGAAGGAACGTAACCAAGTGCATTAGTCTGCTTGATGTCACCACGACCTAGAATAAGATGACAGTTAGTAATTTTCGTAGGGTAAGGTTGGTTTAAGAATTTAACAGCAAATGATTTACAGGAAATACATATTACCTTCATACAGCCACTCTTGTGGAGGCTCTTCAGCGTCACGGATCATACTCTTGAAGGCTTCCCTCCAATCAACACCATCAGCACCAACACCTTTAACTGCAGCATCAGCAAATACAACGACACCATTACTGCCAGCCTGAGTTCGACCATTGTTATCAGCAACACGACAATCAGGAATATAAGAGTCATGATATCCAATATCGGCTAGAGCCCTCAAAAATTGAGAGTGCACAGCTGGTCGTAGAAGCAACATTAGTGGAAATGTTGTCCTAAAAGTGTCCCAAATACAGAAGAAACTAGAGATGGGAATCAGTTGTGATCAGGTCCTACGTGCAACTACCTCTCAATAATTAGGAATGAAGATATACGCACTCATCGAAATAAAACTCGTCATTCTCCCATCTGGGATTATCGCCTGTACGATTTGTAGGTACTAACATGGTGCGATATAGCGAGCTATATATCATCACTTCTTGCTGTTTTGTGGCACCAATCAAGGTTATGGGCGATAGTGCCTCTTCCCAGACCTTTTACAGAGTAACATTTTAGATAGTTCAGGTTTTGGAAATAATGTCCTTTCACCAAACCTTATGCGAATCTTGCACAACCGAATCGAAGGATATTGACAATGGAATTTCTTTTTCGAGGTTTGCGCAAGCTGTCTCTATGTTTCTAACGGAGATTCCGATACGCAGCACGGTCGACTGCATGTCCTTTACCTTCATTTCAAAGTAGCCGACTGGATATCGAGCTATGAGACAGAGCAATGAGATCGTGGTAAGAATTCGATGAATCGATTCCTGAAGCTTACTATCAGAATGAGGCTGCCTCACAGCAGTGGGTACACCTGTATCGATGGCTTTGGCAATTACAGATTCTGGTCCGTCGAATTGAGCACAGATACAAACATCGAAGTACCCTTTTGTGGCGCCGAGGCCTAAGGAAGCAAATACCGAAACACACGTTAGTGCTGACAATCAGAGCAAGGATGGAACGATTTAAAAAGATACCTCCGGTGGACCATCCATCTATAAAAGGTTTGTCAGATTCAGTTGACAATGTCGTTATAAAAAGACTTGCCTCGAAATCTGCCACAACCGGTCAGGGTAGTTCCATTCACGATCTCGACGTGGCCACCAACTGGATTAGGTCCTGCACCCAGATCAGCAACAACGTGTACTGTATCATCTACTGACCAAGTGTATCGAAAAATAGCTGTACGTTCAGTCGAAGCAATCTCGACTCTAGTCATCGATTCCTTTAATATCGTCGAATAATAACCCAGTGCAAGAGATTCATTAATTCTCGAGTATTTTGGGATTGATATTGGTTTGTTCTTGACTGTCATATCTAATCCAGTCACTGGCATTATATTTACGGTTTCCCAGCCTGTTTGATGGATAGCATAGGTCAGTATAACATGTCGGTTTGACGTTGGCCAGTGACGGAATACTCACTGCCCACGTCACCACTCCCAGATGCATGCATTAAAGTGAAGGCCTCTATTAACCCGTGCTTTCTATAACCGCCTGGTGTGTTATTCGGTTCTTCTGTTGTCGCTCTGTCCATATCGGGACCGACTTTGGCGTATCCAAAGGGTCGTGCTGGACCAGGAAAAGTGTTTCCATCTCGAGCAGTACCAATGAGCACTGCTACAGAGTTAGCTCTTGGGAATTCACCATCAGATTTTGGGCTGTCTAATACAGTGAAGTGGGTTTTCGACCACGATGCCGATGAAGACGATGTCAATGATGATAATGGTAGGACCGACGATCCCGTGGCATAGTTGATAATGAACAAGAATATGAGTGAGTAGATCAGCAGGGCCATTATTCTCTTTGGTGATCTAACGATTCTAAAGAGTCCAGCGATTCGTTGCAATAATGTAGGAGATGGTTGGTAATGATGATGTTGCCTCTCAATGTCGTTTTTCATTCTCCAGATAAGAAGCAACTGGCTGCTCCTGAGGTTGAAAGACGGGCTGATGAGGCAACGCTAGGTGACGAGATGTTGCAGATCAAGAAAACAAAGAGGGAATTACGACAAAGTCAATGGAGTTTTCGACATTTTTCAGCAGCTCGGTGAAATTCGAGCTTGCATTTGACCAGCTCAGTGAATTTCTCGCGTCGCAAACCCGAAAGTTCACAAGAACTGATTCACGACAAAGGGCAGAAACTCATTCATAGACGAAGGAAGGCAAAGAAGGAACTCACCAAGCTCTAAATTAGGCAACGCAGAGGATCTCAACCACTCGCCTCCTCTTTACTGTTGTACTGTTGCTCTTTCTGTTCACATCACAAGTTGGACAGTTCCCAATCCAAACTCCCAAGAAGCAGACATGGCATCTATCTCGCGCCCTCTCTCTGACAGGCCACTAGACCTTTTTCTCACTGTACGTGACAAGTGCCAACAGCAGTTTATTGTCAAATGCCTAAATCAGAATTACGCAAAAGCTGACTTGGAACCCGGCTACACAGGCATTCTTCATTGTCCATATACCAACGTCTTTGCTGATTGACGGTCAAGCAATTCTACCTGTAAGATCATGGAATACTTGACATGTTGACAATTCCTTGAACAGAGCCTCATATCTCGTCTGAAGGCAATTACTACCAACCTCATTCTTCATTTGAATCGAATCGTTTTATTACCGCTCACATGCTTATATCAACTGGCTGTAGAAATATCTGACATGGGGTCCTGCTCGCTCTGCTCTGGATTGGTTTGTGGGCTTCAGCTCGGACCCGTTCATGGGCCCAATTGGAAGAGGTCCTATTCCTTGGTTTGATGGAATCGTTTGGACGGAACTGCTATTCCAAGTTCCCTTCTTCTTCTATCTAGTGCAAGTCATCACAAACTCCAATGCTGTCAAAATCAAATGCTCAATCACACATCTTTCACTCTTTCTAGTCATGGCTTGATCAATGATTCACCAAAGATCCGTGTTCCCTCGATCTTCTACTGTGGTATGTAATGGGTTTTTAGTTTTATCCTTGTTCGCTTTGATCTTGACATTTGCTTCTTAGGGCATGTAATGACAACGTTGGTGCCAATCTTGTCGGAGCTTTGCTTATCTGAAACGCTCACTTTGGCTCAAAAGCAAACGTTGATAGGAATATGTGAGTACCTCCAACATACCGGCTATGTATCGTTTTACCAACTCTCATACACCCTTTCACACTAGATCTACCATATTTTGCTATTCCAGCTGTCCTACTATACCGTATGACGCTCGGATTCGAGAAATGGAGATTGCCTGGGGCTAAGCGCCCCGACTCGAAGGACCAATAAGAAGGACGCGAAGCTTCAAGCAGCAATCAAACCCCACAAAATACGAATGTCCAAAGAATGCGTCAGAACTGTATCCTCGATAGACCGAAACATAAAATAAATATGTAATATTCTGAAATGGGCGCGTCTTTCCGCCTACCGGTCGTGTTGTACTCGCTCGTGATTCTTCAAAAAATTTGGAGCAGCAATGAACGGACTTCCACCAATATCCACCAGTGCAAATGCAGCATCTGGTACTAGCAGTGTATTCATAGTCGCGCTCAATCACTTTGCGGCTCCTGAATTCGACCTGGAATCATGGCTTAATAGCATGTTGTCGCCAGTGAATGCATCAACACCAGCCAGTGCATCAACCACAGTAGCCAACGAGGATGTAGATTATATTATAGATTCAGATCCAACAGCACCGTCTTCATCGTCAGCCGCAACTCCATCAATCGACAGACTTGCATCTGGAATCTTGTCGCAGCTTGAACAATTGTCGTTTGAATTGTCGACGCAACTAGACACTCTATCAACCACCACTATAAATGCATTGCCGCAAGTCTTGCATGATTTGGGTCAGGCCAGAAAGCAGTCGTCCGTAGTGTCTTCGCTGGTCCGTGAATCCAAACTCGCAATGTCGAAAAGGCACCAGGAAGATGATACAAACGTCACATTCGAGCATCTGACTCGTGTTGATACAGTCAAGACTCGTATGGAAGCTTCGAAGAAGATGCTGAAGGAAGCTGAGAACTGGAACACGTTACCTGCTGAAATGGAAGGCATCTTTGCTGGTAAAGACCATCTGACGGCGGCTACTCGCTTACAGGAGGCTCAAAGGTCACTAGTACTATTGACTGGTGCACCAGACTATGAAGATCGTAAAGCCTTGCTCGCCACCCTTCAAAATAAACTAGAAGCAGCTCTGAGCCCACAACTCGTAACCGCCTTGAACGACCGAGACGTGGACGCTTGTAAAAAGCTATATCGTGTATTTATGCAGATTCAAAGGACTGGAGACTTTGCTACTTACTATTACAAAAGTCGGAAGGGCGGTGTCGTCAAGACTTGGGAATCAACTTCTCGTAGCGACAAGCTCATTGAAGGCCTCGAAGCCTTTTATGAGGAGGTGGACAAAGTAGTTACGAAAGAAGCACAGTGGTTGCCGTATGTCTTTCCACATCCATTGGATACATTGCAGGAACTTATAAAGGACATCTTTTCCTCATTGGATATGAAGTCTAGATTGAGTGGTCTTGAGTTGCCAGTCATAGTCCAGGCTTATATTGTTACCGTTGGTTATGGCTTTAAACTAGAAAAGCTGCTAGCATCAGTGTCACCACTAGGAGATACACCATCGTCACCTGGTCGTGCGGTAAGACCTCCATACCGTCCTCTTTTGTGTACTTGAGATTTCTGCTGCGTTCTGATCCACTTTTCACTTTCAGGTCGATAGCAGCCAATCCCTAGCTGCCATGTTTGAGCCATTCCTACAAATCCAACAAGACTACTCTATTCGAGAGTCTGCTTTGTTGATGTCACAACTGTCTGCCACCACATCAACATTCACGAAATCTCGTGACGTGGAGATTGTACAACCAGCATTCGACGCAATAAGACCTCTCGTATCTCATATAGAAGCAGCCATAACACGTTGCCGAGCCTTCACTTTCGGATTTGGTGTAAAGGGGTTGGTAGATGCCGTAAATTCATACATAGAACGAATAGCTAGTGTTTATACCAATGCCGTGCTCAAGTATCTTGGTGGAGCAGATAGTGAATGGGGACAGTTTCAAGTTGGATTACGAGTACTAGGTATATGCTGCACGTTGCTGCAACGACTGTCAGAACTAGAGCCTGGTATAAGACGGATTGTAGCTCTTGCTGAATCGAGACGTGATACATCGTCAATTGACGAATGTGCATCGGCCACAAGTATATTAAGGGCATCCACTCTAAATTCCCTTGCTTTACAAACACTCATATCATCAGCATCCAACACCATCTTGGTGCAACTAACACCTATAGAAACGTTAGCAAAGGCAGCTCAAAAGAGAGCCTTTGATATCCTCATAACACCAATCCAGAAGCAGTTGGATGTAACACCGTCATTGCCAGTATGGAACGCATCCGCACCAACTACGTCATCACCATTTGGTATAGAGGTACCTCAATTCTCACTCAGCCCATCATCGTATGCTACCCGAATGGGCGAGCATCTGCTCGCTTTGCCACAGCAAATCGAATTATATCAGGATGACGAGGCACTTCGATGGAATGTAAAGGAGCTTCCATATCTCGCTACTGAAGAAATTGAGGAACCGGAGGTTGAGCCGGCATTTTTATGGATGACGTGTGTAGTACGAGCTGCTGCTAGTCTCTTTAGTACATCGATATTAAAGATTGATAAATTGTCGCCTCATGGATGTTTACAGCTTAAGGAGGATGTAGGGTATATGATTAATGTATTTGCTGCTATGGATGTGGAACCTGATGCCACATTAGTGGCCGTCAGGAAGGGTGTAGAAGGCAAGGAGTTGTTGAAGGGGGAGATCAACTATGAGAAGGTGAAGGCCGTAGTTGACGATGAGAATGTGTCTCGTTGGATGACGCGTGCCCTCGAGCCATCATCATCGCAATAGCCTTGTATATAGCAGGTTTTAATAGAGCAGTTATTGGTTTTGACCAATCACAACACACGTCGCTCGATCAAACACGGATAGTGCGTGCTCAAATGCTCCTTGTTGTTTGTTTCTGTCTGTGAATGCTCAATTCACACATACTGCTGATTACATGTAACTACCAGTTTACCCAGCTCTCCTGTCTATTACTTAATTATCATGGCTGTCTTTGCTTGTTAAAGCTACCTTGTCCATGTCATCAGATTTCAAACGGTCTCCCAAAGTGGTAAACCACTTGTACACTCGCTCATAAACCTAATTTATAGAGAACGTAGGTCAAAGAGGGTCGCGGTAACGGGATACCAAGGGACGTTTGCAGAGAAAAAAGGATCAAGAACCTATGTTTGCATCACACCAGTCGTGATCTTACCATGAAGGTGATGGCTTGACCAGGAGCAACACGCAATACTCTAGGCGTAGTTCCCTTCCAGAACGATCTCCATCCTTCATTCTTCAACATGCCAGTAGTCACTTCCACAAAGCGTGCCCAACCACGTTGTTGACTGGGATTCTTTTGGATACGAGTCTTGATGGTGTCAATTGGTGCATTGAATAGTGGACCACAAGCTCCTGAAATGAAACCCATCAACATATGTTGGTAGGCAGGTAGAGTGTCGCCTGCTTCTGGTTGCGCTTTGTGCAACGCCGTCTTCAAGTATTGGTAGACGGTAAAGTTGGCCGCTTGGTTGGTTGCTAAACAAAAGGAAATTGGCTTGAGCTTTCAAACTGAAACATTGATTACGCTTGAAACTATTGATCTTTTTTTTGCGTCAAATGTACCTTGCCGTAATGCAGTCAATCCAACACCCTTATACAAGGCACTAGCACCTTCTTCTCTTATGACTAGGTAAGCACAATGTGCAGCATTACGGTATTTTGGAATGTCCAATGGATCTGTCATGGAATGCCTTTGAGCTTGCAATCTGATTTTGATGACATCCATAGGAGTGACTACGAGCACAGCTTCCGTCACACCAGCACCCAAACCGGCTGTTTACAAGGAGAATGAATGTGAGGGTAATGTAAGAGAACAAATAGGGTTCAAATAGCTGACGGCGGACAGTTTTGTACAAGAAGAGAGAGCGAACCACGGCTTTCTTAGATGACTAGACAAGACCTGATTACGTACCAATAAAGATTCCAGCAGAACTTGTTTTCCCAGTTGCCTTGTCAGCCATCCAATCTTTGTACGCTTCAAAGGAAGAGAAACGAATAGCCATTTTCGGCACGATACCCGATATGACTGCTCCTAGACCTTTGTACAAGGATAGGAAGCCTTCTTTTTGGACAATCTGTATACCAAGACCGATGAAGTTTTGTCGAGCCTTTGCCTATTAGAGTTTGTGAGACTCAGAACTTGATTCGCCACATCACTGTTGAAACAGGCAAAGCGACTGGGTGATCTGAATTATGCAGGGCTAGTGGTGCAGATGTAACTCGTTTCGAGGTGCAGTCCACCCATAGTTTTTAGCCTCGCGATAGTTTACCTTTGCAGCAGCAATAGCAGCTTCGCTCATTTGACCTCCAACGCTCATAGCAGGCCTTTTTTGCATACGTTCTCCTCTGAGTTGCAATCGAACCTAAGCATCATGGTGAGTTTGATTTTACAGTTCAGTTGAAATGATTTCGAGTGGGAGTAACGCTGTGGTGATTCTCAAACAGCGTCGAAGCGACACAGCAATAGTTTCATCAGCAGTTACAACATAAAGTAGTCGAGAAACATGACTCTGTAAGTATACCTTGATAGTATCCAATGGGTGACAAGTGAGTGCCTCACACATTCCAGCAATACCACCAGACAAGAGATGAATGACCGTGTTCTTCTTGGCACCTGGCTTCTGAGATGATGCAGCTGCTGCCATTTTCAATGAAATCTTCCTATAGTCAAGCTTGTTGAGTCAGCACGTGCAAAAAATATTGTTGCAAAGAGTGTGAGAAACTGGAATGCTTAGAGACGTACTAAATATTATCTGAAAGATCTGCTATTTCTGTGCTGTAGATTGACTGTTTCTCTGCTTGATTCGCTCTACTAGTGACCACAAACAATCGAACTCCGAAAAAACCCAGGGAGGAAGAATTTCAAGAATTTGCCCATGTGTGGTGAGTAACCGTTTTGAACGAGTGATGTCATCAAAACCGAGACAATCAGATGATTCTGGAGACACCAGAGGAGCTGTACATTCTTTCATTTTATGAATTTTAAACTTTACGCGTTCAAGTGTGTTTGACAATATTTCATATAGGAATGGAGCTAAGGGAATATGGACTACGTGAGCTCGTGATGCCGAAGAAGACGCATCAGGGGCAGTCGTTCCAATTGCTGACGATGTGGTAAGGCTGCCGTGAATTGACATTTCGAAGCCTGAAAGTAGCAGCAGAATCGGATCAAATGTCCAATCCCTGTCTCTCTCTCTCTTGCTTATATGACTCTGAATGTTGCATGCTTCATTGGATTTACCATGGTGCTGACCCTTTTGTGGATTTGTCGTATGTCGTGTCAACCTGTGTGAGTCTGTACGAGGGAGTCACGAACGCGATTGACTCTACTTGTTTCTGTAGTCTGTGATGTTTTAAGCACGTTCAACTCTGTCTTTGTTAACCTTGCTCAGACGGCTTCTATCGCACGAAAATAGTTGCTGTCGTGACGAGCTCGTCTCGAAACATCTGACAAGGAACATAACGAATGTTTGTCTTTCTACACTTATAACGAATTCTAACTTTCTTATTAACTGGCAAAAGGTGCTTGCTACATTCTGTGTCGTCGGGATGCAAACATTACAGGTCCCCTTACAGCACCTCCCGTTGGTGTCCTAATATCTCGTGCGTTTTTCGCGTAAATATTAATAATGCAGTAGTTGTCCAGTATTTGGAATAAACATTGGTGTCAAGTTTGAGGTTTGTGCCTGAGGAGAACAAATTCCACTCTGTTGCGTCCAAATTGGTTTTCAACCATGGTTCTCGAGATCTGGGACTATGTATGTTAATGTCGGTGCCGCGGCTACTATTACTGCGATGGTTGATGGCAGGAGCAGCAATGACTATCCTGTTATTCTTCTCCTTTTGGCGACAAATGGCAAGTTTTAATATGTCGAGCTTGTTTCATGGAAAATGGAAAACACCACCAACATCCTTTTACCCGTCACAGCTTCAAGTCCAGGATACCTCTCGAGCCATTTAAGCATCATGAGACATTCAGAGAATCTGGCTATGGCAAGTTGTTATTGTTCGTTGTCGTTCTTGCAACATTTTGCTAAAATTTTACAATCGAACGTTTACACAGTTCCGCCTCACCGTGACCCTCCTTACTATGGCCCAACAGAATTTGGTAGCTGTGAAAGGTACAGAGCCCCGCTGCCGATATTCAAAGCCTTCCTCCACCGCACTTTTGCAGTTTCGTTGATATCGTAAAGCTTCTTACCTCAACCTCACCTTAAATACAGATACGACTATCCTAAGATTGATTCGTTTCTGATTGATCCAACCACATGTTGTCGGAGCGGCTCGTCCTTTTGGATTTATTGGCAAGATGCAAATGGAAGGGCTTGCAGCCAAGTCCGGATACAGGACCTATATTGCTCACTCTGAGGATACCGTCGCGACCGGATAGAGTTCCGGTCGTGTGTGCTGCAGAGGGATTGATGCAAGTCGCTCATACTGACACAAGCTTGTAGTCGTCACCGACTGCATGGTCGATGAATGACCAACATTCGCAATTTACTAGTAGTGCACAGTCGCAATTGGTATAAACGAAGTGATAACATATGAAGCTGTACAGAAATCATTGATGAAACGGTAGTGCTGATGGTTCGTGATGTGCGCTGTAGTTTGTACGTTACAGTTTGCTTCGTGGTTTTCGTATCAACTAGAATACTTATGAAACCCAATCATATTAGGTGGCACAGTACGTTGGATCAATATTCAGTATTCTTAAGCACCTTAATAGCTGAAGATGCAATCTCTCGACAGACAACGAGACCAAATAACATGTTGGCCAAACGGGCACTTTGGATTCTCGATCAACGTAATCTTACTGATGATCCTTGGTAGTCTTTATTCACCATGTACGAGTCTGTCAGTCACATGGATTCGCTGAAACCCCGTACTTGCTTTACAATCTTAGTAGTTGCCCTAACTTACATGATAATGATTTTTGGAAAGAGTCTGGATTAGCATCAGACGTAAATCATCGTCTATGCTCAAGGTCAGCTACTTTGTCATCATTGGGCGACTCATTTGTGTAGCAGTGACAGCCTTCTTAGTCTCACATTTCAGAGCTATAATGAAAGATTGTTCAACATGATGGTCTGACGCTAGTAGCACCAGATCCTCAATATGATGCCACAATCACATTTATGGAAGACACAAAGGATCTTGTCAATTTTACTACTATCTTGTCGCTGACGCCAAAAGCTCATCCGTATCAATTGAATCGAACAGTTGAATTCGCAAATATGAGTCTTCTAGAACGAATGCAGGTTATAATACGAACCACCTCGATACTGGTGGCAGCTCGCAGAACAGAGTTGACCTTCTTAATGATGATGCATCGAGACTCGATAGCGATTGAGAGGAACAGAACAGTTTTGGGTTTCGTAACTTGGCCAAGATAAGGAAGTTTGTAATTTTTTGTTGCTTGGAACTGATTGCGAAAATCCTGAATGCAGTTTCTGGATATTCCATACATAGCCGTACAGTCACGTACAAACAAGAAAGTTGACAAGTATGCCCTGTAACTTCAAAGTGTTGCCGTATAAACACATAAAGGCTGACCTGATCTTTCAATATAGGACTCGTGGGAAGGATCAAGAGTATGAAGTAGATGAACATGCTATTAGAAACCATTTCAGGAGCGATGCGAATGGCAGCATCAAGCCCACGGTCGTCTATCTGTAGATAAGTTTTCCAATCGGACTAGGCGCCCACCAGAAGTGGTTTCCCTGCCCGCAACATAGTGTAGATATTTCGTGATTTAATAATAACCAAGCCAGTCGCATTGGCATTGGTGAACGTTCGACCGAGTCATCGAATGATCTACCTTTATGTAATACAGTGCTGGCCGTTTATCAGGGAATACTAATTTAACTAAGCTTGAACCCGCGTAGGCTTCCAAATCATCCAGTTTCCTGGATCTACAGTCGTGTGGATTTCCAGCTTGTGTGTTTTAGCAAAGTCTTCAACTGCTCCCTTTACAGCTCCTGGATGACGAGTGCCATCTGCACAGAGGTACCAATCTTGGGTCGAGTCTACATCTTTGGCATACATGTAATCGTGACCAGTCATCAGACCACCTGAAGATGGAAATTTGGTTAGGACAAGATGGGATTCATCGTTCTCATTAAGGAAGAAAGACACCCACCTGCTTTGAGTTTAGGCCAATAAGCTTCAATATCATCCGTTACACCACAATAGTCGTGTCGAGCGTCCACAAATACGAAGTCCAAGCTGTCGTCGGGAATACTAGTGACAGCTGTTGTGGTGTACGTACGCAAGACGCTTAACTTGTCCTTCCATGGTGCCTACAGAGTGCCATAATGTGAGCAGGTAAAACACCTGCAGATCTTCTTAACTGCTTACCAAACGGTTCATAGTGCTTTGATACTTGCCCTCTTGAGTTTGTTCATCTATATTGGCAAGATCTTGGTAGTTCTTTTGTGGAGCCCATAGATCTACTAAATAATATGTCTTGCAGGACTCCCATCTCGTCAACTATAAACGAGAAAAGGGTTTGAGCATGAGCCTTTTGAAAGTCAACACATAGTCTTTCCAAAACACAGACACGACACTGCAAAGATCCAAAAACGCACTATTTCTTTCGAGAAGATACCCTCCTGGACACCCAACTCAGCCCCAACAGTGTACCCCAGTATTTCCAACAAATGTCCAATGTGTTCTCGAGTTGGCAGCAATAATTGTGGATGATTGAGCGGGTTTACCAAGGTAGAAAAAGGACGATTTCCTGTTAATCGGGAGTACGAATCTCCTCCAGGTAGCAACGTTTCGTACGTTGTGTATGCAAACAGGAAAACCAGAACAACCAATGCAATGGCAATCCAAGTTGTTGGTCGAGCAGCAGTTGTCGTGCCCATGTTGTGGTATATGCGATGCGCTCAAGGCTAAAGTCTTTTCAATGATGGCTGTTCGTGACAAGGTCAAGAGAAACGAACAAAACAGATAGTACGGGTTTGGAGAGAGATCCCAGTTAGATCCATTGAGCATGGGGATAGTTCTCTAGGTGCATTATGCAATTCCTACGTTAATAACGCGAGAATTTCACCGAATTTCAGGTTTGAGAGAGCTTTACTTCAAAAATCTGAGATTTTGTGGAACGGAGTTTGCAGCTTTCGCATCCAGAGTCGACAACCGCTGCATTATATATGTAAGTGTTCTATTTATGTTCGGAATTACGGATTACATGTCAGCGCGGCCTTACATATGACAGTTCCTAGATGAGAGGCGTGTTAGATAAACATCAGAACAACAAAGTTGCTATGGCTCACATAGCAGCATGGAAACTGAAAGCCCCAGCCGGGATCGTATGCTCGATTTGGGAAACTAAGAAATCCTGATCAGTAGTGGTTCATTGTAATAAAAGGGCAAGCGCTTACCTCGCTGGATTCAGGTGGGTATAGAAGAGCTTCAAGCCTGAATCCTCGATGCCCTGTAGAGCATTCACAAACATTATACCGTCCTGCTGAGTGGACTTGTAGTCGGGAATATTAAAGTTTAAGAAGTGAACTACATAAAATGAGTGTTAGAACCCTCTTCTGAACAATGTACATTTCGAACAGGAAACAGACCTTCCAGAACCAGTTGATCAATATGTTGCATCACTCCTGATTCCACCATTTGCGTGAGTATGGGCCATTCAGCATACTCGATATCTACCGAGATATGTGTGTTAGCGAATGATCTTGCGGCATGTTTGGAGAGCTTACCCATCTTGACCACGGTAACACGTCCAAGACTCAACTTTTTCATTTCGTCTTCGATTGTAGTCATCGTCCAAAGCAAATTATTCTTCTCATTGTTACTAGACTTTTTACCATCCCAGTTTTTGCTGGCAGTCTCTGCCAATCCCATATCCCAAAACCACATGTTGGATTTTCTCTTGGAACTCTTTACGCCCATCGAGGGATCGTACGAGTGGACTTGACACTTTGTAGCAGCATTGAATTCGTCGTCGAAAGAGAAATCTACGGATCAGGTAGACAGGGTGGAGTGAGTCGTTCTGGAACAGAGGATTTCCGTGTTGCTGTATTTACCATGGTTTATGCCGAAGGAGAAGGCAGTGCATTTTGTTTTCATGGGTGTTTTCAAGAAATCCATACATAATCTCCAAGCGCCATCACCTCGATCAACAGCTTTGGGATCTCCACCGAATTCTCGAACCTTTTTACACTCATATGTCCTCCGTGTAATGATATAAAATAGCCTAGTAATCACGCGGTTAGCATACGAAGGGTCTTCATGCTTCAACCAAGTCAAGACAAAAATGTGGTTGGTTTTGATTACCTGGCATAGGTTTCGGCCATCTCCTCTTTCACTCCAGCTATAGGTTTAGGACACGACACACACGTTTCGTTTGATGAAATTGGCTCAAATTCTTCGTACGTTTCTACATCCTTGACATCCTTCACATCCAACAAGTTTTCGTCTTGTCCACCTGAAGTCCAGGAGCTCAATATCCATAGCGTCAGTATCACAAAAATACCTAAGGTAAGAAATCTGATTTGAGAACTGGCCATTCTTCCCTTGCTGGTTAGAAAAGGCCCAGGTCTCCCTTCGCTCGTGTATGTAGCAAGTTTTGGAAGTTGGCGGAGAGAGCAGCGACTCACAAGGACGAAAAGTGCAGTTCGGCCTGTGATCCAGATTGATCTAAGCAGACAAGAGAGGCATCTGGATCGTAGAACGCGTCGAGGTCCTGGCCTTCACCGAATGAGCCAACAACAGAAGTTTGGATGGTTTCATTAGTTATGTAAATCTAAAATTACGAATATACAACTAAACTGCTGACTTCATTACGTCACCAGGTAGTAAACACACCGACGAGTACTTGACAAAGGTTCCATTGTCGAGGTGGAAACCAAGGTCGTCAGAGTACTCAAACAGGCTCCCATTGTGCCTCCACCACAACTGTGGAAATATGATATTCATGTATGGTTTACCATACCCGTTGTAATGCAGGACGCCTGGTGCCACTCCCGTCACCCTATTTATTTTCAGAGCCCGACTATCCTCCTCCGTTATTATCGAGTTATTCAAGTCCCTGTTCCCTTCCCCATGCAATTGGTGGAATAATTCTGAATTATAATCTAGCGCTATAACCGAATAATTATACAGACTCCATAGCTGAAAGTATTCCTGATCATCAAAGTTGGATTTCTTCAAAAGTTCGTCCGTGATGTCGTTGAGTATGGTTCTAAAAGCACCGACATAACCTATAGCTACACCACTATTAAGATAGGAAGGTCTGTCCATTGGATCAAAGCGGAGGCGATTAAGTGAAGAATCTTCTGGGCCGTAAGAATCTGGTTTCATTGTGGATTGACGTGCTTGTTTACATAACTCTATTCCGAGTCGTGTTTCCCTGCCCGGCCAGCAATCTCTTTCAGCTCCATAGATCACACCAGGATATCTATTTTGCTGCCTCCAGAAGCTAAGTTGGTTGTGGAAGCGTTTCAACATGGGTGCAGGGCCCAGCTGATAGTGTAGATCGTATGCGTCCATAATGAGAACGACGTCAATATCCCTTAATTTGGAAGCACGATTTAAGTAAGACCTGAACCTGAGAACGAACTGGGATCAGATATGTTTCAGAACGAGATCAGAACGGAAGCGTAAACGTTACCCAGGTAATTTTCCCTTTCTAGCAGCCATTACTTTAGCTCGGCCATCAAAGGTGGTGGTATTGACGGGCAAGTCTTGAAATCCGATGACGGTGATGTCCCGGTATCCTTGGATGAAGGGAGGGGTTTTGAGTGAAATGCGCTGTATGTGTTGGAAAGGCATGCGAGACAAAGAGAGACAAGCAAAGATGACCCTCACCATTTGCTAGAGCGGATTGAAGCATTTGACAGAATCCTTCACTTTCCAAATTCGTTGCATATGTGATGATGGGTAGGTCAGTTTGGAAGGTGGGAAGTTCAGCCCAATGCATTACAGCTGAAACGAGGATGGTTGCCAAGAGAGCACCCATGCCAGCCAATATTGCCATGCGATATCTAGAGTCTGGTTTTCTAAACATTGTTTCCCTGTTTTGTTTGCAACTGCAAATTAATGAGAGAAAGTGTGGGAGGGCAGATAGTGGACCAACCTGGTGAATTTGTCTCGTCGCTTTTCGTGTAAGAAAGACTCCATTCGTTATGATTTATGCAAGTGTTGCTGTTTGTGTTCACAGAACCAGGTTCATTGATTATGCAAACGCAAAACAATCCAAAAGAATTCCCAAAGAATTCCTCAGCCCTCGTCACTCCGCCAAATTCATCATATACAGAAATTAAAGAGAATAAAATACGCACAACAGTAGAGATGGCAGTAGCTACAATCCGCGTAAGGGCCTGTGGCTGTTAAAGACTATGTTTCCTTCTTCCTTGTACTTCCGTGTGTGGATAACCACATTCTCACGTTACTGGTTTTTTCTAACAGCCTTCTGGAATGTTTCTTCCTGGAATTGTTGCCGCTGTCGCCATAATGTCCTTCTTCATGGGATTATCTCTACGACCAGCCCCTGAATGGGAGAGACCTGCTAACATTGTCCTCCCCGCTCCAACTGCTACCCCAATCTCACCTGCAAGTTGGATGTACCTTCAAGTTCCCTTCGTTCTGAGAACTGAACGGTTTGCTCCAAATAGATGTTCAAACGCCTGGATATTCCCTCCCTGCTTCAGAAGGAGGGTTTCACAGTTGGTGCTGAATTGGGAGTCCAACGTGGAATTTTCTCAAATCACACTGTAAGATAGCTGCTACTGCCTTAATGGCTCTTATATCCTCATTCTCTTCAAGGTTTGCTGCGTATTCCTCCGTTAAACTCTCACACTTTGCTTTTGTGATCACAGTTATCTCTATGGCCGTCGTGTACAAAGTACTATCTAGTCGATATCTGGAAGTCACAAGCGAATTATATTGATGACGCAAATGGTTAGGAAAACACAAACAGTCATGGGATCTTCCCTTCTCAACCTCTAAAACCCCATTTTCGTTTCTCAGTTGAGGATTCCACTCAGGAAGCTTTGTACGAGGAAACAATGGGACGTCTAAGTGCCTTTAAAGGCAAGACTCAGGTTTTGCGGATGTTTACCACAGAGGCAGCAAAGGAGATTCCGGACATGTCGCTAGATTATGTTTATGTTGACGCCAGGTCAGAATGAAGAAGCCTCGGTTGCATCCTCAGCGCTTCACTCTCTAATCCCCAAATGTGTACAATCCAGACATGATTACTGTGGCTGCTTGGCAGATATCGGAGCTTATTGGCCTAAATTAAAGTTTGGTGGGATTATGGCTGGCCATGTAAGTTGCTCTGTTCAGTGAAGCAAGGAAGAAAGTGCCAAAACTTGCCATTTACGACCCGTCTTTTGAATACAGGACTATATGGCCGCCGCCGAAGTTCCAACACAAGATTGGTCTGTCTGTGCCGATGGAACCAAAAACGAAGGAGCAGTGCGGGGCTGCGTGGACGATTTCGCAAAGTCAAATAATTTGCAGGTCGTAGTAACGTATAACGATTATCCATTCCCAAGCTGGCTTCTGCGAAAACCGTAAATACAACAGCAACATTGTTTGTAACTACATCTAGTAACTATTAAACATCTCTCGTCAGAACTGGTGAACTGATTCTATAGTGCGTCGCTCGTTTCCTCTTGTTCGCGTGAGATTCGGAATTCGTAGCCTGATGTAAAGTGAGGGCAAGATTGACTGACAGACAAGATCATGAGTGTTCCGACACTTATTGATTTGCCGGATGCTGTAAGCTTCTACTTTCAGACTGTTTTCGTCAAGAAATTAAACAGAGCTTCAACTTTTTAGGGGCCTACAAGCTATCAGGTAAGCTAGAACTGAGATAGATCCGTTCTTCAATTGTCATTGAGATCTTTCTCGTTACTTGGCTCCAGAGTAATCCTGATGGTGAGTGGGCTCTGAGCTCCCAACATCAACATCGCTTGAAAACCTCACACACACCTCATGATTGTTTCTTCACAGTCGCCTACTGGACATTCGCAATATACTCCATGGTGGTCGTCATTGTGGTACGTCTCGTAAACTATCTTCGATTGTGGTGTAAAAGATCGACTTATGCGATTCCTTATAAACAGTCGTTATTCTACCTCTTTTACATGAATCGAGGCATGGCCTTGGTCTTGACGTGGATTATCAATTTCTACACATGGAGGCAACATAATGAATGGGTCGAAGTTGGTGAGCTGGATCTACTTCGGATCGTCTGCTACATGAAATCGCTAATTCGTTGACGCTGCTTGACCAACAGAATCAATCGCTTTTGCACCATTGAGTGGCAAAATACTATTCAAGAACTTGAAATATTACTCTCGTGATCAGTCGATATCGATATTACGTGGCCACATAACGTTCCGATATTGGGTGTTTCGTGTTAGAAAAGAAGCACCGAGTCCAGATCAACAAGCTGCCTTGGCGGAACTGCCATGCCGAATCAAGATTCGGATAGATGGACTGGAATGGTTTCTTTACAACAGAACCTCAGCATACGAGCAACTCAAGAATCTGTTTGAATCTATGACTGACGGAGATAGCCTGAATAGTCCCTCGCATCAGAATAGTCCATTTCGAGACACTGCATCAGGTAAGTGGTCATCTGTTTGACTCCGTGCTTCGCTGAATTAACCCTGTTCCAACGTTAGTACATATACTTCCTGATGGGGGGGAGATAACTCAGCATCCTGCAAAAGATAGCCTTCTTCGTGCTTTGCTGCCGTTAGAGCTTGTAAGCACTACTGGTTCTGCCATGATTGGCAATCCAGATCTTCAAACGATCTTGACAGCGAGCTATCAGGAGGCTAAGGGGGTTTACGAGATTGTGAAGGTAACCCTGGTAAACGAAATACTGTTCCGGCAAGACTCTCTGTTAATTCTTTCTTTGAAACTTTGATTTTAGCCTCGCTCTCCCTATGATACGTATTCATCGAACCTGACGTTGAAACTCCACCAGACGAAACTCAAGATGCAGTTGAACGCTGATTTCAAGGAATCTGAATTGAATCAAGCCGCAAGAATGCGAGAATTCCAGTTAAGTCCAGAGTTCTAGCGTTGTAAACGTTGTAAACTCATCTTTTTTTGGTCTCGACCAGTCCGGAATCACAACTCTTCAAAGGAATTCCTTTCTTGGAACGGCTAGCTGCTTATTTTAACAAACTATCATCCATGCAACATCCAGATATGGATGATTCTATTCCTTTGCAGAATGCCTCAACTTGGGGTCATTGGTCTGGGTTGTCACGATATACCAATCCTCAGCCCGCCCACAATATTTATAACGGAGTTATTTCACATGATGAATATGCAAGAGTGTTGAGAATCATGGATTGCGACGAGTTTACTCTGAATTACTATTATGACTGTCCCGGTAAGGGAACATCCATGTTGGAACAATTTTCTGCGACCAAGCTGACAAGCATCGTGCTAGGCCCCGTTCCTGCACGGTCTATGAAGGCTAGAGCTTTCGATGTAGATATTGGTAATGGAGACTTGCCACCTCAATGGGGCATTGATCTATTGGCAAATAATGCCTCTCTATTTTATGGACCATGGACAGATCGGCAAAGATCTCATCTGCAACATTTTTTCTATCCACCATCATACACCAATCAAGAACCAGCCAGGATTTTAGGAGCAAACGACCTCAGAGTGCATACTGTATTCAAAATATTGCTTCAATTCACTGGCAATTCTTCTTGGCAAATACCTCTTCGAGAGGCGTCCAAGGATTATCTATTTGCAGATAGTCTTCGTAGTCCTTCAGAAGGTGGCAACAATGCTCGCAAGAAGCGACATTATGGATGGTTTGACTTGAAATTCAGCACTGGATCTACCGTGTCATATACGTTGCCACTGATCAATAGTGAAAATGGTAGTACGAGTGAGGCAATCGTCAGTCTCCGAGATTTAGTAGTCATATCAAGTCTAAATCATGCTGAAGTAGTCGTAGCAGATCGTCTCACTGTAAGTATGGTGTTGTTTAACGTTTCTACGATAATTTGACACCTTTGATTCAAAGCTGAACTGCGCTCTACACCATCCGTTGATTTGGAATGCTTCTCGCGTATGGAAATTTGATGTGATTATATCCAACCACATGTTAGAGCCTCTGCGCTCCCCATCGCCAGACGCACGGACCTCAACCGTAAATGTACCTGGCATCATTAAAGGTGTCTATTTGCTACGAGACCACATCACGCTTCTGCAAGACTTGATAACTGACTGGGGTTCTGGGCCACCTGTCACACTGGACAAGCACATACCAATTCAGTATCAGCTCAAGGTGCTCTTCTCCGAATTCAGACTGTTTTTATGTGTGAATCCTCTCAATGTTATCAATCAGCCAAATGATTTGGAAGAAAATGGTATAATCGTCTTGTTGATTGCATAAAATTGAGCAACTAATGCTAACTCTATTGTACTAGCATATATGGTGGTTCAAGGAACTGAATTGAAGGCCAACATACTGATGGACTTCACTCTTTTCAATACGGATACAGTGTCGATACCAGTCGAAGTGGAGGTATGTTTTGTTTTGAATGTTCTTACAATCAAATATTTACTAGTTGGTGATAGGCAAGGAAATTAGCAGTCCATATGGCTTTCCCTCCAACAAACACCATTGGAGCATATTTGACTGAAGAAGCCGCACAATTTGGATCCATTGAAAAGTTGACGATTCCATTGACTTATCGCTATCATCGTGATCCAGAGTCTCCAAAAGTTGATTCGCTCACCTTGACAGTATCTGCCAACTCTGTAAATATGACCTTGTTTGGCTTCCATCTTCGATATCTGCTCTACCTCCAAGACAATTATTTTGGAGAACACATCAGCTTTCAGACAGTCAGCGAGTACAACGCTGGTCTGAAAAGTCCACAGCCGAGTCAAAGAAGCGACAAAGTACGTCTGTGCTCAAGTTGCGAGCGCTATAAGCCATTAGCTTGGATTTTAATCCACATTCGTCGCTCTCAAAACTAGTTGACAACTCGCCCTTTCGAGATTCAGTTACAGCTATTTGTAACTGATGGTACAGTCATAAGGCCTGAGACACTTTATACTCTGCAGCTGTCAACTGTGATGAAATTTAGAGAATTGCTGGTTGATTATAGAGCAACTCCGCACTATTCAGGCAAGTCGAGCCATTCTTTATTTAAAGAAATTGATGCTAACCGCGACTTGACATAGACATGGAAATGACTGTGAGCCCAATCATCCTCACAAGAAGTTTGGGAAGTGGTGATAGTCTAGATGAAAACAGCGCTACAGGATCTGATCCTACAGCAAATGATTTTCTCCATCTTCAAGGTTTGGATCTATTTGGTTGCTTTATGGCATTCTCGTTACGCTCTTAACCTTTCAAGTATAGACATCCATATTAGGAAACACAGTCTCCTTGGACCGTCACCTGCCTTTGCAGTGTATTTGAGTGATTGGAGATTTGACATCGGTGCCATTACGGGTGAATTGCAACCATCTTCTATGCCTGGAGGATTTTCTTCGGGATCAACATTCCTATTCCACCTCCGAGACACTGAAAACTCGATATCTACACCAGCGTCCCTACCAGACGTGACGTTGCTAGAGTTAAATCTCAGTACCGTCAACCTGAGAATGTGGAGTCAGGACTCCACCATGCGCTGTCTACTGAGTGGCAGTCGTGTATTGTATGATACTCTGGCCTGTAATCGTTGGATTAGTCGAACGGTTGTTGAGTTGCCGGAGGTAGCTATTCGGTCGCATGTTGTAACAGGAGCTGGAAGTGCGTATGAACGTGAATGGGTAGAAGTGCTAGCGTTTGAAACCGCGGCATCTATTGGCATATTTAACTCCATCCCAAAGGGTGTTGAGTGTTACCAAACGCAACAGCAGTTTTTATCGGACCAAGATGTATATACTCGCAGAGTGCCCTTCTTATATAGTAAAGGAAAGGAATCTCCGAGCAGTACGAAAGCTCGCAAGAAATCATTCACCCTCTTCGTCCCTCCGTATAATCCTCCAACTAGCTTTCGCTTGGGTACAGAAGAGTCGGTCGATGATCGTGAGTCCTCTCTCGGCGGAGGATCTGTCATTAAGAGAAGGTTTGCATTTAATGCCTTAGTCAGAACAGGCCCCCTCAGCTCACAACTTTTCTCTTTGCGCAGAGATGACCGAGAGGACATATCTTATCATACTGCGTCCGATAGGACCTCTGAAAATAATTCACCACAACCAGTCGATGAGGCTTCTCCCACAAGTAACAATGAATCGTACATAGAAGGCTCACAAGATCCAGAGATGCCCGTGTCTAGATCTATACCATATCGAGACTACTTGCGCCGATGGAGAATGTTGAAACCATTAGCCACAGGGATACCTCACGCATTGCAAGCTTACTTGGGGCCGAGTTTAACTCAATTCGACCCGCTGAATTCTCAGTCAGAACGCCTTTATGAACGCGTCACTAGTAGAACCGTACCGAAATTGCTCCCCGCTTTCAAATCTTTGAGATCAAAGTTTGAAAGCGGAGAGACTGGGAATGAAAAGGGAGCTCTTGATCCTGCTGATGAGCAAACGGCACATCAAGCGATCACTATCGATGTGCCTGAAAAGTTGTCCATTCTTGTGACACCAATGTTTTTGAAGCTGGTTGAAGAGGTTCTGGAACAATTAACTACCAAGGTATCTCATGATTATCTCGCGCCGTAATAGTTGCCGAGGTGGCTGATACAAGCAAATTGAACAGGACGTGATTTTGGAGACCCTCTTGGATCGTTTCCAGCTCTCGTATATGTCTGAGATAATTCAAAAGTATCCGTATGACTTTGATTCCTCAGCAGTATTAGTCACAGTGCCAAAAGTGGACATATTATGTATTCAGGATATGCAGCTGCCAGACTCAACGACATTTCTCACGGACGATGGTAATATTAACCTTCGTACACGATATGAGCTATCAGATGCCGTGCTTTGCTCGTTTGATATTGACCTGGATGACTTAATGTTTCAATTCTTTTTGAGGCATGAGAATCCAAAAGTCAACCGATCAGGAATATCGAGTTTGAAAGAACCCAAACTCGTTGAATTCAAGTTTATGATTGAATGCTCTGCATTCCATCTAATCTTGAGATTTATGGGAACAATGAATGCCATTGGGATCATGGGCATACCGCAAGAAAAAAGGCCTGTCAGACGGAGTCCCGTTGCAGGAGAGCACAGTAACGGACTCGAAGCAGCTCCTGTAGTATTAGATATATATTCCGATAAGGTTGAGTGGCGAGGTGTCGTCAATCGAACAGTTGGAGACTCTCCAAAAGGTGCTTCTGTAGAGTTCTCGATGCAGTCATTGAGTATTGTCACCATCGACCAGACCGTTGAAATTATGTTTGGGTCCATCACAACTTGGCTCAACTTTGTAGTTGATATTGCGACGCTGTTGACTGAATTCTCGAACAAGAGAAGGAGGCAAATCCAGCTCCTGGTTGCTCGTATAGTAGAGCTGTCACGAGTCAGACCGCTTCCACCTCCTGGTGATCCCAAGTTCTTGACCAATCGCTCAGTACTTTGGAATCTCGTCAGTCGGCCCTTCCAAAACACTAGTGGCTGGAAGATATTAGCCCATATACGTTACTGTCTTAAAGTGTTATCTGTCGATCTAGCGTCTTCTCCCAATAATGTGCTTGGTGGAGATCAAGAGCAAACAGCCAGCCAGCTCTTTGAGTCCGTTGTGGCGAACTTGTCAGGTTGGAGAAAGGGAGAAATTGGCGAGTTTCAGTTACGTCAGTCTCCATTGCTCCAAGGCCTGTATGGTGAATTAGGGGCAGTGCTAGCCAAAGATCAGGCTTATAAACCATTGGATGCAGACTTTTATAACAACCACATTTCCCTTCACTGTGAATCTTTCCGTGTCACGATTGTCGAGCATCATACTGAGAATAGTATAGAGATTCTCTCTGTACATGCAGATGTTAGAACGTTTTTGAACGAAATTTCAGCATTGCCGTCGACAACTGATGAGAATGAGCAAAGGCCACAATTCGGGAAGCGAAAATCTGCTGTAGCAAGTCTGTCATCGCATTATCTAGATGTGGTTGGCCATGCTGGTATTGATAGTATCGTGTTTGATATAAATCCAAACAGTGAGTAGTTGTAAGTCAATTCAATCTCATTGGATGACAAATCCAATCCGTTTTTTGCTTTGATAGTGTTTGGTTTTATTCGACATGCCCTCCGAGTCTACAGTTGGTTTCAAACCAAACTTGTTGCTGAAGCCATTCCTGGTCTTCCACCACTACCGATAACACCTGGAACGGGTCGTCGGCCGGTAAGAGCCTCAACGAGAACCTCGACGATGCTGAAGGATATGGAACTTGCTCCGAAAGAACCATCAACGTCAGATTTGAGTGAGCTGCTACCCGCTGGTCTCTTGATAGTATTGACTGTAACAGGAGGTGTACGTATGATACAGGCCAATGCTAAAGCACATCTCCTTGAAATGAAGGCACATATTATGGGAATACAGTTATCAACTATACATAGAGGAAAGTTGCGCTCTGCCATATCTATGATGGGAGGCTCAGCATCAAATCGTAATACTCAGCTGGATCCAGTGGTTAATAGTCGTCACGTGTTCGAAGAACTGGTCCATTCATCGGTTGGACGCATAGATTATATAGTTCTTAGAATATCGGAACGTGTCCAGCCACTTCTTACATTCGACATACGTAAAGTGTCGACTACCGTGACTATAGCTCGAGGATTTCCTATGCCTGATGGTATGAAGCCTCCTAAGACGCTCAAAGTAGGCTGTATGATTGGATCTGTAGCATTCACATTGCCTCGAAGTTTGCTAAAGCTTCATGCCTTCCTTGAAAAGTGGGGCGATGAAGATTTGCCAAGATACGACTTCCTCTTCAATAAAATGGTTGAGGAACTCACACCAATAGTCCATAATCCTCAGTCCAAAGCCTATGAGGTCGTAGAGGGTATTTTTGAGCAAGCTGCTAGTCGTATAGCCACAGTAGATCTACAAGTGGCGGTACAACGAGTCGACATTCAATGTGACTTGCTAAACTCATTGCGACTAAACTATATTGGTACCGAATGGCTCCTTGTATTGAATAGACAGGAGCGACTTGAAGGTCAGCTCCTTGGCCCTCAGGAAAGACATATATCCATGAATTATGTCCTACGATTAGGGAAGCAAGACATTGCCTTTGAAACATCCGTCGTTGACGAAGATCAGGTCTCATATTCCAAGCCCGTATTTACCATTCCAGCTATAACCGGTCGTGGCTCAATCACCTTTGGTATCTTGTCGGATGACTCGTCCATATTCAGAAACAGTCCGAGTGATCGACCATCGAGGCGACTATCGACATTCTTGGAGAGCGATGACCCACAACCGATTCTCCATAGTAATGTTATTAGGCCTCGTATTATTACCACTATATATATGGAGAAAGTAACTGCCACCTTAAATGTCAGTATGATTGATCAGCTCACAACAGCTCAGTCTATATTTGGCCACGAGCTCAACGACCTTTTCGAAGTGATAATCTTCTATCGACAAGGAAAGGATCGAAACGCAACTGCTTCGCCGTCTCATCCGTCTTGGGTATCACGCTTGGGCTTTGACATTGATGCCACTGTTGAGAGTATCTCTATCTTAGCCGAATCTCCCGAAACTGTAATTGTCTACGATAGTAAGGAGCTGAAGGGTACATTCCGGAACATAGAAGACTCGACTTTCAGGAACGATAATGTCGATGAGCTCCTTGATTGGAACGTAGAAGCATCACTAGTCAGATTCTCTCTATGTCAGAGGACTCCAGTAGTAGAAGTTGAACCAAGGACTAGTCTGGCATTTTTTGAGATGGGCGACTTGAAGGTCCAGAACATGCCATCTCTAGTTCGTGGACATGCTCCCTCAGAGATAGTGATGTCTTCAAAAGGGTGAGGACTGTTTCTTTTCCTGTTTGAATCTGTTAAGCGTTGCTAACTCTCACCAAAAACCAGCATTCGGTCCTACTTACCACCAAATGCTTTGGCACGTGTCATCAACTTTTGGCGATACTATGCTGCTGAACTAGTTAAAAAGGGGGCCATGAAGACGGACGAAATTAGAACATGGAGAGCTCATACCAAGCTTCTCTTGGACTCTATAAATGTGCCTGTGCCAGAGTATACGAAAGCAGCCAAATCGTATTTCAGTCATCGACAAATAACTCTCGAATTGTCGAACGTCGGACTGGCTGTGCCTTTGACTACTGATGATAGTGACTCATTGTCGCCACAACTGGCCTCTAGCCAGGAGACTATGCCGACATTCTTGTGGAGTATTAGCAAGATTCAGTTGCGTCTTCACGAATGGAAGTCAGCAGCTTCCGTCATCGAGAACTTTTGCATTCAATTAGTACCTTGGTTTAATCAGAATGATAGTAAACAGTACACGTGTAGACCGCATCCTCTGCAGAATCGCCTGCTATTGAAAAAGATGGAAGCTCGACTGCTTCCTGTAGCCAGCGATGATGGATCAACTCATGAATTAGTGAATGGTGATGTTAGTGGGTTCGAACTCGAGGTTGACGCTGATATCGCAGATTATGCCAATCGTCTGTTGGAGGTGTATCAAAAGTCGCGTGGAATAGTGTTGATGTTCATGGCTCCGTCATCAGTCAGGGTCAGTGAGGAAGTGCTGGAGCACTCAACTATACTGTCTCGTGGTATCGAACTCGATGTGAGTTGTCGCTTGTTGTTGGCCGATACCAGCGGTTTTCTCTTGAATCCTTAGAATTGCTGACGCATATGTCACATTAGATTGAAGCTCATTTCAAGTTCGAGTCTGGTCTCTGCAAGATTCATACTACCAGACGCTCAGAAGTCGATCCAAAGCGACGAATGTCTGTTATCAGTCAAGATCGACGAGCTTCTCGTGCTGAAAGGCCTACAAACCGAAAGCGAGCAACTGGTCTTGAAAAGGAAATACCTGTAGAACGTAGCTTCCATGACTTTATAATGCCAGGTGTGACAGTTGGAGTACGCGGACGAACAAAACCAAATGAACCCTCCACTGGAGGGCTTCATTTTGAGGTTAGGATTCATCCAAGTCAAAATAGCATTGCACCAAACATACTAGATTTTGCTCATGATGTACTTGAGCAAATACGTCTTGGAAGACTGGCACGCATGACGTCTCCCTCAGAAGCCGCTTTACCACAGGTGTATTCACGTAGTGACTCAACGACTAGTAGAGCAGTCTCGTCCGTAGTTCCTCGATTTAGTGTAACTGTACACTTAGTATTGTCAGAAACCGTGGTAAATTTGACTTGTGAGCCCAATGTGGTGTGTGGATTCACTGTACAAGAGGCCAATATGCTGGTCTCGTATATTCCTCGTCAGCACCTACATAAACAGTACCAATTTGTGTGTTGCCATGGATTTGTATTGGGCATTTCAGGAGGACTTCGAAATAAGTACTCGCCTGAAGATTGTGTCAAGTCAGAAGTAAAGCAAATCAATCTTGGAGTCACCATGGTAGAAGAAAATCATAACCGAACGTATACAATGGAGGCTGATGTCCCAAGCGTTCGGCTGGACTTGAATGTCCGTCATTTGCAGGACTTCTTTTTGTTTGAACGAACATGGTTTGGCCATTTCGCATCTCAAAAAACACGGTCCTCTTCATTAGGATCGATGTATACTGCTGGCAATAACGCACCCATCTTTAGTGATGATATACCCGCAAGTCAACGACCATCTCGGTCGCTAGTACAGTTAGCTCGAATCGCAGCGGCCAAAACGGTTAATTATAGAGACTCTGCTCGTATAGCAGGTAGAATAGCCAAGATTGAGATAGTAGCTGATTTGGGACAAGCTATTGGTCGTGCCACGTTTGTTTTGGATGATTTAGCTGGGAGTACCTCTGGTGTATGGACCAGTAACATATTCGAATCACGGTCGCTCGTAGTTGGATTCCATGAATTGACCCTGAACGCACAAGGCCGTACTGCTGGCAGTGTACAAGTCACCAATGTGAGGCTACTTGGATGGGCGACCAATCCTTGGGATGCTACTCCCGATACTATACTAGGCAAACGACGAGCTACAGACCTTAATGTAAAGATTGAACGTATCGTATCCCAAGTCGAGTACCAGCACGAACGAATCCTGATTTTGGAAGTATTACCGATATCAGGGACGATTGTAGACGAGTGGACTATCGGTGGCAATGAAGTGCCAACCACCAACATCAACATGCACTTCAAGGTTGATCAAGTTCGAGCTATTGTATCTCGTAGAACCTTACCAGTCTTCTCTCAGACGTATAGCAAGCTATTAAATCTCATTAGTGATAAACGTCGAGCTGATAGACATATGGGTACTCGAGTAGAACCACAAATGGATAATGGACGGCACGCTACTGTCCTTGTATTAGAAGGAATGCCCTCTCGAGTTGTAACGACTCTGAGCATTGTATTAGGTGATGCTTTCGTCACGATGACTAGATATAATTTCCGTGATCCAGACTGTGCTCAAGTATTAGCTAGTATGGTCAAGATTGGATTTGTACATGAGCCCAATGTCTCTACAGATGTCCGCAATTCCACTAGACTTGAATTGTTCAGTTTCGCCATCCGTAAATGTACAGCTAGAGCCATCACACCCAACTTGGAACGAACTTTGGCATTAAAAGAATGGTTTACCTTCTTCACGTCGTCTGGAGCTAAGAATGTAGTACGTGTTCCCTCTAGTGTCATGGAATTGATAGTTGAAGGACCTCCAGGTGCTCCGCGGCTGGGATATAGTTTCAAGACAGACTTTTCTGGTCAAATCGATGTTGCCCTCAACTTCGGTCTGTATAGGTAAAGAAAATTATGCATTTTCGTAATTCTAATGGAATGAATCTTTCAAACACTTCATTTTCCGACAGGTATCTACAAGAATTGGCAGGGCTCTATAGTAAAGCATCTCAGGTATCTGGTGATGGAGGCTATGAACTGGATGATGGTTCAGATTCCGCAAGCATCATAACCGAAAATATGAGAGCATCCCCAGTAAATGGATCATCGTCTGCTGGATCCTCAGACGGAGGTCGATCAAACCGTGTCGGATCTTCAACTGGGGCAGCTGCTAGACGCGAATCAATTGAATGGGTTCGTACAGGTGAATTCAAGTTTGAGCCACAGCTCAAAGTCACTGGTGATGCTACGCCATGGGAATGGATTGAGTGAGTGCTACTTTGAATGTGCATATGAAGTGAATTGTGATGATAATCTTATCTTTCATAGGTGGTTGGGAGTGCACAAGGATGAAGTACCGAAACTGGTACATTCTGGTCTCTCTCAGCCGTTAAATAGCGCCCTATTACTACTTGGTAGCCTGTACAATACTGTTCACGTACTGCCAATATCCCGTCCGGAACGACCAGTAGAACGTGAAATTGAAGATGAATTCCTCGACGCTTTAGAATAATGTATACGAGATTTTGTATGTAGCATATTTAAATCAGCACGTTGCATATAGAATCAATGGCCAAGATGCTATGATTGACTTTGATGTTCATCAAGCGTCCGAAAACTAGCTCTAAAGACCTAAATGAACGTGATTTTACGTGAATTGATTCAAGACCGCTCGCTCTTTCTGATTTCCAAACTCTGCCACATTCGCACTTTGTTTTTACCAACACAGGAAAGAGAAGAAACAGGACATGGCAAGTGCTTCAATGCAACGATGCCCAATTCACTAGAACTTACTTTGATCGTGTCCCAAAATAGGGTAGTCTAGCTCCCGAGTGCACAGAGCTTAAACACGAATACGATGCTTGCTTCAACAAGTGGTATTCAGAAAAGTTTCTAAAAGGACAAGCTGGAGAGGACTGTGAAGAGCTCTTTCTGAAATATAAAGATTGCGTCTGGGTATGTCCTCGTATCGACAAATTCAAACAAGGTTGCTGGAAATGACACGAAACATTCTTGTTGTAGAAAGCTATCAAGGAGAAGAGTATAGACAAGCTGATTACAGACGCTAGAAAAGAGTCGCCGATGGAGTCCAAATCGTGACATCTATTTCGCTATTTGAATCTGTTTCATCATGTATAGTACAGCACTGTTGAATTGAAAAGCATCCTCTTCATCTCTATCCTTCGACTTCAGGGTCGTCGGAATCCTCTCTATTGAAAATAGTGAAACTAGTTGGAGTATCTTGTTGATGAGCTTTACTGTGACATCGTCAGCTTACCGATTCTAGGATGTTGCCAGCACTCTTAAAGAGAAAATCAGCTCTCTGTTTGGTTTGGGCAATGGTCTTGCCGACAAAGGCCACGTCTCCTAGTCGTCGATCTAGGAATGCATATGTTTCCTGATATTCAGGAGATTTGTCTTGTGTCATGTACATTTCTGTGGACAGCGAGTGTTAAAATAGGAGCTTGCAAAGCATTTAACCACTAGGATAACTTGCCTACCTGTCGACGTATAGACACCAGCAAGCAGAGCTCGTTTGCTATACCAGTTCATCTACAAAGTTACAACAAAATCAGCGTCTAGGTTCAATCATGGGGGTCGGGGGGTCTCTACAAACACTTGCATCGACTGAACGGTCACCAGCAAGGAACCATATCTCGTCAACTAGTTCTCCTAGACCTTTCAACGCGACATCTAGATTCTGAGGTAATGCGAGTTGTGCTGCAGCCTGTTCATTGGCTAGGAGGTTAGTTCCACTTGCAGAACAAGCCCCACCTTTTGCGTGATTGCGTGATACCTCTGGCCACTTGTGAATGAAGGGTTTTGATTTCTCCAGCCTCGAAACGACACCAGCACGAACTTTGGGGGTAATCTTCATACTATATAGCGTTTGTGATTAACCCAAGCTTCAACTGCGACGCACACCGTGCTTTCACTCACCTGGCAAGGTCCATGGCCATCAGATCTGCTCGCATGGACTCTTTTGAAGTTTTGAAGAAGTACGATATCAGATCGATTCCACCTCTTGAAAAGATACCATGAGCGACGCTGGGTAAGCCCAAAGACTTGGCCCCTGTTTCTAGAGCTCGAGTAGTGAAACCATGCTCTGGCACTTGAAGTAGAGCAGCAGCCAGTATCCTTGACGGGACACTAGACGAAACGTTGTGAAGTAGTGTCAGATTAGATTTGATAGATTTTTGATTTCAGGCATTACTCGTCTGGATTGGAATCAGAAGCAGCATTGAGGAATATATTCAGATCAGGAGGCGGCCTAGTATGGCTGGATGATTCGTGATGAGAGTAATTTGTGTCAAAGCTTGGAGGAGGAGGAGGTCCAACTGGAATTGTAGATTGGTATCGTATTGAATTCGTATAAGAAGGGCGTATACGATGGCATCCCATGCGATACGTTGTAGATAGCAGCGTAGAGCCTCTCATTCTCTCGTCTCTTCCGTGGGTTTACGGATCTAGATGTTTGGATAAAATACAAAATCAACCAAAGCTTCAAGATGATCCTGGACGGATGCCATTGATGCGTCGGCTGCGTGATTTGTGATTTGGTGATTTGGATGATTAGACGCGTCGACGATTACTCTAGCCGTGTTTCCAATCAACATTTCTGTCGCTGTTCGCTAGCAACGTACTTTGTATATTTTGCTCCAAGTCGTAGACTTTCGCCGTCAGTTCTCCAAGGCAAGCAGGCAGCTCCCGCAGGTCGAGCCGGAGCATTTGAAGCTCGACAAGCTATGGACGAGCTCGAAGATGGAGCTTATGGGGCAGAAGGACAAGATACGGAGGATTCAGGTGCACCACGACAGGCCAGTGGAGGCTCAAGAAGCCACAATGATGGCTATGATCATCACCAGGCTAATAGATATAGGCCCTATTTTCCTCCTTCTTCGAGGGGCCCATATAGGGGAGGGAGCTCCTACCATCCCTCTGCAAGTTATCAACCACGACGACCCCCACCCAGGGAAGACAGATCAAACACATACAGACCTTCCTATGGAAGACCTCCTCCACCATCTGCCTACTATGACACACCACCAAAGTCAAACTATAAAAATGACAGCTACGATGACAACAATAGACAACCTGCTCCAAGACGAACACGATCACCGCCACGAGACAGATATACTCCAACAGGGCCACCACCACAATCATCTTCTGACGATAATAGAAGATATACACCAACAGGACAACCATCTGCGTCTGATGACAGAAAATATATATCTGACAACAATAGAAGAAATTCATCCAATGCAACACTTGGAGACTTTAGAATTTCCTCAACAGCAGCACCACCTGATGAAAATAGAAGGTATCCTTCAGCAGGACCACCGCCGCCGTCTGAAGATAATCGAAGACATTCATCATCAACAGCACCACCTGAAGACATTAAATCCCGTGTCAAACGTGAGTCTCGCTTCCAACCTATAGAAGATGCACCAGCATCTGATCATAAAACAGCAGATCTTCAGAATCAAAGGGATTCACCAGCACCTACAAGTGATTGGAACAAGTCAACCAGGTGGAATGCTACTGCTGAAGCGTTTCCGAAACCGAAAGGAGACTGGAATAGTTCGAATCCAGGGTGGAATACTTCTGCTCAAGCTTTTCCAACTCCTAAAGGAGATTGGGGTAGAGGAGACACCACTAATGAAGTCACAGGATGGGGTACTGCCGACAGCACATTGCTTACGAAAAGTGACTGGAATGTAGCAGAAAACAAGAGAAGTAAATCATCAGAAAGTGCTAGTACAATTGCAAACGATTGGAAACCTGCTGCTGTAGTAGATAGGCCTCCTAATAGTGATGACAAGCCGAAAACTGCGCAGTCTGCAGACAGCACGAATCCTGTTGTCAAAACCGAATGGAATTCGAATAACGAAGACTCTATGAACGATGGAAACCGTAATAGCAATAATCTAGATATGACCCCGTACTCTCCTGCACTCTCGTCAGCCTCATCACAACAACAACTGCACCAGCAATCTGTACCACATCAAAGCACTGGATTTCGACCACCTTATAGCAGTCATGGTCGACCACAGTACGAACGTGATCAATATTATAGGGACGGCCCACCGTTCAGGCGATATGATGGTCCAAGACCTCCATTCGATGGTCCTTATCCTCCACAAGGCTTCCCCTGGGGACGACCACCTCCACAGCAACCACATTACGACGGTTCAAGTAGAATGCCACCATTCGAAGGAAGGCCTCCATATGATGGGAGACCATTCGACACTCGACCATATGATAATCGTGGGTTTGAAGGTCCAGGACGTCCATATGACGCTAGGCCTAGACCCCCGTATATGCAGCCACAGCAATCAAATTACCAGCTACAAAATATGACGCCTAGGTCTCCAGTAGTCGCATCATCATCGCACTCTGCGTCCCGTGGAGCGCTGCCAGACGCGTTCTTATTTGAATATGCTGCACAAGAGGAGCGCGAGGTATGGAAGGAGTGTCTGAACATAATGTCATTCAAGTTTATTTTCTGCTACGATCATTAACACCGTAACATTCGTTACGTTAGTTGGAGACAATTCTCGCTGAAGTCAAAGCTCAACGAGAGGAGGAAAACAAGATGGCACTTGAAGTCAAGAGAGCCAAGTTCGAATTGGAGTTGGCTACTCTAGATGTAAAGAGATATGATTCGCTGGTCAATCTGATACGTAAAGAAATGGATGAGCACGATACTCGACTGGCTGTGTTGAAGAAGGCTACAGAGCAAACTTAAGAACGAAATGAAGGTTCTTGAAGTGAGAAAAGTATATAAACGTGTAAAAATATTACTTGCATAATAATGTCATCTTTGAGCGATAGTCTTCGTTGCTCGTCTGTTTCTCCGCTCTTCACATCCACAAATAGTTGCACACATTTATTCAGGGTAGAGGTATTTGCTATTTGCGATGTCTTACATTCGACGTTTTACATTTTAATTTCGAAATGAGTCCAGACTGCGAAGTGGTCACTTGGGAAGCGGTTGTCTTCGTGATACCGATCAATATCTGCATCATCTATAACGAGGCCACTGTGTTTGGGTTTGAAGAAGATACAATCTATTTTTGGTTGATTTGGGTTTGGCCTAAGATAAAAAAATGAGGTGGTAGTGAGCGTTACGTAGCCGAAAGCCATACTTTCCCATTTGAATCGAAGGAATGATTTTGTACTTACTTTCCAGTAAAGTAATGGAATGTTGATCTCTCAGCAGCCGTAGCGGATGGATGTTTGATGGCATACGAATCTTTGAAACCAGCCTTCTCAAGTGGTGTGAACTCATCATCAGAATTGATATTGAAATCTCCAGTGATGATGAGACATGGTTCTGTATCATGGCCATTGGCTGCGATCTTTGATAATAATAATGGGAAGGATCGCTTTCGTGATATGACTGATAGGTCAAAGTGTGAGTTGTATACGATGACTGGTGGTGCAGATGGTTCGGCCTTGAGGTTCAATACAGCCCACGTGCAAATCTAGAGTGTGAGTGGGTCAGAAGCAAACCACAAACCTAGAGGCAGTTTCAAAGCTTACCCTGGGTAGACCGCTGTCCCATGTGTTTCCGCCAGGCGTATCTGGTGTATCTGAGTACCAGAACGTGCCTGATGAGACCAATTCAAATACGGATGGCTTGTACATGATTGGGGAGTATTCTCCTTCGTCTGGGTGATGGCCTCTGGCTCTTCCAACACAATCATATTCAATTCCTAAAGCCCTCACACCAGCGAGAAGTTCGTGTTTCTGGGTTGAAAAGACAGTGGGAATGTGTGAGGTGATGTTATGACAAACCAGCAAGACAAGCAACGACAAATTCGTACCTGAAATTCCACAAGCTCTTGGAGACAGAGAATGTCAGGATTCAATTTTTGGATGTTCTAGATAAAAATTCAGTTCGAAATTTTTAAGGTTCGTGACATGTCAAAGTCGAGATAAATAGGACAAAACCGCAGCAGCAGCGAGAAGCAAGCGGAGATATTTGTGATCATTACAACTCTTTTTGTAACTTACTCGATAGAACGCGTCCCTTCGAAATTCCCAAGAGTTACCCCCATCATTCGCGTTGCCGTATCTGATGTTGTAGGACACAATGTTGAAAGATCCAAGCAGCGATGCGTGCTTCATTTCTGAGGTGACTGAGGTAGCTTGGATTGGCTTGCTTTCTTCATATGTTTTGTTTGATATTTCCTTCTGATTGTGGCCGAGACGAGTCCAAATTTTCGAAAGCAAATTAAATACCCATTTGATCCACTCATTGGCCATGACACCGTTCCTACTAGTCTGTCTATTAGCATGCATATCCAGGTACATAGCTTGCTGCTAAAGTAGCTTACCTTGTCCTATATCAGTTTTGACTCACAAACTTTAACCTTTTAAAAGTTTTGTTGGTGCCGAAACGGTTGAGGGAATAATTGCTACAAATCACGCTCTACCAAGTATGTTTTTTCGTGATTTCTCAATTGGCGCATGTTATTGATCACGTATCGCTAATGCCTTGCAACATTTTACCAGACATCTCGCTCCTTGGGCCAAACACTCGCGTTACGCTAAACCATGGCCAGTTTGCCACATTCTTGCAGCAAGACGGTTCATTTATTTTGTAAGTTGATTGATGCTTTCGATTAATGCTGCCGAACGACTGAACTTGTGGGTCTAATACCGAAACCGCAACAAACACACAGTGATGGAATTCCAAAGGGAACATACATGCTTCACGTCGAAAACATGTATTATACATTCGACAGAGTACGCCAATTATGTTTCTGTTGCCCATTTGGATTGAGAACTTGCAACCAACCAACCTGCACCTAGGTTCGAATCGATGTAGCTTCAGATGCCACAACAGCAAGCCACTCGAATGTGGGCACGAATTGGAAAACCCTTGGTCCTGTCATGCCATATCCACTAGTGTTGGAAGTCAAGGCCAAGACTGATTACTTTGAAAAGCGAGAGGGTTTCAATATTTTGGGTCTGCTTATGAACCCTATGATTCTCATGTCTGTTGTCAGGTACTCTCGCGCTTCGGCTTTAGCCACATGGACTCAATTTTCACACATGTTGAACTCTTCATAGTCTATTGATGATTTTTGTCCTTCCCAAAGTGAGTTGTTGTGGTTTTGGCGTTGAGGGCACATACTGACAGAAATGTATTTTTAGGTAATGTCGTCGATAGATCCTGAAACACTGAAAGAACTATCCGCCCCGTCTCAGCAACCTATGGAATTGGAAGGTGTGAGTGAAAAACTCGCAAACATGATGACTGGCAGCAAGCCCAAAGCATCGTCCTCTTCGTGAAATGGAATGACGGTAGGTTTATAGATTAATTGTATTTTTGATCTATCTATATTATAGTACAGCTTTTACATAATGGCTTTTTGACTTGCGGGTGGGATGGTGACTTTGACTGTTGTAACTTTCCAGAACATTAAAGGCTTTTATACTTGTGGGTGGCATTGGGCATGAGATAGATATTGGGGACTGGCCATCAGGAGAGCAACTGCCTTGGCTTCTCTGTCTTCTTCCGTAACTGCTCTTCTTTCGAGAGCTGGTCTCTCAGCAACAAGCCCAACGTGCGGCGACATTGCTGCCGTGGGAGACTGGGTAAACCACTTGGATAAGAAGGAGCAGGGCTCTGGCTTGATGCTAAAACGAATGAAAGCTGCATTAGTAACTGTAAATTGATGTGAGAGGAGATCAAACGACTCGATGACTCTACCTCTTCCAAAAGGCCACCTCTTTATTGTTCGAATAGTTAGTCAGTTGCTGGTTGACGGTAACATAGTTTCGACCACTCCAAGCTCCAGCCCATTGCCCAAAACTGGACCCGTATGTTGCCACCACAGCGTCGCCAGAACCTAATGCTACAAAGTCCATGGCTGCCTCCTCATCGCTACCTCCTGGATTCCCAATAGACGAAAGCATAGATAAACGTATAGGAAGGTACGTCACTCGTTCCTGTCCGAGCAAGAGTGCGAGTTCATTCCTTAGACTTTCACTATCTGCAGCTATATGAAACCCAATCTCGTGCGATGGACGACCAGATGCATCAGCTAGGTCGAGTGCTATTGTGGCATAGGTTCTCATTGAAGCAATGTTTGAGAGCTTCATGCTCCGGATGTGGATGCCAATCGTATACGGTCTGAACTTGCTTTTCGTGTACTCTGCCAGTCTTGCAGACAATCCGTTGTTGAGTCTGATGGCTCGCCGTAGTATGTGATGACTAACTCTTCCGTCCGGGAATAGCTGCTTTATTCTGTCACGGTAATGAGGATTGGCTTGCAAGAACGGCGCGTTATAGTTCCAGCCTTGAACCATCCACGGCCTCGCCTAATATTGAGATTAATATTCAGCCGGAGAGGTTTTGCTATATAATGAGTTGAAGACCTTACTTGAGCTTACCTGGTCAAAGTAGGTAGCGAAATCTTCAGTGATGGATACGGCGATCAATGTTCGATTCATATCCTCCATCACTGAAAAAAGTTCTCCGGGAATCTGGTAGTTCTCAAGATCAAAGTCGACAGCAAAGTCCCACATACGACGAATGTAGTCAGGATACCTCTAAAAGAGAGAAAATCTGCTCTGTTGACGCACAAGAACTAGTTGTACTTCAAAAGATATCGTACAATAAGAAGTGTTCGGTTGGTCAATAGCGCTAGGAGTACTCCATTGACGAGGCCAGGCAAACGGTTTCCTAAACCGCCGCCGACATCCAAATCAGCAATAATCCAAGAGTGTGATCCAATGTCGAGAAGTGCCCGTTTGTGTCGTTCCTAATAGTTCCCGTGATTGTGAGTACTAAATACATTTTGTCACAAAATTTGGCTACTTCGAAACACGAATCCAGGACGCTGCTCCTCATTGTTCTCACCATGTATTTGTCAAACTCGAGATCAAAGGGGATCAAAAGGCCAGGGAGCCCGCCAAGAGTGGGAACTATTTTGGACTTGATATTTGCCTCATCTTGCAGCGGCGCTTGGCAGTTGCAGTGTTGGTCTGATTCGCTAAGTTTGTGATGCTGCACAAACGATGATGAGGATGACCACACGAGAAGAGATGTGGCGAGTGCCAGTAGCACGTAAATGTATCGTTTAATAGGAGCCACCGTTCCTGACACGGTCATGAATGGGTCAGTAGTGAACCAGCGCGAGATGCTAAGGTGGTGATTTTGTTAAAGCTTTGGACCACTAGAGTGAGAGATCTGAGAGTTGAAGACGAAAAAAGATGTGATTTGTTACTTACGAGAGACTGGCCCGCAAGCGGTTAGCAGCCGAAGAACTTTCTAAGGTGCCACGTCAACTTTGGTGACTTCCCAAGATTCCAAACTTTTGTAGCGGATCAACTCAAGGACAGAGAAATGGACGGCGAGACAAGGCCACTACTAGCTGATACGAACATAGAGCCCATTCCTGTAGCAAACAATGCCACCGACCGTGTAGCTCAGGAGGGTGAAACGCCGTCTCGATCTAACAAACTACCATGGTGGAAGACACCGAGTCCGATGATGATCATAATACCCCTGTTTTTCCACGTCTTGAGTGCTAGCTTGACATTGGCTCCCTCCACGCAATTTTTTCTCCTGTACTTGTGTGGTCAAATGAAGGCATCAGAAGTTGCAGCTCATGGTGATTTCACATCGTGGTTGCCTCTTGGATTCGTAAGGATACCTGGCTCCTCGTTGGACCTCCCCTCCTTTGAACAATGCAATGCCGACAAGGTCTTTCAGGAGCACGTCCAAGTGCGTAACGTCAATGAATTTGAAATGCACCCAATCGTCGGTTTTGCTTAGAATGTTGCTTACTCTTTGTCCTTGACAGCAATTGGCAACGTCTTGGAGTATGGCTTTAGCTCTTTGTACGTCGATACCGGCTATATTCGCGGTACCTTTCATTGGAATTCTATTAGACAAATTCGGTAGAACCACAACCATAAAGTTCCCCATAATATCGCTTCTTGCTGGTGTCTTGGGTCTGATATCAGTCGCCCGTCTCGGATTTGGCATGTGGATATTGATCTTGACTCATTTGGTTCAAGGTACATTCACAGTGTTTGCTATTGTTTGACTGCCAATTGCTGCCATAGCTCCCCAGTGTTTGCCATTCTTTGCCAGACATCGCTGGCTTATTTCCCATTGTTCCTCCACCACTCACTGCCTTGTAACTTGTACTATTAGGCCTACTAGGTGGATTTCAAGTATTCGTTATGGTGGCCTTTAGCTATCTGTCGGACGTTTCTACGGCTAGGAAGCGAACTACAACGTTTGCTCGCATGGAGGCAATGCTATTTCTGGCCTTTTTAGGTTGGTATTGGTCCCTAAATCTCTCCTGAAAACAAATTAATCGCCTCTTGTCTTTACAGGAGGACCATTCGCGGGCGGCTTGCTCGCGACAATTGATGTAGTGGTGCCATTTTATGTGTGTGCTCTAGGAGAAGTCCTTGTGCTGCTCTATGTATTGCTGATATTGCCAGAATCAATGGGCTTTGTACCCGAAGACAAGGATATCGAGCCAAGCAGTATCTCAAGTACTCCATTGACTTCGAGGAGTCGAGCTGGCAGTGTCAGTGCATCAACTAATGCTAGTCTCGGTAACGTCAAATCCAACATGCTTGAAACCATGAGTGTTTTCTTCGTATCCCGATTAGACGCACATGGACATAAGCAAGGAAAACTATCTCGACTGCTGCTCGTGACGCTTGCGTTTATAATGGCTATTAGTTTCGCTGGTTTGCAGTTTTCGTTCAGTAAGTGTTTTGCACTTACCCATTGGAACGTCTGAACCGTTGAACTGTAACTTATTTGTCGAGATTGACCATAAAACACTCTCTTGTATAGTATTCTACACTGCTCTTCAGTTTGGTTGGGATAGTTACGACGACGGATTGTTCCTGCTGATACTCGGAATTGGACGCATTCTATCTGTAGCTGTCATATTGCCATACACGCTGAAATTCATACCCAAGGCTGCAACAGCTCTATATCGAACCACATTTGAAATGTGGATTGTAAGACTCGCAATTCTATGCAATGTCATTGGATTTATCTGTTTTGGATTTGCTACTGCCGGATGGCAATTCTTTGTAATTGGAGCGGCTGATTCGTTTGGGTCTGTGACACTGCCAATGGTTCGAGCTGTGTTGAGTCGGTACGTCTCCTGTTTGTTTTTGCGAAAGTCGTGATTTCAGCTCATCGTCACAACAAAACATAGATCTGTAGATAGTTCCCTTCAAGGCCGTTTGTTTTCAGCTATAGCATTGGTAGAAACCGTATCTGGGGCCGCCAGTCCACTATTATTTGGAAGTCTATATCGCTCAACCGTAATGTGGATGCCGCAGTTGATCTTCTTTGCTATTGCAGGATTGTATGGGCTTGGACTGCTGATTACCTTTGGCGTAAGGTACCACGAACTAGTCTTGTTTGGTGGAGATGAGGTCGCTGCTGAAACTGCCAATGGTGATGAGTCTGCCGCACTGCTAGAACCTGAAGCTTCTCCTTCGTCATCGAGTAAAAGTAATGAGAGATCACTGCTAGTGAGGGTTGCTGAAGAAGTTGAGGAGGAGTTAGGTGGTCATCTGCTCGATAAAGGCGTGTGACTTGGGATATATTTTATCTTTAGCAGTTTTTTGGGACTGATTGTATAGTTTGCTATGATTACTCTTAAAATATCTTGACTGTCATTGATTTGTATTGAAAGTTATTGAGGCCTCCTAATGCACGTCCCTGTCCATCGCTACATCGCAGCTAGGTTGAAATCTCGTTGTTCAGCGAGTTTAAATTACAACCAACTAGTCAGACACTTTGCTTTCGCGCTTGAAGTGGATGCGGATCAGAACCTTCTTTCTGATAGCCACTCTTGGACTACTTTCAGGTAAGAACTGGTATCAATTTCTCGTGAAATTTTGCACCTTGTGACAAGCACGCACTTTACAAGCTTGGGACCTGTGAACAGTGCATCACTGACTATAAATTCGATCCCTCTCCAGTTCTTTTACTCGAACGAATCGTCTTTGCCTTCCCGACAAACGCTACATCCGACATTGAATCAGCTTCATCACCAAACATGCAAGTAGACACCACCCAAGAACAAGTATCCAAAGATGTGAGACGAGAAATATCAAAACAGGCAATCTTCTCACCAGACGCCAATCCAACTGGTGAACTGGTGAAAACAGTCGGGTCGTCCAAATTCAAATCTGACATGCCACTAGCGGAATTACGAAAGCTGTATCTAAGGCCACCGGTCACTTTGTCTCCAATCACTAACGAGCATGGGATGCTGGTGTATGGCAAAGACTCCAAGACATATCCTGCTGTTAGGAGACTAAAACAGGCTGAAAAGAAGAGAATATTGGTTACAGGTGGTGCTGGATTTGTTGGATCGCACCTGGTTGATAGGCTGATGCTTATGGGGCATGATGTTACTGTCGTCGATAATCTATTTACAGGTGCTTGACGTGTATGTTTGAGAGTTGTTGACTATGCGTTGAACTAGTCTCGTTGGTTTTTCGCTCTTTAGGCTCGAAAAAGAACATAGAACACTGGATTGGTCACCCTCATTTCGATTTCATCCGACACGATGTCATCAGTAAGAACTCTTTGTGGATGACTCCCATCATGAGCACTTTGATCCTGACTCTTTTTTTTTGTTTTCAGACCATTTCATGGTTGAAGTAGATCAAATATATCACTTAGCATGTCCAGCTTCTCCACCACATTACCAGTACAACCCTATCAAAACGGTCAAGACATCCGTCATGGGCACAATCAATATGTTGGGGTTAGCTAAACGAGTTAAGGCTCGATTCTTGTTAACTTCCACGTCTGAAATATATGGTGATCCAGAAGAACATCCTCAGAAGGAGTCGTACTGGGGACGTGTCAATCCAGTACGTAATTGATGCAACATGGCGATTTTTTTTTTCATTTCATATCTCATTCTTATTGTGAATTTGTTGCATAGATTGGACCTCGTGCATGCTATGATGAAGGCAAACGTGTCGCAGAAACATTAACGTATTCATACCAAAATCAAGACAAGGTCGATGTGCGAGTGGCACGAATCTTCAATACTGTATGTACATTCTTGAGTATTGCTTGGCACGTTTTTCGCTTCATTCTACTTTTCGCTTTCCTCATTTTTACCACATATTTTACCCACCTAGTTTGGACCACGAATGAATGCCGAAGACGGACGTGTCGTATCCAACTTTGTCATCCAAGCACTCAAAGGAGTTCCATTAACCATATACGGTGACGGAGCCCAAACTCGTTCCTTCCAATATGTACATGATCTAGTTGATGGTCTGATTGCTTTGATGGAAAGCGACGCTACAGATCCCGTCAACTTGGGTAATCCGGAAGAATATACAATCAAACAATTTGCAGAGATTATTAGAGACGTGGTGGATAATAGTACGGAAATCATAAATATGCCTGCTACTACTGACGATCCGCAACGTCGAAGGCCTGATATTACACGTAAGTTGCGCGAGATCATGTTTGCAAGAGAATGGATCAGTTAACAGTCCTGTCTTTTGTCTGTAGGAGCCCAAACTGTGCTTGGCTGGGAACCCACATTTTCTGTTGCGCAAGGTATTGAGGAGACTGTCGAGTACTTTAGAAATATATTGCCAGAACTATAATCACACATGGATGCCATTTCACTTCCAAGTAATATCATGCATATCCAGACTGAGTATTTACACACTATACAATGAGCACTAGCCAAATAATACACTTGGAGTGGTCAATATTGACATGTGGTTGATGGTATTTTCATGACATTCCGCGTATTTTCAACTCAGTTGGCTGGTCGCATGAAGGAAACTTCATACAGGAACGCTAGCTGCATTGGCTTAATGTTGCCTAAATTCAAAGACCCGACCAGCGGATTCGTCTACAGATTAAAGTTGTGAGCTTTAGAGAAAGGTGAAAGTTAGATTCCAACAAGGGCTGTCACCACATACATGCCAATTCCATATTCTCAAGCCAGCCTTGGCTTGTAAGTCTCTGAGCATATCAGCTTGATCTGAAGCCTTTCGCCAATCAAAGTGGATTTCCAATGACAGTTGGTCAATCTTCGCCAGCACTTCTGGTTGCTCTACCAGCCATTGTTTCAACACAGGCCACTCTCCACCTGTGAGAGTTTCATTATTTGGAAGGAGAAGAGTAAGTAATCTGTGTTTGACGAGTGAAATATGTGATTTGCCCAAACCTTCAATATCTAGAAAATGGTAAAAACTGTGAGTATTAACTCAACGAAGACTAAAAGGTGAAAGTATACCGTACCCATTTTGAATACATCGATTCTGTCATGGCCCAACGTGGCCATCGTCTCTTTCACAGTTGTCGTGTTCCAGCCTTGATCGTTAACGCCACTCGTATCTGAGAGGCCAATCTTGTAAAACATGACTTTATCCGACCTTCTGTGAGTATCATTTGTCATTGTAGCTATGGAATTGAAGTATATGAGACCTTGCACATGTGAAAGTGACCTTGTCCCAAAACCGGTAGTGGTAACTTGCGATCAAAGGAAAAGACTTGACATCCATAAGCATCTGCGACAGCATCATCGAATGAGAAATCGTAATTGATGCCAAAAGAATAGACTATGCAAGAGTTGGTCCGGCTCAGGAATCGGTCTTTTGGAGTGGAGATTTGGGAGAATTGAGGCATTGTCGTGGAATGTAACAATGAGGTTCGTAAAGCCAAATATACCTACCAGTGAGCGCAACTGGCCATGCACCATCGAGTCGTCCGACGTCGCCTCCTAGTAGAGGATTTCCTCCAAGCAGATGCTGCTTTGGAGAACTGATTGTCCTTCGAGTTATGTAAGAGATTCCTCTCAGCATGGCCTAATTGAGGATTTCTTTTAGTACATCTTTGGAGTCAAGCGTTCCCACAATTCCATCCAAACCTCAGCGTCGTCCTCCTCCCCCACATGAGTAAACCAGTCGGTGTTTGAAGATGGCGCTACTTTTTCTTCTTTGTACTGACAGGGAGGACACGTTAAAGCTGATTGCGGTGCTGCCGAATCCGACACGAGGAGAGTCTGTCCTTGTTGTGGACAAAACATTGATGTCTCTGAATACGTGAGATAGGCCCAGGCCAAGGCTGTAGCTATCACTAGACCATGACACATATTGGTTAGCTGAACTAAACTAGGTGATTGCTGGTCTCGAAAACAACAGGAACGAAATGCAGTGGTTGAATACCAACGATAGCAAATGTAACTTTGATCCCAGTGAGAGGCGACGACTGTCGATGCCCATTCTTTAGATCCTCCATCTTTTCAAGAGCCAGGAACCTTTATTTCGTCCAATCTCTCTATAATGGTGTGCCTTCTCGTGCGTGGCAAACTCACCAACTCAAAACATCCAACTTCAATGAAGAACACTTTCGACCGCCTAACAGAGAGGCCGTCAGGTCATCGCAAATGGATTTTCATAATAGGATTTCTCATAATCTTGCTGTTTTCTATATCCTTCTTTGTCGAACTCCCGACAGCATCTCTCAAAACTGCTGCAGATTTGTCCAGCTGCCCAATACAAATAGAATGTGTTTCAACTGTTGCCAGCCCCCTTGTAATACCTGATCTGAAATCTACTCCTAAATCTGACTCGGTCGCTCCTACCACCCCATCATCTCATAATATCAACATTGAATGCCATTGGCGCACTGCTAATCTTTCAGCTGTAAGTTACATTTGAACAAGTATGGATAACGTCGTTGAACTACTTGTTTCAACACGTTAAAGCTCCACTTATTGGATTCGTGTTTATTGGACTTGCAACAACTCCCGAAGCATTCATCAACCATACACTTCCTCCCAATGATTACAGGAAGCTGCGGCCATAAATCCACTGCCTAAGCCTGAATTCTCGCTACTGGATGCATGGCTAAAGGGGGAAGGTGCTCGCTTTGGAGCTGCTCCTCCTAAAATACCGGACTCGCAGCTCGCAGGTTTCACGTTAAATGGTACCATACCCGTTTTCGACTACTACATTGATCAGGCAAGCTTCCATCCTGCTCGAAATCGCATCATGTTGGCTCTGTGCACTCTGACCAAAAGTAACTGTAACTCTGAACAGGCTTACTTGGGTGGTAACGCCGCCACGCCCGAATGGACGAACGACATGATTGATATACTACGAATCAAAGTGACTGCCAGACAGAACTTTACATATGATACCACAGACGTTTATGCCACTTATGATACTTATGCACCGATTGCAATTGCTGGAAAGAGAGGACTTGTCATTGGTAGCGAGACGCCTTGGATGGAGGCCATGCTACTAGAATACGGTGCAGAACATATCTCCACACTAGAATTCGGATCGATAAACTGTTATTATCCGAAAATAACAACATTTACTCCCAAACCATTCTCGATGGGAGTTTTGAGGAAAGAGATTGAATCGTTTGATTTCATCGTCTCTTACTCATCTCTTGAGCATGATGGATTAGGTAAGTAATTTTATGAATGAATTCCACTAGTCGTTATATGAGACAAACGTTAGTCATGACTTGTTGCAAACTTCCTTCATTCATTCATTCATTGAATGTAGGGCGATATGGTGATGTGTTGAATCCAATCGGAGATTTGCAAACAATGGCCAAAGCACTCACTTATCTGAAGCCTGGTGGATTTGCTTTCGTTGGTGTGCCTTGCTGTGTAGATTCTTTGGTATGGTAGTTTTGATACTTGGGTTGGAAGGAATTAAGATACTAATCCTCACTTGATTAGGGATGGAATGCTCACAGAATCTACGGACAGAAGCGATTAAAACACATGTTTGCTGGATACAAACTTGTCGAAGTGTTTCCGAAAGATGCGATGACTTCTTTTGAAGGTGACCATAGTGGAATGCAGCAACCCATGTTTGTTTTGCAGAACACGTACGGTTGCTCCAACGGCTGGCCGCGAGAATCCATCACAATTCTGTAACAGTCATAAATAAGGATACCACCAACATTGTAAAATAGGAAGCACGAATACAGTAAATAAGTTTTTATATCAATCTGTGTTTGTTTGTATGTCTGGCTTTGATTGTTTTCTATTAGACTTTTATGCTGAGCGAGGTGATAAAATGAGAAATAATGTACAAAAGAGGTATTCTTTACAATTCCTTCTTCTCTTCCTTCTTTTCTGGTGAGATAGCAGTCATTGCCAGTGACACCGACTTGAGTTTGTCAGAGCTTGATGATCTATGCAGTCTGTCACTACTGCTGGATCTGTTTGATGCTCTGATATTATCAGAGCTACCAACTCGTCCAACAGGGCTCAGAGGCGAATAGTAGTTTGCCATCAGGTTCTTGCGATCCGCTCCTCTCCTTGACAAGTACGTTTTGATGGTTGTGAATGCGTTGCCTAGTCCAAGCACAAAAAACAGCAATGCGGCAACCGGGGTCTGTAAGAGTAGAAGGTGAGCAAAAAAACTACAGATCCCGCATTTCGTCAAGAAAACCACCTAGTCCAGCGACATGGACTTACATGAGTTTCAGTACAAACACCAGACCACCATAGCTGACCCAATTGATATCCATTATACAGTTGGAATAGCTGACCAGCCAGAACGAAGGGTATCAACAAGGCAAGATCTCGCTCCAAATGCTGTACGTGGAGTCCATCTCCAACTACGTCCATTGGTCCAGCCAGGTCGAGTGATCTCAATACATATAATCGGTGAATCTGGTATCGATACTAGAAACAAAAAAAGGTCAAACCGCATTCTACCTCGTATAGGGAACGAACACCGTACCTGCAAGTACTGAATGACTCCCAGCGTTATAGAGAATTGGAGAAAGGAAGTTCTGAATGAGGAGTAGCAATACGTTTTCGGCCATATCTAATATCAAGGATTAGTGTCACTATGCAGGCAGTGTTTCGTTGTTTATTGCATCCGTACCACTATGGCTCCCATAAGCACCACCGATAAAACATGATGCATCAGCCACCAGTTCCGTATCCTGGAGCCATTCACCAGCAATATAAGCTCTCTGAGCGTCACTGTGCTGTAATAATACAGCAATACAAAAGAATGAAGTGCGTCGACGACTCTGTTGTCCAGAAAGAACCAATTCAATGCAGCCAGTATGGTTGACAAAATGGTCATGTTGAGCTTGAATGACTCATACTCTAGAAACAGTGATTGGTCAAAAGTCAAACGGTAAGTTCGTTAAAGCGTGATGAACGAGTGGTACCCTGCTTGTATGCAAGCCTCAGCTTCAAAGGCTTGAGCACGAAAGGCCCTGATGTTCCTAAAGCCCATCTGAGAATAAACCTATACGATATGGTGTCTTGATATGAAAAACCGTGACAACCGTGTCTCAAAATCCAAAACAACCGAAACGCACGATGGAGGACGAGGATACTGAAATTCGAGTTGTTTCAGTTTGCGTTCGAGCTTGGCCAAGCTCTCTCCAAGCTCTACAGGTGCATCTGGCGACTTGAGAGTTTTCTCGGCTCTTTTGGTAAACTCCTTGACCAATTTCCGAGATTTTGCTAGTTCTTTGATTCCAGTGGTTTCTTCTACATGTATCTGTTCTGCCAATGAGTTGTAATGTGCAGCTTTGCTCTGGTATGAGGTGTTAAGTTTGGGTGTTAGACGTTTTTGAGTTTTTGGTGATGTACGACAGATTTGGCAATCGGAAGAAACCCAAGATGGAATTCAATGCTGCTAAAGCATCATTTACAGTTAAGAAATTTCCGTACCTCCAGCTGTTTAATTTCAGAAACTAAATGGTGCGCTTCGTTCAACAATTCCTCCATAGCAGCATCGGGTTGACCATCTTCTGTTGCAGTAGCCATGAGTCCTAAGTCAAGGCGAACAGTTTTAAACGAGCTTCCTTCTCTTTGATTCGGTTTCAACACATTTAGCTGGTTGCTGCCATTCTGTTCCTGACTGGAGCAATTGAAGTACAAACTACAAGCAAAAGCCGACGCGATTTTTATCCAGAACATGCGCAAGATGGCGTTCGTTCGCGATATGCTTCCACAAGTTTATGTTCTGATGCAATAAAAGTGTATCTATTTGGCCGCAGCCTTCATCTTGTTAGTCTTTGCACCTTGCTTTTCCAGCTGCGGCATTGGTGCTTTTTTATGCAGATTAAGTAGTTGTGAGGTGTTGGCCCACCGTTCTATACAGTGCGAGTGCTCTCCAGTCCGTGGTAGCATAAACCCTATATCCATACTCTGTTTAATGGGCCCTTTGGGACATAGACATGTCTCGCCGGCACACAATATGCTGGTCTGTAGTTGATGTCTAGGAAAAAGCAATTGAATAAGCAACTTCCTTCGTGGAGAAAAGTATACAAATAACAAGAGAGTTCAACACCATGTGGACTTACTCATAGCCAAAATCTAAGTTGGAGTTTTAAAGTGTCAGTCAAGCAAGCGTAACAGCAGCATCAGACATGGCACTTACCGGCAAAGTGATGTATCTGCGACCTTGGTAGAGTCATGGCCACATATATTGTTCTAATGGGTGCATCACCCCACCTATCAGCAAGATGACACATGTAAGAATCTAAATATTACAGCACGCTAATGGACCCCTCTACGTACCTTTCAAGATAAAATCCTAGCAAACGGTCCATGTAGTCAAAATACTCGTAGTAAGCCCTTGTTCGTAAGAGACTCAGATCCACAATCTCCAAATTGTTGCTATGCAGCGAGGTAATAAGTTAGAAAATAAGTGATAAACTATTAACGAAACACCCCCCTGTGTTGCGAGCTTACTAGAACTGACAGATTTCAAAGGAACCATCCGCAGCTTCCTCAAATACAAACTCATCCAGCAAGTCAGTAGATACAAGATTTCTCTTTTTTAAATAGTTTCTAAATTGGATGCAGTTGATGAGCCAAAGTCAATTGGTTTTGAACCGCAAGTGTAAACGTACTTTGTTGCCCTAAGAATGCTGGGCAGGGTATAAGGCCGTTCTCTCGAAACAACGGCGAACCCGTATCGTATATGATTTTTAGCCATGTAGGCCAAGGGATCGTATGGTATGTCACAGTGAAACTTGACGTGAGGCTCCAGCCTCCAGTACCAATGATATGGTGCTAGCAGTTCGTGATTTATAAAGGGATATGAAAACCTTAAGATGAGAAGCGGTTAGCAATTGACGGCAACTACAACTTCGACAGTTTCAACAGCACATACCACCGACACATGTGATGGTAGGCAGTCTCGTTACCATGCTCAATAGTAGACTTGGCCATGAATTCCTTAGCTTCCTAGTATATGTATGACAGATCAGCTGTGATGGCTTTCCTGGGCAACACACAAAGAGCACAGGGGCACGAACAGTCTGATTGATAAAGTCCGGGAAGTCAAAGTCCTCCACCAGACCAAATTGCACTTGTGACTCGGTGGCTGATTGTACAGATTCCATGAATTCAGTGGAGAATTCCTCATTATTGAGCATCAGATACGGATAGTGCCAGCGATGATTGAATCGCTCCTTTTGGTAAAAGTGGAGCTTCAAATTAGGTTGTTTTTCGCTTGAATGTTGGAACAGTGAGACTGGCGAGATACGTACTTCAAAGTTCTTTAACGTTTCCAAGAGTTCCGGCAGGTCCTCATTCCTTAGTAGTGACAGTATGACTCCATTTTCTCTTGGAGGTTTCTCATTATGTCTCGGTGTTAGCTGGAACCACAAGAACACCATTAAAACAGATAAAATGATCCATGTTCGGGCCTTGAACCGAGTCGGTAGCCATGCACTGATCGTGGCATGCGGCTGGAACTTTTGTCTGTCTCGAAATTTCGGCATTGCTTTGGGTCTTGAATTCCACCAACAGTGCAAGGAGTGATGGCAAAGAAGAGGAGTTCGACCTGGATGTCTATTGGACAAGGCTTTTCTATCTCCCCGATCTCGAGAATCTACTTTGAGCTAGAAGAGATCGTGTATGTCACAGTAATACCATCAGAGGTCGAGGAATAATTTACTTTTATTGAGGCAATGACTAATACGCCATATGTTTGAGACCTAACTACAAATTACAATTCCTTCCGGTCGTGTTTCGAGATCCAATCCTCATGAAGTGCACTATCAACCAATGTGCAGATCTCATCATTATTACGACCAATGTCACCAGTGATTCCCAGCCTCCGCCGATTTGCACCACTGCATTTCTTAAATGCAGGGCCGCAGATCTCTTCATCACATTTCAAGCATTCGTTTTCACCAGACATGGCCGTGCCTCGAACGCTAAAGAACTGCTTCAAACAGACTCCAAAGCATTTCGAGTATCGCACACATCGAATATCAGCAAGCCAGCACTCCCTGCATTCGGGCTTGAAGCCAATAAACACATCGAAACAGAGGCGACCAATTGATTCCGACAAGATGGACGCTGCCAACGCGCAGTTTTTGGACATTGTCGTGAGAGTCCGTGTTTGATGGTAATAGATGCCCTAATGAGAATGACATAGATCAGATTAATAAGGAAAAGGACGTGATTATGACAACAATACATTGCAAACACGTGTAATCGACACAGGTTAGCGATTACTTACCACATCGTGCGGCGTAGAGCAGTATCCACACTCGCCACAATGAAGAATATCGATTCGATTTATGAATTCATTGTAAAAAGTAGTGGTGCCGTTGCGCAGGCAAATTGCACCTTGGTGGTCATTGTCGCGAGGCGAGTCTGAGGCACGCGAGGCGACGACCAGAGACACCCCAAGCAGGAAAATCATCGACAATATCATTCGACGTTCCTCTTGGCGATTTCCTCGTTTTTGTACAGTTCCCAACTCCGCACCTCATATCTGATTGGTTGCGCTAGTCTCGCAAGTTTTCTCAACTTTGCTCCAGTCACCCCATTCTCCACAGAAACAGCAGGAGGTGCCACTTAATATCATTACTATACATAGCCTAGTACATACACATAGTTAGACAAAACAGATATGGCCCCAAAAGGAGAAACCGTCCCTGTACCTCATATGCCATCTGGCGACCAATCTGGCTTCATGTCGAGAATGGCGACCAAAGCTAAAGACACAGAGGCTCACAAGAATACCGTCGACTCATATGCTCAATTCTGGGATGCCGACCATAAGAACCTTGCAAACACTGAGGAATCTATTGCAAACCGTCGTGAAAAATATGCTCAATTGACAAACCATTACTATGACTTGGTTACTGACTTTTACGAATATGGTATGACGGATCCTGTACCTGATTTATACAATCATTTGCGGTCAAAGAGGGATGAAGCTGGTTTTGAGTGTGCTCTGCTGGTTGAATGTTACCCTCTCGTTTTCACTCAATTTTTCACACACATTGTCCTATGTGGTCGCTTGGTCAAAACCATCGAAATTAACTCAAAATCAAATTCCAAATTAGGATGGGGTCAATCCTTCCACTTTGCTAGAATGTTCCAAGGTGACACTTTCGTGCAGGCTATTGCCCGTCATGAGCAATACTTGGCAGCTAGATTGGGCTTGAAGCCTGGAATGACTGCTATTGATATCGGATGTGGTGTCGGTACGATTTAACTAGTTTCATCTCTGTCAGATTGCTTCTGATCTGTTGCTACATCTCTTATCACTTTGCAAAACAGGTGGTCCCATGCGCGAAGTCATTCGATGCACTGGTGCTAATGTCATTGGTCTAAACAACAATGCATACCAAGTAGAACGTGCCAATAAATTAAACAAGTCTATGAAGTTAGAGGGATACGGAAAGGCCATCAAGGTAATGCAAGCTGACAGTTGTTGTTGGACAATCTCAATCTTACTCAAAGTGGCATCGATCTAGGGCGATTTCATGAAGATGCCCTTCCCAGATGCACACGTTGATGCTGCTTATGCTTTCGAAGCCTGTGTACATGCTCCTCGTTTGGAAGGTGTATACTCTGAAGTCTTCCGTGTGTTGAAGCCTGGAGGATACTTTGCCAACTATGAATGGGCTACCACTGCCAAATACGATGAAAACAACTTGGTCCAAAAGAAGATTATCAACGAGATTGAGGTACGTTGTTAAAACCGTAAAACTCAATGTCACCCACTGCAACATTTCAAATTCAAACATGAAACGCCTCTTCTAGGAAGGCGACTCTCTTCCCAAGCTTTACACCATTGAGCAAGTCAAGGCTGCCATTCGATCTGTCGGCTTTGAATTGATTGACTGCCAAGACTTTGCTGACCCAGATGCTCCCATGTCTTCTGGCCAAGAACCTTGGTACTCTCCTCTACAAGGATCTTACTCTCTTCAAATGGATCAGTTATACAGATGGCGCATGAATCCCGTTGGTCGAATGTAAGCCCTTTTAGTTTGATTTGGTCTGAAAGTCAAAACGGTTTTCAATGCGAATGGCAGTGCAACAAGACACCAACACTTCCTATTTGCTCCTTCAGAATGACATCTATCTTCACCTGGTTTATGGAATTGGTCCGCCTAGCTCCACCAGGAACGTGCAAGGTCTCACTGTTGCTAAACCTCGCCGCCGCAGCGCTGGTGAAGGGTGGTGAAGAGCACTTGTTTACTCCTATGTTTTTCTTCTTGGCACGAAAGCCCGAAACCCCAGCAGCTGGAGGTGGTAGACAACGTGCAACCAACGGTGCTAGCCATTAAAAGAACGACTCCCTATGTCTGGTATTAGTTGCTCTTCACCCTTCATACTATAGAATTTTAAGCAGCAAGAAAGTCAATAAACGTAGCAAATTTTGAGTACGTAAGTAGTGTGTATGTTTCGCTTCGACGTCTATTAATGGACCTCTCAGGGCGTCTCTGTAAGTATGAGTCTTCTAGTATCGATATATTCGAGTAGTTGAAATTACGGCCAAAGGTGTGGAGCGTCAGCATACCGCCTCGTCCCATTAGCAAACTTGTCTACAGACAGGCGACCGTGACTCGTTGCACCCATCCGCACAGCTCCTGAGATTGCCTCCAACATGGCATGTTCGTCTACCGTATGCTCAGGATCTTTCCAATTGGGGCTGTGTTCAAAGAGAGTTGAAGTTAGCCTTTGTTGGGACATGTAGACACTGACTGCATTGGAACGTACCCCTCTCCTTTTTTTGTTATAGTCGATCGTACAGCGATATACGTTATGTCTAGTAACTGGATTAAGAAGGGATTTTAATCAGTTCTCAAGACTATATCGCCAACTCCAAATTTCTCCTTCACCAACCACATAGCGCGTACCTTGGCCAAGTTCCGAAATCCAAATCGTTCCAACCCTTCCGGCATGATCTCAATAACTATAGAGTCTGCCGGCATCATCATTAAGAAGGTCAACTCTGCTCCATGTGTTGCGACAAGTATCGACGTGGTTCGAGTAACTTGCATCTGCTCTAGCGGACTCAGCTTTCCGAAATTGACTGCTCGAATGAATTGATGTGGATGGGCTTTTCGTGTTAATGACATGATCTTGGCAAAATTGACAAGAATTCTCGTATCTCGTTCTATAAATGTTATTGTGGCGTCGTATTGAGGATCTGGTCCTACTAGGCCCAAACCAACATGTTGAGCAATCTTTGCAGTAAAGCTCTAAGTGGTAATTGGTGGAGATCAGTTACAAAATTTTACTGAAAGTGTGTTTGAGTGAGAAACGTGTGATCGCTTATATGATGGCAAGAGACGCAACTCGAATATAACATTTGCGCAAATAATCCAATTTTAAGTCACCTTGAGCATAGACGATGATTTACAGTTTGATGCTACCCACGACTCTCTCCATATCTCATTATCGTGCTGAGTTAGGGATACAATCAATTTCTTGAAGCAAGTACCAGGTTTGAGCCAATACGTCAGGCTGACAGACCCATACATGGATAATAACGAAGACCAAGGATCATCGGTAAAGTTACGTTGGTCGGCAATCCAAAGCGCAGCAGGTTTGGCCCACACACTACTGTTTTTGTTGATATTACGTGCCGACTTGGTCTCTCCAGAGAATGCTGCGTCGGCTATCAATGTACTTAAAAAGACTGAATAATGATCTAACATACTGTGCCATCTAAAATAATCGGTTGGTGTTGAGGAATCAAGTTTTGGTAGGGAAAATCAACAGATGATGGAACTTACAAATTACTATGTACATCACGAACCATCAGCACCACCGGTTCATCAATGACTTCTGTACAAGACGCCAGCTTCCCACTTCTTATGTACATGTCGCGGCCGTGTTCGACAAGCAAGTCGCGAACGTTAGCCATCTCGTCGTTCTTGCAGTCAGTAACAACCACAAGCCCTCTATCACTACTAGGACCCATCTGCATCAGCCCCTCTGCAACACACATTGCAGGCAGAGTGTCTGGCCTCCACGGTATTGTGAGATTAAACCACAATGGTTCTACAGTTAGTCGGTCTGGATTGACCAGCGGATCCATCCATCGTGGATCTTGCCAACACGTCCACACTGCAGAGCCAGCTCGACAATACTGAGTTGGATTACTCAGGAACGAGTCTATTTTTGGATAATCGTATCTGTGATTTTGAGGTGCGGTTTGTGGAAGGTTCGGTAAGCTGTTGGATTCACTAGCGTGCATCGAGTGGGCTGGATCTCAAAGGAAAATGACATCCATACCTTCCACAACTACCTAATTCTGATGGTCCATAGTCAGGCGGGTCACGCTGGGGCGGAACTGTGTGAAAGTGTGAATCCAAAATTTTAGGAAAAAATGTTACGAGGAAAACAGCACCAACGACTCCAAGCGACTTGCCAAAACTTCTCCATTCCGAATCTGTTGATCCTAATTGCATGCTTGAATTCAAATTGGTGTTAGCTTATAAGAGTTTTGGCTATTGTACACCGCCAGCTGATCGCACTGTAACTTCCAAGCTTACCTAGAGAAGGTGAACATGCCAATAAGCGATACAACAACGATCAATAAAATCCATCGGAACGGCACCGGCACTGCCGGTTTCATCAAGAACGCTTTTGTGGATCTTCCAGATTTTGCCAAGTCCAAGTTCTATTGAGTGTGTTTCCCTTCGAAGGCGTTTGGAATATAATCAATCACCATTCTGTATTGTGGTACGACATTACTGTATTTGTGTTTGAAAGAAGACCACTACATTTCGTGCCTCATACTGGTGACTGGGTCTTTCTACGTTTAGCCTCAATTACAAAGACGGATTCCCCATTAAACTCGTAAACCACATCCATTTCCTCTCTAAAACATGCCATTACTTCTTCTGATGAGCCGTGTCATGGAAGGCGAATGTCTTTGGGTAATCTCTTAGCATCTTCTTCCAACGGGGCATGTGCATCTTGGTTTCAATCAGCCCGTGAGACGAATCGGTCCATACCATCATGTACTTAAAGTCTGGGGCTCCACGGGATCCCATTCTGTGTACGTATTTAGTAAGACCAGCCTTGGCTATATTGGCCATCAGCTCGTGAAGATGGCCTCCAGGATTTTCATAGACAGCGTCGATTTTGATCATATGCTCTTCATAGGGAACTTCGGAATGAATCTGGGAGAATAAAACTTAAATCAGTCAACACTTTTTTGCGGTTGTTAGGGAACACTCTTCAAAACCTGAGTTCCGTCCACTGTAGGGTTTTCCTTCAGTGTTACAGCCGGTATACCTGTACTGTTATCAGAACTGAACCTCCAACGGTGTGGTGTTCCGGTAGCAGGCCATTTTCCTTCATTGACCGATCTGGCACCTGTTTGTGACAAAAAAACGATGTTATCGACAAGGATCAACAAGGCACAGCACAGAGGACGAATACCTCGATTGTAATCATACCAGCAGGGAAAATATCAGCAGCAATAAAGATCTTGTCTGGATGTGCACTGGCTTTAATTCCTTCGGCTATACAAACAGTCGACCTTCCACGAAATGATCCCTATTATGTATCACTGGTTTATGCATAGTGTTGATATGAAACAGAATCAACAAGTACCTGTTCGTAAATAGGTCCAGGTGTAGTGAAGCCTATGTAGTTCAACAAATAACATTCGTCGTCCCATAGCTAGCCATCTACACGCCAGGTACACAATTGTGTGAGCAAACATATGTTCAGACACTCGTTGTGAGTGCATCTCTCCTCTTTTTATGAGAGGAACAAAACACTAGGATGCATCTATCGTTGTTAGCACTCACTTGGAAGCCAGGCAGGGATTTTGTAACTTGATTTGAAGTTTTCGTGGATTGATTTCAAAGATACGTAAGGTGAGCGATTCTTTAAGAAATCAGCAGTGTAATCCATTTGGTGACTGCCCGTGTGTGATACAGATTGTGATGAAGGTGCATCATTACCAAAGGTCATCCATATACAGATTAAGGAGACACCGACTATAGATATTATTGCCAGCAGCTGGTTGTGGTTTCTTCCGTTGGCACCATTGTTATTATGCGGTTGTTGAATTCTTAAATGTGGCCAGCGACGCACCCTCCACAGATGAACGAATAAGACCGCGACTGGACACAGAGCAGACAGTACTAGATTTACTGAAATATCGGCCAGAATGCGGCGTGGACTCTCCTCCTTGATCAACGAAAATAGGTGGCGATGTTGTGGCCGGAGGTTGGAGCTTGGAATGAACAAAAATTTAAAACTTCAGATTGCTTTAGAGGTTCTAGTGTTCAATAAGTCGCGACGTCAAATATTTTAGTTTCGAATTCGAATTAACCTTATACAGCTACGGCTTGCTAGGGTATCACTCAGCACCCCACCAGTGACGCGTTCGTTCTTCGAGTTGATACAAGAGGCGAGCAAGTTGACAGTAGAGCGACAGCCAGAATTTCTCTTCCCTTTTCATAGGATCCCTTTGCGCCGGGCAACCCGCGTTTGATCAAGATTGCTTTTCTAATGCGCTGATTCGTCAAAGTTTTGCCAAGTTATTATTTGTTCAAGTTAGAAGAGAGGCAGAGATCAGTCGCGAAGAGTCATCGACAAAGCCTCGTAACTGAGTTCGGAGAAACGCAGATCAAGCTTGATCTGCTTCTTCTTGTGATATATACTGTGTTGGAGGTTGAAGGGTGCGTTGACGGTCTCAACGACGAATTGAACGGTACTCTACCCAAGGCATCTTTTCGAATAAAAGGATCTATACATGTAAGTTTCCGCTACACCAACTCCACTGTGCCTTATTACTTATTCATACAATTTCACCATCTACAAACATCAAATTGCAGCATCAATGTTCACAATTCGAAGGAGGACTACCACTTTATCGCAAGCTCCTCCTCCCAGCTATGATGGTCAGGAAGAAGAGCTCCCTTCTTACGACTCGGCAGTAGCTCCAGCAGCTGAAGATCACATTCAAGAAACACTCCCTCGACCGAGGCTTCGACCTCAACCATCTACTGTTACTCTGAGAGAAGAAGAGCATGTGCCAGCATGGCTGAACTTGCATAATAATCATGTAGACGAGGAGGACACAGAGATCAAGTGGACTTGCGCTGTTTGTACTTATAGAAACCACCAAGATTTCGGGGTCTGTGAAGCTTGTGGCCATGGTGAAAAGATCAAATCGTCCGGTTCGTCTTCATCCTCAAGGTCTCCGTCACTAGTATCGGCTACTCCGTCATTGCCACCATCTCTGCCTCCTCGCAGACCTGTATCCTCCATGTCTTTGGAACTGCCTAAACCACCTACTATAAGTAATAGAAGGGCCGCGTCTTCAGAAACCGAACGTCCTCGACGTGCTGTGTCTCCACCTCCCTCGAAAGGCTGGACGTGTATAGATTGTACGTTCATAAATAGCTGGACCGTCACGGAATGTGCTGTATGCTCTTCTACAATCCCTTGGATTTGTCCACGATGTAAACAATCTTTCCTGTTCTACTTTTTCGTCGTTCGTCTCGTAAGAATTCGCATATTCAACCTCCTCATTTTCTACAACAGGTACATTTGCCAACAAAGGCACAGACAACTGTGATGGATGCGGTCTGGATAAAGCAGCTATAGAAGAGGGCAGTTTATTGTTCGCGGATGTAAAACCAGTCAGGTCGGCTGAATTGCCAAAGTGGAAGTGCGCTTTCTGTTCTTCGATGGAAAATGACGTGTCCAACGAGATCTGCTCAACGTGCGGGCATAATGCCACAGAGAGTATACCAGCACCGCTTATAGTAACAAATCCTCCACCATTAAATCCAAGCCGACCTCCATCATTATATAGGCCCCCCTCGCTAAATATTTATCCTCCACCTCAGCACTTTCATAACCCGCCGTCTCCACTACGTCCTGTAAATACTGCCTCGTCTAATCCATTCACAAATGCATCATCGACTCCAACATCACCATCTGGTTATAATCCATTCACTCCAACAACGCCAACAGCTCCAGCAGCGGGAGGCTTAAATCCCTTCGACGACAGTCATGCTGTAATTATAACGCCTCCTCGTGATGATCAAACTGAAGAGGAGCGAAATATACGTGCTGAGATAGATAGGGAAGTTGAAGCATATATTCATCAACGTCGAGCCAGCACGCAATCAGAAGCCGTAGGACAATCAGTATCTGAACCGAGTACAGTAGATCCGACCTCACGGCCCTTCCCTCCACCGAGGATACAGTCGACACGGAATCGTCGTGTCATAGTAAAAGAACCTAGCATCGCTAGTATGTATCCATCCGCTCGCGATAGCTAATGAGTTGCACATCATCATCTCGTTGTCAATTCATGTAATAGACGCATATCGATACTCTTTACCAAAGAGATATCGAGTATAAAGAATAAATTATAAAGAGTAACAGTAAAACAACCGAGAACATCAGACTGCTTCAACATTGCTGCAAACTGTACTGTATGTATAACATGTATATTATTGCATATTCTTGTTTCAGGCTTTCACGTCTTCGGCGGCAATAACTACGTCCCCGTTCTCGTCGACGCGATTCCACACATCCAACGGCAGTACCTCCTTTTTAAAACGCACCAAACTATCAACGGCCAAGGGGCCTTGTCTTCTATATATGTACTCAAAGGTTGGCAAGAAGCGTTTCAGGTCATGTGGGCTGACTACGATTCCAGTTCGTTGGCGAACCAGGTCAGACAACACTTCTCTGGCTACACAAAAGCCATTCACTACGGCTTTATCTACGTATATCATCGAGTAACCAAACTTGTTGCATAGATAACTGACGGCTAGTGGGGACAGTCCAAAAAGGGAGGCCGGCCTACAAAACAAACGTCGATTAATGATGTCTTCATAAGAAAACCAATTGATTTTACATACTCCGTCCATAAAACTCTCTCCTTGTTCACAGTATAGGGCTCGTCGACCTCAAAGTTCCTGTTGATCTCTATAATGATAACTCTTGGGCGATATTTGGCAGTCAAGATAGCCTTCAGCACCCAATAATCGGATGAGTCGAGGTCGACGGATAGGATATCAAAGGCGTTGGGAACTTCGTATTTCTGAAATAGGGGGACAATGTTTGTCCTGTTTATGAAGTGGTTGTGGATGACCCTACTATCATAGGACTTTGCTTTCCCGTCCATGAGAAGCCCATCCCATCGTTGATTTTCCCATAGCCACTTGGTATTGCATTCAGTTCCCTGAAAACAAGCCATGTCGGGATCGGTCAGTTTATTTGTGTGGAAACGAGGAAAAACACGCATACAAGGTACGTGCAAAGACAGTGGGATTCCACTTGGCAACGAGACGTACATCAAATACACCGAATTCCACATAGTACTTGTTTGTGGTTCCCAGGTTTGCAAATATATACTGTATTGCTCCATCCTCACCGTTCTGTTTTTGGGCGGTGGTTTCGATTAGTAGACGTACTTGATAATAACAGAAGGAATGCGTAATTTACAAGATACCAATAGTATTCAAATTTACCTGTGAGTAGAATTTGATTTCATGATCACCAATGTTATAAAGAAATTTCAGATGGGTGGTAATCAGGGTCTCCTGTGAGGCAGAGAGACCAAACGATGTCCCTGCAAAGTGCATAGGAAAGACTAGATAGAGTAGAAGCGCCGCTAGAGCAGCAGCACCTAGCCCCTGCAGGGCGATAGTTTGCGGGCGAGCCATTCTGTATATTGGCGATGTTTTCATTTCACAGGTTACTTAGATGTACCAGATTTGATAACAAGAAGAATGGGAGTTATAAGGAGGAGACTCGCGAAGATGAACGCGTAAAATTACTTGAAACATTGATGAACTTGTGTTGTTGAGATCTGCACATCCTTCACATGCTGATCGACTCACTGTCGCAATCTCAACAACACAACTTAGGTAACTTTAAACCACACAGGGCGATTTCATGCCGACATAGATTCTCAAGCCATTTGTAGAGGAAGTTTTTCTTCTATTTTTACCTAATCACTTCCACACTCGTTGCAATCAACAATCTGGTACAATGGATCTGGCACGAACGAACAGCTCGTATTCCAATACTGCAAGTAGTGACACTGCTAGCATCAGCAGCCCCAACAGATCTAGCCAGAAGGCAGAACAGTTGATTCAGCAATTCTACTCAAAGACTGCTCAATGTATTGTGCAAGCACGCTGGACTCATCCTCCACCACACTCTCAATCCACCTCCAGATCAAGAAAGAGTACACGAGTAGGAGAACTATCTGGTTCAACTACTTCTATCGGACCCGACTCTGCTCGCAAAAGTAACAAGTGGGTGAGTACTTTGCCACTTGATCACATTCTTGAATGATACCGTGACCTTGAAGTGCTTTGTCTCGGACAGACAACCCCGGTTTGCAACTTTATTGGTTTCCTCAAGTTCTGAAACGTGATTTATTCTCACTAGTTCAACTTGGAAATTGACGAGCTGGACGCACTTCGGGACGAACTCAAGTACTGGAGAGTCAATGCCATCCCGGCTTCATCATCACTTAATGTGTCGTCGGCAAACTCGACAGCAGTGTCATCGCCACCCCTGATAATAGATCTGTTTCTGGACTTGTCAAATCTAGGCCCAGCACAAGCAGTGACCATTCGTGACGAAATGTCTCGCAGACGACGGATACCGCCTGAACAGCTTGTATCTATTGATTCGAATGGACGAAGTGTCAGAAAACGGACGATATTGCTCGAAACATGGCAATTGAGTCTCACGTGAGTGAAATGTCGCCAACTGCTTCAGGCGCATGGCAAAAGTAACGCTCGCTTTCACTCTTATTCAAGGGGTCCCGTTCCGTCGCAACCACCTGAGCTTGCTACTGTATATAAGAAGGCAGTCATGTATTTTAGATCATTGTATAGTTTTATTAGGTTGATGCCAAGTTATCGGCTGTTTAGACGGTTGAAGAGAAGTACGAATGGAGGTCTGGGGATTGGATATCGCTTGTCATCAAGGAGGACTATGCCGGAGGATGAAGCGGGTCTAGGTGAGGGTCGACACTGCCCGCCACTCGACAAGCCGTGTAACCATTGCAGGCAGCAAACTCATTACCATTCATATCTCATTAGACCAATTACACAGTACATCAGATATGCGGATGGGCATTGCAGAGTATAGCTTCGGCACTGTGGATACTGCATTTGGGGTATTTTCTCTGCATGTCATGTACCGTCTAGAATGTGACTTTTCAGCTGATGACTCAGAGGCATTGCTCTCCTCTCGGTTGGGGGACTTTGATGAAAATTACTTTTCGCCAAGGTCACTCGACTCTGCAAGAGATAGACGAATCTCTGAGTCAAGTCGCAGCAGGAGAGATGTATTAGTAGAAAGAAGAGTACCCGAACCAGAAGTCTCTAATCTGAGTCAGTCTCCAGTCTTTGGTAGTTTACCAGCATCCCGTTCCAACAATCGTTGGACTACTGATACTGCTACGTCTCCTCGTGGTACCGTCAATCCGATCAGCCATAGTATAAATACAACAACAAGCTCTTATCTACCACCGCATCTGCGACACAATAATAGTAGTAGCAGTAGTCATGGATCACCATCTCATCATCCACACTTTGCTTCTAGATCAGGATCACCATCTCCCGCTTCCGAAGTATTCAAAGTCGGTACTCAAACGAATGCTCCCCTAGCGTCGTATTATCGTAGATCAGGAGTTGGAAATCAGTCTCGACGCACGTCAATGCAATCATCAGACATGACATATCCTCCCTTCATGCCTTTCACTCCTCATTCCGTAGGTTCTCTCATGGCGGGTGATCAGGATGTTATGACGATGAGAGAACCAAATATGTACTTTGATGGTATAGATCCTCCACCATTTTCCACAACTCACTCACCCAGTATAGAAGAAGGAGCAGAAGAAGAGGGTGGTCATTCAAACACATCTGGTAGAAATGATTCTATGGACGGTAGTAAAAGCTCAGATCAGATAAATAGAAGTCCTACACACGCAGAAACAGGTGGTGGTGAAGTCATGTTTGGATTGGAAGGAGGTGGTGTCTTTGGTCCGCCATTCGATCTAGCATATGGTGCTAGTGGTAGTGGTAGTAGTGGCCATAGTCGTGAGAGGAAGCCAATATCCTCGTCATCATCGTATTCTCAATCGCCATCTCGATCTTCTCAGGCTCCAATGGTCCGTAGACCCTCAGTAGTATTTCCAACATCCTCGGCAGTGGCCATACGACATTCTCCGTCATCGTCTTCGTCGACGCCAGCTGATATAACTCTGCCAACACTATTTACACCAGGATCCTCATTTGCAATGCATCCTGGTCTTTGGGGGTCGTCTCTGACGTCAGCATCGCCGCCACCACTTGTAATTATGGAGCATGAATCTGCTCGTGTATATGGAGAGCAACGAAGTGCTGCTGGTAGTTTTCCTCATAGTAGCATCAATAATGAAGTTGATGAAGGCTCTAGGAGCGTTAGTGCTAGCTATAGTACCGGTGCTAGATCAAACAAGCTCACGGTAAAGATTTGATCTGGAATTCACCAATGAACAAATCTAGCCCTTATATTAACAACTTCACCTTTCAACTATTTAGAATGCCTTGGCTCGATTCCAACAGCTACGAGATGTGAATGCATCATTCTCTGCTTCATTGAATCATCTATCTGCCTCAACCATGGGTCTACCTCCTCCTCCATCAGCTTCAGATGGACAAGATGGACTGACTAGATCCGAAACCAGTATGCCATATGCAATGCCATTCGTAGAATATGCAGGTGCAAGCAATAGCAGAGAATCACCACCAGAACAACAGCAATATGCTCAAAATAACAACAATTTTGGTGGTTTACGGTATCGAATGACGCCATCTCGATCATCCGAGTTATTTGAAAATCAGGTGCTAGAGGAAGAACCAGGTGATATCTTTCCTATGGAGTCTCATGATGCTGAGCCTCAGCCGTCTAGTAAAATACAGCCACCATTGTCGTCCAATGGTCGTAGCGGCATTCAAGGATCTGAGCCTGTTCCTCGATTAGGACATACACCTTCTAGTAGACAGGCTTATTGGCAGCAACAACAGCAGAATATGGTGCCGAACTACCGTCAAACTGCCATAAACAACACCACAAATAGTGCGGTATCGATGAGAAATAGCTTGAATGGTGGGCTGCTACCTCCATTTGGACCACTACCAGGATTTGAAGAGGTGTCGAATAGTGGTTCCAACAATGCAGGTAGTGGCAATAGTGATGAAATGCTTTTCAACATGTCTGAGCTAGATATCGGACGATCCCAGTAATATTTTTTGCTTCGTATATAAGAATCTCATAACTTCTCCTGAACGTCCTGAACGTGTTTTTAAGACCATTGAATGGCATTTAATGCGACGGTGCATGTTGATCTGTGTTTTGATTTTTGAGTACAGTTTTTATATGGCGTCCAAGATCGCCAAGGGCTCTACTTGGAGCATGATAGCGCGGTCTCCCAAGAGACTAATTACACGATTGATATTGATTTTATGCCTTTTCCTTCCCGTATCGCTGCTCTTTGCCAGATATAGAGGCCATCCCAACCAAAATGTAAATGTGATCAAGCAGTCGGATACCGACAAGGTGGCCATCTATGAAGGGTATGTATGCGCACGATGATAGTATCTAAAGTTGTTTTAAGATTGATCTGTAACGCAATGCCCTTGGTTTTTTTCGTAACATCTCACTCATTGACGTTCTTGGCACCTTATCTCTTTTTTTGCAACCAACTCACCCACATTTGTTTCATAACCGTATAGAACTAAGCTCGAACGACCTGCATCTGCCATTCCACCGATACTACATCAAAGTTGGAAGACACCCATCCTTCCATCGGCAAGTAAACCACCCAACAAAAACCATCGCAAAAACTTCAACAAATTCTGGGACTCTGATCTAACCTTGCAAACTATGAAACACTTTCCTAGCGTCTTAAAGCATGGTCCAATACGTGTAAACGGCTACATCCCATGTGGGAGTATCGGTTATGGACTGATGAAGACAATGATCGCATCGTGCATGAGCACTATGTCTGGTTTCTGCCTACATACAAGTCTTTCAAGAAGCCTATCTTGTATGTGATCTTGTATGTTGAATTCTCTTCTTTTAAAGTACAACTGTTGACTTGTTCTTTTTGTGTGTTTTTAGGAAGGTGGATTCTGTACGATACATGTACATGCATCGATATGGTGGCGTCTATGCAGACCTCGATGTAGAATGCTTGCGGCCCATGGACTCGTTACTGGATGCTGGGCAGGTCCTGGTTCCGCTCATGAGTTCCGAATATGCTCTCATCCATGTAAACATTTTTGCAAAACAATGTCTCCAATCATTAATTTTACTAACTCACTCATATCGTGTCAAACAGAATATACCAAATGCATGGATGGCAAGTGTGCCGGGCCACATGTTTTGGATTTTCATGTTACTAAATGTCATGAAACGAGCCAAGTTAAAGGACGCAGATACCCGACTACCAGAAGAAATCACAGGACCAGTGCCGCTTTATGAAACGTATTATAATTGGGTTGAGAATTACGGAGTTGATGGATTGGGGGTCACGTTGCTAGCACCAGGGTTGATTTTCCCATATGCGTGGAATACCAAGATTGAGGCAGAGCGAGAAGTTTGTTGGGCAGGTAAAATTATAAAAATGAAAAGCTGTTGAGATTTTGTCGGACTAGATTGTTTGATTTAATTGTGAGTTTTTTAACTCATTAGTTAATCATTAGTGAGTTCGAAGCATAATACCACTGCTTGTAAGGAATTGCTGGATGTCAAGAAGCTAGGGTCCTACACCATAAGTTGTAAGTTCGCGTTTCGATTAAACGTTTGTGAAATGTTCATGACGAAATCTCGCCTTTATAGATTGGCACCACTCCTGGGCTTTAACAAGCAAAGAACAGCACCTAGTGAATGCGTGGTCTGGAAATCGCGAGGAGGACGATTAAGCAGTGCGTGTGTTTGTTTGTGTAGTCCTCGTCATGTTAATAGTATCAGACATATACGCTTATCTTTCGACAAGAGATTTCTCGTTCGCGGTTCGTCCCTGCACCTCCATTTCCACCTCTACTCACGAACCGTCGCAAAGGATTGCAGCTAAACAACCCGATCGCTGCTTGACAACACTGAAACTTCCAATTATCATACCTAGTAGTTATATTCTTCTGGATAAACAAACGATCTTTCAAAAAGTCCACGACATTGGATATACCACACATTAAAAGCTGAAGACAAACATAACAGAAAGAAACTTCTAAAGAAAGTGACTTTCGGTTTCTCCAATGCTTTAGCTTTACCAACTATTCTGTCTCCAACACCTTCCTAGCTCAATTGACGGTTTTGATGGGGCCAAGTGGGGGTGAGGATCGTCGTTTGCTTTTGATAGTGGCCTTTGATAAATTGAGCGGTTGCAAGATTTCGAACGCGCATAGCAAATCATCGTTGACAGCCATGACACCACTAAAAATTCATAGAATGAGTATTGCATTGTTACTTAACCAAAAGGATTTGCATTTACCCCTTGTTGTCAAACTCTCCACAATAATTAGGTGCAGAGAATATCGTGACTAGTGTTCTGTCATTGAAAAACTCGTAGCCTTCTTCCACTACCATGTGTGCTCTGCAAACCTATTGCAAACAACACAAGTTTAGATTAAACTTTAAAATGTTTCGACAGGCCTACGATACCTACCAGATCGAAATCATGTTTTGCCAAGAATTCCGTCACTATAGCTTTGCCAAAACCTACAAAGAGGAAGGTAAAAATCAAACTCCATGATAGGTATTCAGATACGCATGTTACTTACAATAGCTGACACCTCTCTCATTATCTTCCCATTCAGCAGCAATCTAGATTTGTATGAATGCGTCAGCTCAAAAATGTACAGGCATCACCTGCTGTTGTCGCCATTCTGGTAATACGCAGATAAAACAACACACCTCTGATGGATCCGACCACAATAAATCGTTCACCAATCCAAAATCTGGTACATCTAGCGGTCTCGACACATTTCGAATATCATCCATAGTGTTCAAACTTGGGGATAGTCCCCCGTGCACACAGAATATCTGCATGAATATGTATGTGTTAGCTACGATACTGTGCATTATCTGCGAGATGTCCCAAGTTACCTTGCCTATAATTAAAAATGGGAAAGGTCAGTTGAGTTCAAAGTACAGACAAACACCATAGAAGAACGAGCACATACCAGCTACTACGGCAGCCAATGGCATACAGTTGAATGCATCAGTAAAGACCTTCCATATTTTCATGGTTGCTCTTCTTTTGCATTCATCGTAGAATCCATACACTACGGAGGTAGAGTGTTTTTCGTAATTTTAGTGAGATGCGCTTGGTATGTTAGATACACGACGCATCGCAAATGGAGCATGAGCCCACCTCTATTTACACTAGCACACTCGTGATTGCCTCGAAGAATGAAAAAGTTTTCAGGGTATCTGTGAAGTGAGATAGTGATGGTTTGTCAGGGTTTGCTCCATCCGACCGTTGAAACTCAAGCATACTTTATCTTGTAACATAACAATAGCATTATGGTTTCCAATGATTGTTTGCCTCTGTCGACATAGTCACCTGAATTTGGAGAAGAACGGGTTAAATGTTTGAAGGGGGTGAAGAGACGCGAGTGTGCAGACCTAGGAAGAGGTAGTTTGAAGCAGGAGGGTAGCCCGTCATGTCGAATATCCTCAATAGATCTTCGTACTGGCCGTGCGTGTCACCGACAATGTTGACGGGAGGGTTGAGTTCGAGGAGGACAGGCTGGTCGAGGAAGATTTCTCTAGCTTTGTGGCATATAAATAGGATTTCGTTTTGTTTTATTAGGGTGAGGAAGTTTGGCTTTAGTTTCTGGTTGCGAGAGTCGATTAAACGGGATATGATGTCGTCGAGTTCTTTTTCGGACTGAGGCGGCAGCCTGCCAGATAGATACTGTGAGTTTGGAGACAAAGCCTCCATGTTTGCAGCAGTAGTGGGCTGTAATGAGGACGATGAGGTTGTTTGGATTGGGAGCGGACCAGCTGATGCTGTGGGTGACATTGATTTTAAGCTGGAAGCAGCAGAGGTGCTCAGGAGGGTAGAGCCATTTGAGTGTATGTCGGCTGCATTAGATGATGATGATGCACTCGGCTGGGCTCCTGCGGGTATTGGCTGCTGCTGTGATCTTTGCGCAAGGCCGTTACTACTACTATTAGTGCTGCTGCTGTTGTTACTATTGCTACTATGTATATTGGAGGCAGAAGGCCGCCGAGAGCCTGCCTTTGCTCCATCTTTGCTAGTGTTCGAACCCATTCGGATGAGGGACGTGCTTTCCTCCTTGCTGTCTTGTTACTGAATCTGCGAATGTAACAACAAGACAACAAACCACTGCACATACGACAATGAAATAAGACCCATAATACTATTACTAAGCTCCGCTGTAAATTTAGTACGCGCCTAAAGCACGCCCAGGTACCTCAGTTTCATTTGCCCTTTATTTGCTCAGTCATCACAATCCTCCAATTAGTTGGGCTTTCTTCTTTTCATATAACAAATCCTCCAAATACATACAGTAGTGTCTACACTGTTAATTGGCTATTGGATACTACATAGCCACACGCTAATAATACTGCCCGCTATCCTAAGCTTTCGCAAAACAACCAACATGAATCCTTCTACTTGCGACAAGACACCAACATTTGAAATACTGCCAGTCAGATATTCATCGAACGTGCGTTGTTATACCTACCAGCTGGGCGATGTTGGCAGTCTCGGCCACACTCGGACAGTTTCTGGTTGGTATGGTGCTTCTCCTTATCCGTTGTGAACTCATGGTCCCGTTGTCGGTTTCCTCTGAATGTCTGAATGTAAGGAAAACACTACGTACTTTCAGCTGTGTAGAAAGCTTTGTTTGTTGGAGGTATTGTGGTTTCTTACCAGCACCTTTTTCAAAATTCTTCATCGGGCACCACTACTAGACAAGCTACACCACCAACGATTGGAATGCATTGAAAAGCGTAAATCCAAGGGAATGGTTCAAGATCAAGCGAACTAGCGCAAACAGTTCCGAGGGTTTCTACGCAAACTCAGATTCTTATCGAACCGTATTGTAGTAGAGAGGCAGGAGTTGAGGATCGATTTCATCCTTCCAATACAAGACTTGGTTTGGTAGAAGAAGGTTTGCGTGTATACAATGTCCCAAGTTGTTGCCCTGTCAGCGGCTGTCCTGTAGCGATCATTCATAGTTCAGCAACTAGGTTCGCGTTCCTTATAATCCAAGATTTGGAATCCGAGTCTGTGATATTCCACCATATCTCGCGATCCATATACCACGACAAACCCAAAGGCACCAAACACCAGAGTCACCACCACCAAACAAATCAAAATCACTCACCCCCAGTGGAGGATTGTCTCTTGTGTGAATTAGAGAGGATTGCACAGGTATTCGATTTGAATTAAGTTCGTTGCTTCTATAATTGTATAATCGTTTTCAAGTGCTGAGATCAAGCAAACGAAGGTGTCGTTATATATGCCACTTCTAATCCAAACTTTCAACACCCAGACACAGGATGAAGGGGTCGGGGAACGTGTTCTCTCTGTTGATGATGGTCTTGTCCTTTTGCATAGGATGTCTAGTTTCCTTCTTGGTGGATTTTCCCTCAAAGGACTACATTCCATCAAACGACTTTTTCTCGGCTTCATCTGACGAGGGCATGTACCAGGAGCTAGCTAGATCTTACAAGGCTACTGCTGTAAAATGGAGAAGGCTGGCTGGACAATCCTATTGTGCCAGTGGGCTCGGGTACGAGTCGTTTGAAAATTATCGTCTGATAGGTTGACGCTCACAAGCTACCTCTGATTTTTTAGTCCTACTGGTGGATGGTGTTTAACAAAACAGCTCGTTGAAGAACAACACATTCCAGCTGATCCTGGTGTCAGTCGAGGCCTCGTAAAGTACTTGACCCCCTTGATGACGAACAATCGCCCAATAACACTAGTAGACATTGGTGCTGGTGTAGGTCAATATGGCACATGGCTGAAGCAAAACAATGTAAAAAACATAACGTGGCATGGATTTGATGGAGCAGAGAATGTAGAAAACTTCACTTCTGGATTTGTGAAATGGGTAGATGTCACGGATCCTGTCTTTGATACTATAAATATAAAAGGTACTGGCCGGACACTACATACTTTTTCCAAACACTTATTGATCGTCATACTCGAGATAGGAGACTGGGTCTTGTCACTGGAAATTGGAGAACATATACCGCCAGAAACTACACAGAGTTTCTTAAACACTATTGATCGTCATAATCGAGATGGAATCATGCTTTCTTGGGCTATTCCTGGTCAAGGAGGCTTCCATCATATCAACTGTAGATCAAACGAGGAGGTGATTGGACTCCTGGCCGACATGGGCTACACTCAAGACGCATGGACGGACGCATTTCAGGCTGAAGTGCGTGAAACCACTGAAGCCATCTGGTTTAAAAACTCCTTTATGGTTTTCAAACGTATAAAACGTGGTTGAGCAATCCGTAGTGGATGCATCCCCGCAATGAACGTGTAAATGATTCAGATTCAAAGCATGCTTTATAATAATATATGGTAAGGTGGTGAGCATAGTCAAGTGAAACAGCCTGTTTTGATGTGCAAACATGGTCGCTTGCTTTGATGCGGACACATGTCTTATAATTATTGAGTATGATTATTCAAACGCTGAAACTCTATGCATGTACTGCTCAATTTATCCAAGTATGAGAAAAATGATGCTCTACAAGCTTTTCCCTTTGTACATACTCATAATCAGCACCTATCACAGCCGCTGCTTCTTGGGCATCACCTCCCAGATCTTTGGTTGGTATACCAAACACACCTGTTGGAAACACTAATACATCCGCCAACCTTCGAGATTGATTGAAGAATTGCCCATGTAAGTCTGCCCATTTGACATCCACAGCTCCAGACAAATACGACCGAATACCATATGAAAACACCTCGGGCCCGGTCAGCGTTACTGGATCAGCAGCATCATCAGACCAAGACCTCAGCTTTTGCAATCGAGCTAATATTAAATTTATGGTGGTTCCTAGGACGGCATGATACGGTGCTGATGCGATGATTGCCTGTACGAATTGAAGATCCAGATGAAACACCTCGCTGTTTCTTTGTTTGTGTTTTGGATGTATTACTTTGCTAGCATCGGTTTCGAGTGAGACCATCATATTGAAGGGTGAGTCGGGGAGTGTCGGTATTCCATTGGTGCTCGTGTTTTTGAAGTCTAGGCCTGTGGTTCCTTCGACTACCCACTCGTTCAAAGGTTTTATAATAGTTGTGTCTGCATCAGCATACTATGAATTCAATGGTGTTAGATCATCAGTTTCCCACGGCGGTGATAAATGCGACATCGCCAACTTACGATGCCACCAAAGGTCTGAAGGATCAGCAAACGTCCCAAGTCAGTCCGGAATACGACTCGTGGAAACGCTCTATATCTTTTGAGTAGCTGCGGATAGTATGACTTGACGAATTCATCCATGGCTTCATCAGTCCAAAGGATATGTGTTGCTTGAGGGTTGCTGTCCCGCCACGAGCTTATTGATGCATGTTGGAGTAAAGAATCGGAGTCAAAGCAGTTTCCTTTCCACATCTGAGAAGGAACAAACGGTGAGCATTTGTTGGTTGGCAGATGGTTTCCTTCAACGAAACATACTTGGTGGATGATGGAAGGTATTGCCGTATGTCGTATCTTTTCACCATAAAGTGAGGCAAGGAGAGCAGCATCTGATTGCGTTCTTGGATTCTGCAATCGGGTTTTGAACTCTGTATCATCGTCCCATAGTTGCTCGAAATTGGAGTCAACGTTCAACACACCAAGTCGAAATACTAATAGCAAGAGCTAGTTGAGCTACGAATGAGGATTCACAATGTCTGAGCAACAGCAATACTTGGTATTGTCCAGTTGGAGCTTGGCACCAAATCGTCATCATTGTTGTCCACGTTTGATGTTTGAAGAAAACCATGTCCCTCGCGGGATGCCAACAGGTCTAATATAGAATAAATTATGTGCGTTGAATAAATGAAGGGGAATCTACGCTTTTAGAGTAGAACATCAGTGGTGAAACGAACATACCAGAGAATGGATTCAAGAAGACGCATGTATTAACCAGCAACACTGCAACTACCGTCAAGAGTTTGCAACCACTGGGATATGTAAGTAGCATGCCTGAGATATTGCTGCCGCGAATTGAGGTGGAACGTCGAGGATCATCCCTGCTGGTGATGATTTCTTGGCAAACCTAATGGAACTCCGGGTTTGAGAAACAAGGCAAATTGACCTTGCAGAAGTGCGATTTAAAGGGCCTAACGAGTTGATTGCGCTCAAAAAATGATGATCGCATCTATCCTGGGTATATCCGGGAGCGACCGCATATGTCAATTTTCGTGTTAAAATTCCAAACTTGAAATTAGAATTAAGCTCTTTAATTGTCTTTTTTGGTAGTGACAGTTTGTATTTGAAGCTGGCTTAATAAGAGGTCAACAACACTAGATTGAGCGAGTTAGTGAGTAAAAGCTTCCCACGAGATCAATTAAAAACTAGACATTTTCTCACCCTTTCCTCCCCGTCCAGGTAGTTGACTCGCTTTGATGGCAGCCATTACGTCTGCCAAATCGAACTTTTCACCCGAAAGTGGTACCATAATACCTAACGCGAAAGGACAATCAGTGTCCACGTCATGCATTGGTTTAGATGATTTGAACTTGCCTTTTTGCATGTAATGGAAAACTTCACCCATGAACTTTGCAACAACGTCCTCCTTCATCGCCATAATGTGTGTTGCAAGCCAATATCCTGTAACCGTAACTCCCCGGAAGAGACAAGCTGGACCAGAAGCTTGGAAAACTACACCGCCTGCATTTTACAAATAGCACAATCAGGATACCTCCCAAAGACACTGACAGCAATGTATGTACCTTGTAGACCATAAACCAATATCACTCCCTTATCCCGGACCGCATCAGATAGAGCCAATGTAGTATTACCCCCAACAGCATCGACAGCACCGAACGGTCGACTCCCACCTGTTGCAGCAAGAATTGCAGCAGCGACTGCTCCTGGCTCCAAGTCAGCCGTCACAACCACAGCGTCGGCTCCCAGAGACATCAATTCAGCTTTTTGTTCCTCCCGACGAATCAGGTTTACGGTTTTGATTCCGCGATGCTTGCAAACTTGAATCATTTGTCTTCCTAAGACCGAGTTTGATGCAGTTTGAACAACCCATTCACCTTTAGGTACATGGAGATATTCTAGCATTCCAACGACCGTCATTGGGTTGACTATGAGTTGAGCAGCTGATTCATCGGAGACATCGTCCGGAATGGGCTTTTGTGTTGAATTGTCAGTTTTGTAAGACAACGATTCAAATTATTTCGCCATCCTTACCACGACGTTGGTGACCTTGACGTATTCTTGGAAGGAACCGTTTCCACTAATGGCCTCTGCGAAGATTGGGACGACACGTTGGCCAACTTTTACGTGAGAGACGCCTTCCCCAATAGCAGCGACAACACCGCCTAATGCGAAACAGATATTAGAGGTGATTTTATTCTTTGACCGAAGCAGCTAAGCTAGAAACAAAAAGCTCACATCCTTCGAGTCCTGGAGTCGAATCTTTGAACGCATTGGGGGGTTGGAAGCCTGGATAAACTCCGAGAATTGAAAAGACATCCGACGGACTAGCCAACGTTGATTTTAGCAAGTCACATCGACATTTGATAGCGGCACGCTGTAACATGCCAAATCAAAACACCCACTTGATTGGCCGAACAGTGACTTTAACAAGAATTTGGCCAGGTGAAAGAGTTGCATCGAGAGTCTTTTTGCCAATGGTTACATTTTTCATTCCAGTTCCATTTAGAATCACAGCTGAAAAAGGAGTGAAATTAAGCTTACTGACCCAAAAGACGTGAAATTGTAGAAACCACATCGATGCTTACCACGGTAGTCCTGTGGCAGAGTCATAGTTGAATCGATTTTGGCTCTTGGAGGCTCTCGACGGTTTCCTGAGAAGTAATAGAACAAGTCTGCGATTTGGCAAGTGTTTGGATTGGTATGAGTACAAAGAAAACGCGACCGTGCCTGTATCTTGCCATCATCAGCCTGGACTTATGCGCAGAAGAAGGCGTTCACGGCATTCATATTAATATTGACATTTAGTTGTTTGTCTTGTACAATCTCGTCGTGTGTCGCATTTGCGTCCATTTACATTTATTATTACCAAAATCATCCAAAGTCTCAGAACCCAAGGAACACCGCAGGTCCCAGACAAGAGGAAACTATTAAAGTTCATAGGGCACTGTTTGAATCCTTTGAGGCTATATGATGCGTAAACACGTAGCTGTCGTTGGAGCGGGAATCAGGTAGTCATGAAAATCCACACAGACCTTGTTCAAGTGACTATCAATCGCTCATCGATAGCTGATTTCTAGTGGGCTTACGGCTGCAGAGCAGTTACGAGCCAAGCAATGCATGTGAGTGGACTGCTCCTGATCAGCAAGAGCAACATCAAAGTAGTATTTTGACGTGAGCATTCTCCTAGTGTGACAGTTATAGAGAAATCCAAGGGACCTGGTGGACGATGTGCTACTAGGAGAATTAATTCTCAACTTTTTGATACGGTATAAACTGTCTGTGACTTAATTGATCGTGCCTTTTTTAAGAGTTTGACATCGCCAGGGGGTCCAATGTCTAGAAGTCTCAGGAGTAACCACACTGCCCATATCGAAATGGAAGGCATCTAATAATATTCACCCATGGACGACGATGGAGTTTCCTGTACTTCACGCTAATGGTGAATTGTACAGATCGAAGGAGGATGCCCCAATACGATATGGCTTTACTAAATCTGCCAATAGCTCGTTATCGAAACGACTTGCCTACCAGTGTAAAGTAGCAGGCGTGGACTTTCAGTATTGTACGGAAGTAACTAGAATCGACTCTGATGGAAAGCAGTTCACGATCACTGCTCAATGTACAGACACTGGAATCAAAAGTCTCAACGTTGATGCTGTGGTTCTGACTGCTCCGGTACCCCAATCTATTAATATGCTGCAACGAGGCAAACAGGCTAGAATACCACAAGTGCGTAGTCAACAACACTTATTGAACGTGTGTGAATGACTCACATCACATTTCTTCACTTTTCAACTAGACAATACTGAATCGATTAAGCCTATACCAGTATACACCGTGTCTATGCTTATTACTTTATTATAACAAGCGCCTACAGCAACAGTATCCATTTCCGGAACCAGGACGAGTGAAAGTTGCTGCTTCACCAATAGAATGGATATCACAGCAAAGTGCCGCTCATCCCTCTCAAAAGGAAGATTCAGAAGGCCTGGTCATACACGCAAACGCAACGTGGAGCACAGAGAACTATCATTTAGATGACGCTGAAGTCAAAGACTCGTTGTGGGCAGACACTCGAGCGATATTAAGCAAATTGGGATTACACGATCAATGGTTGAAACCCGATGAGATGGTTCTCAAGAGGTGGAGATATTCCTTCCCAAAGGCCGAGGTTGAGGGTGGTAATGTAATGATGAATGTTGGTGCAGATGGGTTGTTGCCTTTGATCTTCGCTGGTGATGCGTTCGCATCCGGAAGTGTTGAGGGAGCATATAATAGTGGAATGGAAGCTGCTGCCTTACTTTCATCGCATTCATCAATGTTATAAAATTAATGAGCTAGAATATGAGGCCATTGCTGTAGAATAGGAAAGAAGGCTGATCGTGAAATTAGGCGTCATTAGTTTCATTCTGAAAAGAGAGCAATTCAAATGGGTTTGGACGCGAGGTAATTTGCGCTGCTGTAACTCAATAGCACAGTGTGTGGTTGATAACTCAAGCTTAGGCAATCGGTCACAAGAAACAAAGAAGTTGTAAGGCTTGAAGACGGGAAATTAATCATGGCAGTTATATCAAAAGTCACGTCTGCTTCAGTTACACCGTATGTATTTGTTCAGCTCAAATTTCGAGTTTTGGTTTTTTGCGTCTTTAAACCTATTTCAAGACTATGCAGAGAGATCGTCTAAGCTTAAAATCTAATTTGATTGTATAGGAGAAGGAAGATCACGATCTTGGAAACTCTCCATCTAGTCTGGGCTGTCGGTGAGCATCAAATGAAATCAAACTGGCTAGAGTTACAAGAATAACCGGACTCGCGAAGAGCGACGAGGCTGCTAAGATGATTCAATATTAAATTTCAGCCGCTAAATTATCGCTCAATTAGGTCTTCTTGCTATATATCAACCAATTCGGGTACGCACGACCAACACTGTTACACTTGTCCAAGCTCCAAATCTTGAATGCTCGACTTGACGCTCTCAAAACTTAGATCCTGCTGTCTCGAACGCCTCTTTTCAAAACTCTGGCAGGAAGACTGTTCAACTTGAAACAGCACTTATCATGGCACACAACAAGATTTCTGGTTGCAAGTCTCAACATTTTCCAGGTCTCAACTGTGATGCAGGACGCCCAGCTCATTGCTGCAAGCTACAGTGGAGGATTCGCCAAGTATAAACCATTCTTTGAAAAGAAGGTGATCGCTGGTGTGACTTGTCTTTCAATTGGACTTGACAAGGCCACAGAGAAACCAACGGATGATGTCACAATTGGTGTGTAAATCCGTCGTTGTGGACACTGCGCAACTTTTTCTAACACTTCATCTTGGAAAATACCAGTCTATGCTCATGGAGGAGGTACTATGTATTTACCTTGACTCAGTTTTTGGATCCAGACTGACTTGTTTGACCGTAGGATTTGTGGTTCAAAGCAGCGCCAATTACATCAATCTATTGCTAACTGTCTGTGAAGTGCTTCGAGACGACCACAAGATCAAAGCTAGGGTTGTTGCCGTGGATTATTCCTTATCTCCTGAAGTTCAGGTATTCCATAAATGCCATGTTCCATTTATTTGTCGCTGTTATTCACACTATACTCATCCATACCCCAGTTCCCGGTCCCTATCGAGCAGACAACCGCAGTTGTCCAATCTTTGGTGGAAGATTCTGGCATTCCAGCACACAAGATTCACATTGCCGGAGATTCTGCAGGTGGAAATTTGGGCATATCCGTCTGCCTGGCATTGAAGAAGGCTGGATTGCCCGTTCCGGGATCTCTGGGAGCCTTATGCCCTTGGTAAGTCCCAAATCGAATTTTGAACATTCGCCTGTGTCGTATATCCATCTGAATGGATTTATGTTTGTAGGGTTGACCCATTGATTGCCGATGGCATTGTAAGAAGGTCATACCATGACAATGAGCCATTGGATATCATCACTTTACCATTGCTACGTAGCTGGGGTTCTTATTACTTGCCCAAAGGTATGCAGACATGGTTATCTCATAAATCCAGCCAAATTTTAGCATGACTTAGCATCCCCTAGGCACTGATCCACGTTTGATCGCACCGCTCTATTCCACCGACCTTGGCAGTCTTCCTCCAACCTTCGTCGTGGTATGAACACATTTCTTTTTTTCCCACCCCTTTTTTCTTTCCTTACTCCCCTTTGTTCGGTCTAGGCTGCAGAACGTGAGGTCCTTCACGATGACATTATGGAGTTCGTTAAGCGAGCCACCAATCAAGGACTAAAACCGACTGTCAAAATTGGAAAGAACATGCCACACATTTACTTCGCTTTCATTGGTCAAGGGACGTGCGATGTTGAAGGTAAGCTTGTGTTAAAGTGACTTATTTGTATATGAAGGCAGTTCTTAATCCTTTTTTGCCTTTGCACTACAGCCCTGGACACCATAAAAGCTTGGGCTAGTTTCATTGCGAAGCACCGCTAATCCAAATGTCACATTTAAGCCGTTTTTGAATTTGGAATGCTGTCTGAATACGTATAAAAGACTGAATGTATTGTTTTCGTGTAAGAGAAATATATGTTGTGCGAGTTTTGCTATGTCTAAATTACTACTACGTTGAGGGCAAAAACACTTCAGCGACCTACACATGAAATTTCGTTAATTACTTTATAAGTTTTGAGCCAAGAAAATACCACAAATTCGATCGACAGAATTAAAAGCACTCACCTTTTCAAGGAACTCTAAAAGAGTCTGCCTAACTTCTGCCCTATCTACAACCATAACACGAATTGATAGCCTAAAGAATCTAGGCAAGTGTCGTCGTAATGCCAGGCATCGTATTGGTCCATCCAGTTGTGAATTACTACCACTGGACGAAGGCGTCCACCAACTCTCCATGGCCAGCAACTCTTTCAATACCATCACCACTACAGGACTCCATAGATTTATATCCCGAGCATTTCGTGGTTGATCACTTAAAAAGCTTACAAAGCGCTCAAGCACATCACATGATTCAGACGCAATTTGTTCCGCTATATCATCACTTCCTGTTAGTGGGTCAATGATATCACCACGTGCTCGATATACAGCAAACATGAGTTTTATAAATGTAGATATGGCAACCGTTTCCTGCTTTACCAGATTCGGCATTTGTTGCACTAGACCACGACGCCATATAGCATGTCGTAACTCGTAATCAGCATTAAAGGCACGAGCTAGACAATACGATCCATGTACACAAGCCAGCCATCGTTCTTGGAAGGGAGACGGTATTAAAGTTATGACGGCAGACATTTTTACATTCGGTGATGCTGACATTGGTGGTCCACTAGTTATGTTCAACCCACCATCAGCAGGAGTAGATTGGATCGTATCGGGCATCTTTGATAGACACAAGTCTCGTACACCTTGAATCAATTCTAGATGGGTACCACATTTGACGATGGTATGCTCAAAATCCAATTTCTCAAGTCGTAATGGCGGTGCGTTACCGGAAGCTGCCTTAGCAACTCGATTTCCTTCAGCTATAGCAGCAGCATGAATCATCTGAGCTGGACTACCCTCTGATTGTCCTATAGCTTGCATTGATGCAGTAGCTAGCGACGGAGTCGATCCTCCTATAGCATTGCTCAACATACGAGGCGATGCGGCACCATTAGCACCAATTCTGCTATCTCCTAGATTAGGTGAAGACGGAGCATCGTCCTCAGCGGCCGGGCGAGCAGGACTATTTGGTATCGGGTTTCCGTCATTATTTACAACCGATGTCTTACGAGAGCTGACATGTTCACAATTTAATAGCTCGTGTGGTGTAGTAACTCTAAAGGCTTTCTCCAAAGCATCTGTCATAGGACCCCATAGATCAGCCTTGGCAAGACGTGCTATATTATTCGTCAAGAGCTGCTGGAAGCATATTTGACCAGTAGTAGCAAGCTTTTCATCTCTACGTTCAAGCATAGACACTGTCAAGTCCAATACACCTTGGAATAGACCTTCAAATTTATCAAGCATAGCAGCATGATCTGATTGAAGAGTAAACTTTTCAAAGCTAACAGTCACCAAGTCCACTAGCTGCCTTAACGTCTGAATCCATACAGCTTGAAGCCCTTCCTTCTGAGATCCTAAACTTGCTTTACGACCAGACAGGGAAGTGGGATCTCTCAAATCCTCAAATATCGGTAATACTACGGACCTATATACATTCTTCCAATATTTGCCTTCGAATCGATGACCAGCAACTTTCAGTACATCGAATAAAGCATCAAGTGCTCTGCCTCGAACAGCAGATGAATCTGAATCAATAACTACTCGTGACAAGGCAGACAAGATGGGAAACCATTTCAAGAAGAATTGCTCTTCTGAAACAAATCCTAATGCTGCTGGTACTGATTTGGCCGTATCAGCAGAAGACGCCCTTCCATTCTCTCGTTTCGGAGACATGTTAGCAACCGTGCTTTCGTCTGAAGATATTCGAGGTGGACTATCAACTGGCGATTCTAATGGTTTGGGCATCTTGATAAACTGCTCTTTATCCGATTCATCCCACTTGGCCAAATGTTTGGCACAATATTGGAGCAATTGAATTGATCCCATCACCATTTCTTCATGGTCTCGCCCTTGCCCATCTAGTAGGGCAAACTCGGCGAGACAATGCACAAAGTCAACAAAGCTTCCAGCATTTGTGACAACGTCAAAGTACTCCCTAAAGACCAGATGTACTATCGAGAAGGCTTGTTTGGCTAGTCTTCCTTCAGAGTCTCGTTGAGCACCTTTAGCTAATACGACAAAGATGGATTTCCACCCGGACCTATAAATGAAGAATTCATTACTGACCGATTTATCTCATCGAAAGTGAGCAGAGAACCTCACCTTATAGACTTGGCTCTGGCTGTGATCATTTGACTCATACTGCCCAATATAAGCTCTCGTATCCTTTCATCCGAGTTGTGTTTGATGATCCATTCAAAGCTTCGTAAGAATTCACTTTGAGCTGCATAATGACCTAACTCTTCACGTTCCAAAAACTTCATACTCAATTGCCTGAGTGAGTCAATAGCAAATGTTGCGACATGGAGCTCTTGATGACATGCAGCAGCAGAGAAATGCGGCTGCAGTATTCTCCATATTTGAGTCCACTCATATCGAATTCGTGGCATATTATAGTATGCTAATGGTATCAAAGCGTGAGTTTCCATTTCTTTTTCCAATTGGACAAAGATACGAATGAACTAACCTATCTCGACAATTTTGGAAAGAAGGTACATTCTCGGTGTTTCACCCTTCACACTTGCTGTTCCAGCAGCATTGGCGGCTGCAGCTGCTGCAGCAGCACTCAAAACCGCAGGTGGAGCTACGGTCGATAGACTGGTATAAGTTGCTGGGCTACCAGCTATTGATGCAGATACACTGGGTGTGACCACGACAGTTGGTTCGATACCCATCTCTTCAGCAGATACTTGACACAATGCACGGAAAAAGTGGAAGATGGCACTAGCCGACAATGATACAGTGGAAGTAAATATACGATCAAGAGCTACTACGGTAGTCTGGGATTGTAAATCGGCTGATAGTTTCTCTAAAGCTGGAGATGGTTTGATCAAATCAAGGGCTTCTAAACTACCGTTACTGTTGCTGCCACCACTCTTAGATCCAAGTCGAGTAGTTCGAGCTTTGGATTCTTCGATATCTGCTAGCCGTTTCTGTTCACCACTTCGTTTATTCTCATTACTACGACGACCAAATGCGTTGAAACCAGATGATCCTAACTGTGAAGACTTGTTGACAATGACTTGTAGCCTTTCCAACAAGCTGACACATTTGAGCACTTGGACCCATGAAGTTTCCAAATATTCACCTAAACTATTTGCTAGAGCAATTAAGGTCTTGATGGCTCGAATGTTTTTAGGTTTGACGGTAGACGGAGATGTTAGGCCTGTGATTTTGGCCAAGGAGGTGACGAATGCATCGCGCTCAGTCTCTATACGGAAGATACCAGCTACACGTATCGAGCATGCCATTCCCTGTATACACAAGTCTGTGACTCGTGGCTCCTTGCTCGAGTCCAAACCAGCAGACTCTTCACTCTCGTCTTCGTCCATGACAGATTCAAAAAGACGACTAAATACAGCCATGACGGGCCATGACGCTACTCCAAACATGGTTCTAGCTAAATCTGGGGAAGCCGCGGGTCTGAATGGTGAAATGTTCTTCTTTTCACCGGCCACAGCTAGTCCTACAGCGGTCTTTTTGGTAACCATGCTAATCTCCTTTCTATACATTTCTACACGTTGACGTTCATTCAATTCACCCATTCCCCATCCTTGTGCTAAACGAGCAATCTTGTCGGCTTGCTCTTCTTCCATCACAATTTCATTCTTGGATATCTCGTCAAAGATATCGGCCAAGAACTCTTCTGGTAGATCTGCATTATCATTTATACCACGATTGGATTTTATAAAAGCAGGTTTATCCATACGATGTTTTATTTGTGACGAGTGCTGATCGGTATTCAGCATGATGGTGGAGAAGGCAAGGATGTAAGCAGTATCGGCTTTAGCGAATATATCGGGATTGGTTTCACAATATCGGTCTGCAAACTTCTCCATAATTCTATCAATCTTTTGAGATTCGCCTGGTAGACGGAATGTTTGCAGAAATGATCGAAGGGCATTTACAAATGGTTGTCCAGCAAAGTTTAGCGAGTCAATAAAGGAGTGCATCACCTTAATATTAAATGCATCACCTTCTCCTAGATAGTCACCCATAGCTGATTTTGATAGGGTATTGTTTTCTCTTAAAAACATGGCAATTGCAACAGGTTCGTTTTGCACAAACCCATTCTCGATCATTGCTGCCATACCCTTGACTGGCTTGGTATTAAAGAGCGTGACGCATTGTTTCAACAGTAGCTTTCTGGAAGCCATTTCTTCTACTAGAGAGGCACCATCTTCCTGCGTACCATTGTCAGACCTCAACGATCCAGTTGATGAGTTGACAAAATTATACGGCATATTACTCATAGATACAGAATGCAATGGATGTTTATAAACGACTACTGGATTGGATTGTGACGTCGGTGCCAGAGCATCTCGAAGAGATTTCGTAGCGATTTCGGTTGACAGCGAGCCGGCGGAGGATTTAGCAGCTTCCATAGATCGAGGCTCTCCAGCCAACGTCGTAGTGGTAGAAGCTATTGGGACAGCTTCCGATTCTCGTAAACTCCTGCTGGTACTGTCTCTTGGTCGTGCTGGTGATCCAGCTCGTTTGGCGGGAGCACGGATTTTCCCACCTGGCAATACTATGGGCACACCTGGAGCTAAATCGATCGTCCATTCCACTAACGAGTTCATAATTGCTACAAGACAGCATAATCCTCGAAGTTTCAACCTTTTTTCTTGTGCCTTGACCAAGTCGGATTTCGAGTCCAGGCCAGCTGCAGAGGCTGCCAAACTCATTATACCAGTTGGCGCTGGCGCTGCTGGTGTTTCTCGACCTTGAGCGGCTCGAGAACATACTGCTACAATCTTTTCAAATATAGAAACCATAGCCAAGTCACAGTCATAATTTAAATACAAGTCTACCAAGGTCTGCGGATTCTCTGATATCTTTAGTAGCCCTTGTAATACCATAGATTTCTGCTTGTAGCTGGAATTACCCATTTCTAAAATATGCAGAAAAACTGTGCTCAGTAGCACTTCAATCTCTAGCTTGATTTTGGCACGATACATTCGGACCAACATTAAAAATATAGATAATGATAATTCAAATAGCATGGGATTCGTAGCGATAGCATTACGGGAGATAGATAGACACAGGCTCTGACGGATGAGCGATACGTACAATTCGTCAGACTGTATTATCGGTCCAGAATTGTTCATGACTGACATGATCAATTCGAGGGCTAAAATTCTAGTCTTTGTTGTCAAGGGACTGATTTCGTCCTGGTGGTTGTTGTTGCTTGTCAATCCACCTTGTAACTTTGGAGCACCTTCATCCGAATGCATTGACAACCGACACAACAGCCTCAACACTACATATACATCTCTTTTCAATAGCTCATTATAAGAAGCTAAAAGATATGATTCAGACTGAGTTAGGGGATGTTGTCATGCCTTGCCCAAACTATTAATTTGCTTACCAACTGTAGCATTGTACGGACTGGTGCTGATCTTTGGCGTATGCGTGCCTGTACCCTCAGAATTATCTGTTGTAATGACCATAGATTCGGTAACAACACTAGCTCTGGTACTAGGTGTGCTGTGGGATTCTGTTGGCGGAGGCGAGACTGGGGTTTCTGTATTCGGTGCTATTGTCGTTGATTCGGGTGCCTGTTCTATATGCTGATGATTCCCATTGACAGGCGGTATGACTGCTGCATCGCCGTCATCACCTTTGGCAGTTGTGGAAGTTCTATGATCCACTGATGCTGGAGTATCTGACTCGGCCATCACGGACCCTTCTGTAGTAACAGCAGGTTCTGCTACGACAGCAGCACCTGTTATACCATTGGCCACCGGGACTTCGTTCGTCGATGGAGGGCTGACAGGAGTTTCTGCTAGATTATGTAAAACAATCTCTGCCCCAACAACACCAGACTCTACATTTTTAGCTAATACATCAGCGTATCGTTCCATTCTTGAAAAGATGAGATTAATCATCTGTGTCAAGGATGCTTTGGCAGTGACTTGATTGGTGGTATTTCGTGAATGTAAGTGGACGTTAAAGCATGTCTGTACTACTTTTATCAGAGATGTATCATGTACTTCACATGCTGTTGATGTGACGGCCGTCAAGAGCACCTTCAATATTTGTAGTTGAATGCCTTCATCTGTTGTCGGCCCTGTAAACGAAGCGCATACAGATTGTATGATTTCGTCAATAAGATATAAAGGTTGATCTAGTGAGCTGGATATGTGCCCACCACTAGGCGATGATGGGAGTGTGGCTTTCTTTGGTGACATGGGTGACGAAGCAGATACTGTTGGACTTGGAGGTACGGATGACGATGACGATTCTGTTGTTGCTGATACTACAGCGTCCAAGTCTGTACCAAACAATTTAGCGGACTTGAGACCTCCATCTAATGTTGCGGCTGTAGTCGATATTCTTGTGATGGGCAGAGAACCCCTCAACAAGTTGTGAGCAATCAGCTTTTGTATACCATCGAGAGCGATTTCACGGACTTTGGGAGGACATGATGGCTGACAACCCAATTTAAATGGTTGCCAATATGAATCAGCACTAGATAAAATAATGGTGTGTAAGTTACGTGCTCAAAAACACAAGATTGTCAAAATCATTGTCCTTGATTCGCTGTTTTCGAGTTTAACTGTGCTTCCTAGGATTTAATTTACATGTTTGGAGAGAATTCCTTTGATTGATTCTGATCTGTTTCGATCTTGAGCTGATCCAATGCAGCTCTCAATGAGTCTCGCAAATCCTTCTGATTCCTTTGTGATTCTGCCAACAATCTTTCCAATGACAGTCTTAGAATGGAAGGGTCGACCGTAGCCATTTGTTCCGGTACCACTAGGAGCGGGTCTTTTAAATATTATCTATAGGCAAAACACGTTTCAATCAATATGTCGAAACTGGTGAGATTTCAACATCCTGGTTTTGGGACTGTTTGCTCACGGGGCCGGAATTGACGAGGAGACCAGCTTAATAGGAGCTACAAGCTTACCTGATATCGAGACGCTGACTACTCGCTATAATATCCAAGTTGGAACATCTCTACTCAGTCGTGTTTCAGGGTTCTTATAAACGAATATGATTTGAGCGTAGGGAAGGGCAGTCGAATAAAGATTTTCAATACCATTTCCATTCTCTCCTGCTAAATTCAGAAGGTTGGCTGTGAAGCTTTATCGGCTTTGAGCATTGAAACGCGAAAAAGTCGCGAAATTACAACACGGGAAATACTGAGTCTTTCTTCTTTTGAGCTTTGACATTTCAAATAATCCATTCAATTGTTCAATTGATTAATTGATTCACTGATTCTTCATCAACATGAGCTACTTGTGATTTGAAAGCAAGTGGACGGCGATCCGGACAATCCATAAGGAGAACACTTCCGCCTCCTTATCACAGCATTCTGCACCGGGTGAGTATTCGCTCCACCTTTAAGCAAACTCCTTGCTTTAACCCTGTAGGTGTTCATTCATTCGGTAAATTCCTGCAAATCCAGTCTTGAGGCGGTGTTCCAAGTCAATGAGGATGCTATTTCAGGAACGTCCATCAACTTGAACGTCAACGTTAGCATCCGGTCATAGTAGAGCGGGGAATTGTGGTGCAGTCAAACCTCGTTACAGTGTAACGAGTGTTGCAACGTCACCGAAACCAACCACAGGTACCTTGGTGTGCTCAACAAGCGCGAATATCAACACAGCGGTCTCACTAGTCAATTCGTCCCATCTGGCTTCTTCCGATAGACCAATAGAGACTTAACATCCGAAATCACGCTTGAAACACAATGTTCGCCCAAAATGGTACATTGTCCATAATTCCACGCTCGACTGGCTCTCAAATGATTTTTCTGGTGCCTACGACCTATCACACCATTGGCGGTTAGCTCTTGAAATCGCAAACTCGACAATCTGTACATTGAAGATGTGAATGTTGAATGTTGCGGCATACCAACAGCATGCAAACTACAATACAGGCAAGCGATGGATTTATTAGTCCATACCAGCATGAGTGAAGATTTAGCAGCCAGTCCACAGTTGTTGCGCAAATTTAAACTTTGCAGCATTTTAACTTGTCCAATCAGTCCCAAATTTCAGAACCCAGGAATAGCGGTGGTTACTTACTTGTCGACAAGCCTCATGAGCACGTAGCGGAAATATTACTTGCATTAACGAGAAGACGTTGTGGACGTCCTCCTGGTTTGTAAAGCAACGTATTAGCTATGGTACAATACTTACAACTGCCGCATAAGCTTTTCGAACTCAGACTGGGAATTCACATATGCTAATCAGAACACTCTTTTATTAACAGCGACAAAGCAGTGTATGGCCGGCCATTGGATCTGCTGCCCTTGCCCTTATACTTTTTATGATGATTCTGCAGTTGGGCAATTCGACCACCAAAATTCTGATGCCCACTGCCACAAAGATTTCTGTAGTGCCAGAAGGTTAGACAACTGTGGAAAATTCATCTAGAACGCTCTTATTTGCCCACCACACCCAAAAACGTTACATTTGCTTACCCATACCACTTTCCCAACCAAATAGCGCTGGATGACCTTGATGACATCGTAAATCACCACGTCAACAAAACAAACATCGTGGGCGGAATATCTAAAGCACAATGGAGTGCCATCAACAGTTACGGGCGCAAGCTGGTCCTAGACGCAGCATCGACTTTATCTCGGGAGGACGCAGCAACAATGAAACTTGAAGACATATATGGTTTATTTACGGAATCGTACGATTGTGATAATAATTTGTACAGTCGGTGAGTGTCGACGCATGGTTCTGCTGTTTGTGCCTTTCATGTGCTGAACTTTTTTTTAACTTAGCCTTGGAGGCGAATCTGGAGACGGTGGTAAATGGATTTGCGGAGAGTATTTCAAAAACTCGTCCGACACAGTGGTGGTTTCTGTCGGTAGCAGCGGGAATTTCAAATTTGAGGATGCAGTGATAGCGCACTCTCCGGACATTAAGGTAAACGCTCCAGATATTAAGCCCCCAACGATGCATATAACTCAAAATTAATGTAGATACATACGTTTGACTGTACAGGAAACTGGTCCCATCCTCCAGTAGTATTCGAGCCGTGGTGTTTGAGTGGTGAAGACAAGGTTATGGGCGATGGAAAAATATACAAATTGTGGCCATCATTGCTTAGAGATGCCGGCATCCCAAAAGTCGACTTACTAAAAATTGACATTGAGGTACAGGATCCATGCTGTTTTTCGTGCTCGTAGTGCTAAGAGCATCATTGCATTTCTTTAGGGATACGAATGGGCCACCATTCCACATTTACTACGAAACTCGACATACGAGCAATTACCCCGCCAAATATCCATAGAGTTGCACCTATGGAAGAAATTTTTGGACGGAAGTACTGTTGGTGTACCTGCTGATTACCTAGCATTCAACTTAGACCAGTCCTACAGCGCGATTGCATTTGACTATCTGCATCCGACAATCTCATTATTCCAAGATTTCTTTGCTGCCGGATACGAAATAGCGGCAGCAGAAATGAACCCCGAAAGTGCACCGGCAGCGTGCTGCTCTGAATATACATTTGTACTATTACCAAAATCCAAATAATAGATCACAATAATTTGCATATTCCGAATGGGCGTAGTCTCAAATTGAACAAAGACTTGAATCAAGAAACAATATCTATAACAGAGCCTTCCTTCTTGAAGCCTTATATCTTTGATGCCATCTGCTTCTTCTTAGCCATCTCAGCAATCTGGTTTGCAAAAGTCGAAGAAGAATTTGATGGTGGTCGATTCATCAGCATAAGCTATATTAAATCCAAGTTAGCATCAACCCGAATCCTTCAACAAAACCCAATCTTACCGTCTCACTAACCACAGCATTCTGCACCCGATACCGATACTCTCCACCCCTCAGCAGCCTCTTCGCCTCAAGCATCGACCTCACATTCTGAGTTCTCATGCCATCAATCATTTCCTTCAACTTGGCATCAAATTCTTTGTCTGGCCATACACGCTGAATTGCTTTTGGACTTAGTTCAGTAGCAGTTGCTTTACGTGCAGTGTATAGTAAATCTTCGGCAAACCCAGCGTGGAGACGTGTGGCCCATGTGAAGGAGGATGCTGCTTCGGGGATGAGACCGAATTTGATCATTGGCATGTAAACGTATGCGGACTGTGATGCGACTATTATGTCTGCGCCTGCAATCCAACCAGCTATGTAGAAAGTTGGTTAGATTTTGAAAGTAGATGATAGATAATTGAGCGAGTGATGTATCGTTACCTGGCCTAAAGAGTGAAAATAATACTATTAGATACCGATATTTGTGACTTCAAGACCACAGCACAATTCCGACCAAGAAAATAAAACTTACCAGCCAACGACAGCTCCGTTCAACGCAACAATCGTAACCTTCGAATGTTCAGCCAATGCGATAACGGTATTAATCCCCCTCGCAGAAATATCCCGCCATCTCTCCTCTTTAGCATCATTTGGATCTGGTGGTGATGGTCTGGACCCAGCATCTTTCAAGTCAATGCCGGAACTAAAAAGTTTTCCAGTGCCTGTTATAACTGTAATTGACTGAAACGAAAAATCGTGGAATGTCAGTATTTAATCTGAGTGAAAGCAACACGAAAACACCGGCAATTTACCACGTCATTCAGGGTATCAATCCAATGCAATGCCTTTCCTATTTCCTTGTACGTGTTTAGCAAGAAGCTGTTCAAACTTTTTGGTCGATTTATTCGGATTGTTGCTACTAGTCCGTCGATTGTTATGACAAGGTCTTCAAAGGACGGTGCGGATGAGGCCATCTTGGACGATATCAAGGTATAGTAAGCGCTTGGTCGATGCTTCTCTATTTGATTTCTTGGGATGCCTCGAATTGCGTCCAAAGGTATGACAAGAAAACCATTACATAAAGGATACGAACGCCTTCACAATCTTGCTAACGAATTATCTTCTGATTTATTGCTTTATAGACAGAGATTGGCAGGATTCTATTAGAAAGTTTCTGTAAATTATTGTCCTTCAACCCCACGCAAACAAACTGCACAACTGCACCCCAAAAAGCCATGAATCGTTTTGCCAATCCTGGGACGCTTCATATGCAAGATCCTTTCCATCTGTATGACGGACATCGTTTCCAATTCTCGTCGCGATTTGTGATGACTCTACATACACGTCGAATTTTGCTGTAAACACATCAAAAAACTGTCGACGCCTCAAATCCCAATTTTGGCCAAACACCAATCAAATTCACACACAAATACACTCACGCCTGATAACCCTTCTGTGAACATCAGCACCAATTGTAGCTGCGTTTCCTAACCCACCATAGAATGGGAATGCGACTGGAGCTAAAAAGTGTGTTGAGGGACTTGCTCCTCCTTTTTTGGCTCCTTCTTGAGCAACACCATGAAGTATCTCTTGACAAAGACTTGGGGTTTAGACGTTCGAGATTTCTTTCCGAGTCCCCAGTCATGGCGAATGATTCGAAATGACTATGGTGTTGAGTTGACGAATGGAGTGATGCATGGGTTCAGCTTTCTTTGGATGGGAGCTGGCTGAACTTGGTGATACCGCCTTGTGATATCAGTTCCCTGGCGACCGAAAACCCTTCAACAAAAATGAGATGTCTCTGTGGTTTAGGTGGTTTATAACTTCAGTCTCATATGTTACTATGATATCTGAATGTCGAGAGTTCGACTCTCTCCAGGGACATATTTAACTGTCTCTATCACGAAGCAACGACTAAAACACTTTTTGGCCTATCAAGAAAATGTAACTGGTACCAGAAAACAATCCCAAATTCTGACACAAACTTGCTCATGGATTTGCCAAAATAATAACAGAAGTGTTCATTGATTCAAATACCATTGTCAACAGCAAATCCAAAAAAGTGTATTCAAACGATTTTGAGAAGGTCGGTAGCAGAAAGACGATTTTTACAATTTTGCAGTCTTCTTTGAAGCGATTTCAGCAGCCCGTTGAGCAAAAGCAGTGTTTGAAGCTCCAGCTGGCCTATTCACCATGTACAACTATGTGGTTTGTGGGTGTGAGTGATTTAGCAAGATAAGAAAAACTCTACCACACATGAACATGTCTGCCAAATCAGACCACTACCACCACGAAACCAAACACAAAATAGGACTAATTCCAAAAAGGACCAATCCCACTTACAGTCTCAAGCATAACACTATTCCGATATGCAATCCTACTAGGATCCTTCATCAATTTCTTAGCCTCCAGCATAGACCTCGCATTACCAGTCTTCATATCATCAATCATCTCCTTTAGTTTAGCATCGAATTCAGCGTCTGGCCAAACTCGTTGGATTCCCTTCAAACCAAGTTCCTTGACAGTCATACGCTTGTTTGTGTAGAGGAAGTCAGCTGCAAACCCTTCGTTTGCTCGGGCAGTCCATGTGTGGGTGACGCCGGTTTCAGCGGAGAGCCCGAGTTTCATGAATGGGAGATAGAGCTGGGTTTGAGTGTGAGAGGCTTGTTACAGCCAAAACCAAACGGTACGTTTAAGAAGGATAACGCACATATGCCTTGTCACTAGCCACAATGATATCAGCACCTCCAATCCAAGCACCTGGATAACCTAATTACAGAGTGTGAGCCTTTTGGGTTTTGGGGTCAGTCAATAATCAAATCTTCGATACCTATTGCACCACCATTCAAAGCAACAACAGTAACCTTGGTATGCTCAATTAGCGCGAATATCAATGCGACGCCACCACCAGTCAATTCCTTCCATCTAGCCTCTGTTGAACAAAAAAAACCAGAGCAATTCAACATACAATCCACGATTCTCTAAAATTGATTTAGGGCGATCGCACCTGGCGACGGTACTTGACCATACCTTTATGTTCAACTGGATCTGCGATGATTTTTCTGGCAGCTGCAGCCTATTACCACATTGGTGATTAGCTCTCGAAATCGTGAAACGTGAAATCACATATGTAGACGATGAATGTTTCTGAAAGATACAATTCCAGCCGACAATCGAACTCACCGCAAGATCCATACCAGAAGAAAAGAATTTACCAGTTCCAGTTATAACTGTAATAGTGATTTCAGGAATGGAGTTAATGACGTTCAGAGCTTTCGCGAGCTCTCCATAAGTTTCAAGCCTAAAAGAGTTGAGACTCTTGGGCCTATTGAGTCTGATGGTGGCCACAACGCCATCAATAGTCACTACCAAGTCCTCGAATGCTGGGATGTTGACCATGCTTGCTAAGTGTAAAAGCTTAAAACCAAACGGTGGTACAATTCGTATATGTGTATTATGCCCTGATTTTACATTTGCTAATAGTAAGAGGTATGCCCAATAATATAATATGCAACTTGATAATAATAGGTTCTCAGTTTTCATCCAATGTAGTAATGTTATCTTTACGTTTTTTCAGAGGGATGATTTCGTCAAAGTCTCCAAATAACAGACGTTGAGGGTACTGAGCCAATGTAGATGGTTGACTATCATTATTTCCTAATTTTATAATCCACGTTTCATCGTATCTCTTGCCTGGCCATTTTTCTGGTACCTATGGGTTGACTGTGTGAGAATTGAATCCAAATGAGAGCCGTGCCTCATGGTCTTGGGCTTTATGCATCGCAACATACACAACATACCTTTGAAGCGGGAACACCCAACATCCTAGCCATTTCAGGTAATTGTTGATGAGCCCAGCAGACAATGATTTGGCTTGCGGGTTGGGATTTCATGAATGCGACAGCTTCAGTTAACTGACGTTTGGTGTATTTAGTCAATGGAATGTTCTTCGAGTTTGCGAATGGAGCTACTGTTTCAGCCTATGATATGAGTGTGGTGAGTGAGTGATCCTATCGCGAGGTGTTTGTACTTGGTTGTTTGGTTGAGGTTGACACTTACAGGTCTATGGAGATGCAAAGGGCAATGAGTATACAATCAGATGCAATGCAAACGTTCAAACGTAAGAATGCAATGTGATGCATACCGTTCGCTTTGACCAAAAGGATCAGGGCCAGAATCTACAGCTTGTGCAATAATGTGTGTGATGCCGTTGCCGATAGCATCTATGATTTCCTGACGATGGTTGAAGTAGGCTACGAGAGCTTGAGCACGTTCGTAGCCTTTGGTAGACAAGTGGTGGTCATCCTGATAGGTTGCGATAGATAATTCAGATGGATTCTGGCCACGATCCCAGTGATGTTTTTCAGCGTGGCGAATGAGGATGATTGTAGCGTTGGATGACATGTTTGCAGCAGAGTATATGTATCCGAAGTGCCCTGTACTGATTGCAGCAGTGTCGAGAGTTTGTTCGTTGTGGTGCGAATCTTGAATGTTGAAGTGTGCGAGCTTCTTGAATGATGTGGGAGGAATAGTAATGTAAGCTTGGAGATGAATATTGAATATATTTGACACGTGCAAAACGACGTGATCTTGATCCTTGAAGCGAACTAGTGTGTACCTGACAGATGGTGACTGGAGCAAACATTATCCCAAAGCTCAAGCTTAACGACAACAACCAGTAGGAAAGAGAGGGAATTCTGACCATGGCCGGTAAGCAGGCGAGTGTCTATGTGCTGGATGTCAGACCCAATATGTACAAAGCTCGACCAACCGGCGAGTCGTACATCAACATGGCAACAATGTGCCTCACGGAAATGTTATTCACAAAGGTATGTACTGTGTATTATGTTGAACTACGTTGTACTGTATGATTATATCGTGTCTTGAGTATGATGTTGCTATAACTTTTTGCTTCATTCAAGCACTGCCAACACTCAACATTTCACACATACCACACTATAGCTCAGCAATGGTCGCAAGACGGATAGTGTGGCTCTCGTCCTTGTCGGAACTAAAGGTATCCATCTTGATGCAGCTTGATTCATTTTGATCTTGTGAGCTGCAAGCTCTTGTATGTTACTGCCACCTAAGCTCACACTATCAAATATCAATCCATAGAAACGGTACCAGCTTCATGTCATCCATTCAACTCTCAAACAATTATTGAGACGCTTTTAATCTCCATAGGATCACCATATCGCCGTCGACACACAAGACTTTTACAAAAATATCACCGAAAAGGGACCTATGGGTCCAACTACTTTGTCTCTACTCAAATTCGTAGATGCTCTTCCTACCTCTGATCAATACCAATATGATGCTGATCGTAAGTGCTGCTAGTTCGTCACAATTTCTTGCACCTGTCTTGAGTTGGCCTCAAAACCTTCCTCCGGTTTGAAACCCAAACCGACCTCTCAACTCTGCTTTTTAACTCCAATTTATCATCCTCCATAGTCTTTGAAGGAATCATCGTCGCATTGGACGTGATGACCTTGTTTGCAAGGACCCCTGCATTCAAACGAAACTTGTATGTTTTCACTGATGCATCTTCTCCTCTCGACATGGGTGATTCCGCTGACGTCCGAAATCTACTCTTGGACAATAAAGTCAATTTTATGCTTATGTAAGTGAATCGTAAAGTCAGAGGGTGTGTTTGTGTGTTGTAAGTGATAGGTATCGTGAATGGATTATTATGCCATCCGTTTTTTGCGAATATTTGCAAAGCGCATATAATTCTGTTAATCAACACACGCTGCCTCTTTTAGTGGTTATGACTTTCATGATCCAGCAACAAAGTTGGAAAATCCTGAACAACAACTTCCTCCTGGCAAGGTAAAAACAAATTTGTCAACTCTCAAATTACTTTATTGACTCTCAAATCACTTTACTTAACGTCCTATTTTATTTCTACATTTACACAGGAATTCAATGAGCGTCTACTTCTGGACTTCAACGGCACATTGATACGCGACGACCAAGTATACTCTGAATACTATAGCGGCGACGAAGCATTAGCAGTAGCCGCAGAAATGCGTACAAAGGAAGTGACTCCTACAACCTTATTCCGTGGTCCACTGCAATTTGGTGACTCGATAAAATATCCTGAAGAATCCATGGGAATGTCTGTCTGGATTTATGCCAAAACCATGACAGGCAAAGCACTATCTGCAAAGAAATATGCAGATGATCCTGCAAATCCAGAAGGACGTACAGACGTCAACATGAAACGTACCTATGAAGACGCTTCGGCTGGTGCTGGATTGGTTGGTGGTGATGATGATGATGATATGAATATGGAAGGACCATCAACTTCATCTGCAAATGGTCATGCAGCAACACCAGCAGGACGTGCAGTAATAGATGGAACTGAAAAGGCTGATTTGGTCAAGGCTTACGTTTTTGGTAAAACTATTGTACCCATTGACGCTGATGAATTGGCTATATCGAAGGCTGTTGAAGAAAAGAGTTTTGCTATCATCAGTTTCATCAAAATGGCAAAGGTAGAGACTGTTGGCCCTCTCATTATGTGAAAGTCGTGATTGTTTGATTTTGTTTTGAATTATTTTGGGTCCCTTGGGCAAAAATTCATCTGACTTGTATCATCTTCCTTAGTTACGTCCTGAGCTCTTTATCGGAAATGATCATATGGTCGTTCCAGAACCCAACAACAAACCGGCTCGTAAAGGTTTGCATGCATTGGCCACGTCAATGAAAGCAACCGAGATGTTTGCATTGACTCGATTGGTCAAGAGGAAGACCGCTAGACCACTTCTTGGCGCTCTCATTCCCAAAATTAGTGAGAAGAAAGTTTACTTTCATTGGATTCAGGTACGTTTCTATTGTTGTAGTGGTTCTAAGTGTCGAAGATGTGTAGTTGTTGAGGTATCCTACTGTAATAACAGAGATTGATATCGACTATTGTTTTGTTCGCACTTTCTCACGCAAAACTGACATAACTCATTTTTTTGTTGACAACAACGTAGCTACCATATGCCGAAGATGTCCGTATCTTCAATTTTCCTCCTCTTCAACAATTGACTGAAGACAATCCATACCTGTCCTCTCAAAAAGCTGCAGCCGCAGACGCATCAGTAGCCTCCTCATCATCAGCAGCCACAAAAAAACCAAATCCATTGGATCGTCGTGAACTCCCTGCACAAGAAGTCCATGATCGATTTGATGACTTTATACAAGCCATGGACTTGACTAATGCTTTCCCTGATGCAACAGAGTATGTAAACGTGTTCTCTGTGGTACTCTTCAGATATTACAGGAACTCACATCACATTTTTTGGCTGTGGTGAATGGCGAGTTGTTTTTTAACACTTACATTTTTAGTGTGAAAAAGAGGGTAGCATACAAACCACGAGATGTCTTCAACCCGGAGTTTCAACGTAAATTTGCAGAGTTGAAGTTTCGCGCGTAAGATTAATCGTACAAACCCACACTATGATCAAAAGTAATCCACTTCTAACATTGTCATGATTTCAACAAAGGATGAATCCTGGTGCACCCTTGCCAGAGACTGATAAGAGTATCTTGGCTGCTATCTCGACAATCCCAGCCGTCATTGATAGGTCTAGGAGTGCTGCTAGTCGTGTCAAGGAATGTTTCAGTCTTGAAAAGGGTATGTGAAGAATTTGCTCTGCTTTTTTTCCTCGTCTTATGATTGTGAACTAATGCAACACTTCTTTTAGCGCCAGAAAAGAAGAATAAACGAAAACGAGATATCTTGGCTACTGAATTACCACCAACACATGGCGCTTCTACTACTGATACTGGTAGTCCAGGAGCAAACATCCGTGTTGGTGAACAAAACAAGAGGCCTAAAGTGGAAATCGATGCAGATGGTGAAATGGTTGTGGGAGAACGTGTCAGTAGTAAAGTTACCATACGTCATGAACATGCGGTTGAAGATTTCAACGCTGTCATGCGTCGTCGTGTCAACCCAGATGAAATCCCACAAGGTATGACAATTATAACGTCGGTTAAGGTATTGGGTTATTATGCTCTATCATGCCCATCGGTTGCCTCTTTTTCCCGTTCAGTTTTGTTTACCGAGTTAACACCAAAACTCCATTTTCTGTGCCTTTGATAGCTGTACGCCAAATGCAGGCAATCATTCTCACCATGATGCAAGGACCACCACTCCCAGGCATTGATGCCAAGACCGTATTATGCATTGAAGCATTACGAAACGGATGTCGTATGCAGGATGAATGGACCTTATGGAATGATTTCATTATAGACTTGAAGCAACGTCTCGACAATGATACTTTCAGTATTGATCGTAGTAAGGTCTGGGACGGGATTGTTGCGAAAAAGTTGGGTCTGCTGGTCAATCCTACTCCTGCTTATGGTGAAGTGGTTCCTACTGTTGAAGAGGTTGCCAAGGTAAAGCAGTTGCTTTATTGGGGTGTTTGAGTTCATATTTGGTCTTGTGTCTTGTCTGCGATGTCTGCAACGGGATCGTAGCATTTTTCTCCATCATTCACAGTGAGTTTTTTTGTTTCTCAATTTGTAACAACCGGTTTCTCTCCCTTGTTGTCTAGTTCTTGGGTGAAGATAACACTGGAGTGAATGCACCAGATGAACCTGTTGAAATGATGGAAGAAGATGAGTTGGATTGAGGTGTTGTGCTTATGTATATATCGACCGGAACGAGGTTTGAGTCACATAGACTGTAAGAATAAGGGGCTTTTTTCGCAAACCTTGTATATTTTTTCATTGAGACCTTGCTAAATAAAAGAAGACGTAACCCAACTATCGATTGAAACCTTACGTTTGTTGCGTCAGTCAAACTTTCTCAAACCATCTTGCATTAAGTTATCTATATTTTCTATTCATAATTTATTGATATGTTGCAATGCTAACTTTTCAATGTCCATCTCTTGTTAATTACATACGTTTCTTATTTTCAAACGGTTCGTCTGCTGTTGAGTTGCGTTTAGCTGAGGTCCTTTGCGAATTTGATTGCTCCTTTGGAGGTAGTTCCCATCTAACAAAAAGGCAAAAAACCCCGAAATTGTGAGAGCTGAATAAGATTACAACAACCCATATCTTTCTCAAAGTAACAACTCACATGGCTTGGGCATTTGGTGTCCTCGGAGTTTGTGACAATTGTTGTGATCCATGAGGTGTTGAGGGTACTTGCGGTGGAGTTGCCAACACACCAGATATTGCGGAATAATGTCTGGGAGCTGTTCGTGTACTGCCATCTATAATCACTTGAGGTGCCATCAACCCACTCGGTGTAGCACTACCACCACCACTAGAAGTGATTTTCAAATCCGTGTTTTTCAATTTGGCTGGTGTTCCTGTGACTGCTTGACTCGTACTACTACTGTTAATATTACTGTTATTACTGATACCATTGGTTTCGTCATGACTGCGATGTGTGAATAAAAGCTTTTGTGATAAATCATGTCGCTGTTGAGATGCAGAATTGGGACGTATTCCAGTATTGCTTGCTCGTCTGTTTCGAGATGGTGACATATTATACTCTTCATCATCATCGTCGACATCCATTGACGTATCGTCTCGAGCACGACCATTATACTTGTTACGTGGCGTGGGTGTATACGTTCCATAATCATAATCGTCATCAGCTCGTTCAGTGGGTATACTATCCTGCGTAAGCTGTCGATATAGTCGTGTATGGTCCTGATATATGACTGAATGCCTATCACTGAATGACTGTCCTTCTTCGTCATAGCATACAACACCCTTTTCTTTCAGGCATTGACGGAAGGCAGCCTGGACTTCGTGCTGTTTTCGTTCGTCTCGACAGAATAATCGGAGTTGGAGTTCTTCGAATTTGGCTGGGACGAGGGAGCTGCATGCGGATCCAGAGAGGGAGAAGGAGGTTGCATCATTGTGACGGTTGTAGAATTTGACGAGTTCTGCTGGATTCTTTTCACCGTTTCTAACGTAAAAAAATATGCGTTAGGTTTGAGTGGGCATATTGGCTTCTCCAAATTTCTCCTTCTTCGACACAGACTCACCCAAAGTTCAACCTCATGAAATCCAAATGCAAATCCTCAGCTCTTATACTCCCATCCGAATACCGACAGACTTCATCAGCAGTAAGATTGTATTGATTCATAAACATATCTTGGGAAGACTCTGACAAGACAACACATTCAAGGCATTTATACAAATCTCGTCTTCGTAATCTGCGTATTATTCCTTGAGATTTGGATAGTGCTGGGTTTTTTGAGTATTCGATTTGATGTATGATGGTATCGTCCAATGACAAGAAAGACTCTGGTTCATCAACTTTGGCAGAGATGCCAAGGACTTCATCAGCTGCTAGTACTAGAAGAATGATGATTGAAAAAGCTATCAGCAACAAACAGGTACCAACTCGAAAGAAGCATGACTTACAAGCGTCCACCAGCATCAATTCTACAGCTTTGGTGCCTTTATGAGTATACAATCTTCGAGACATCTTGTATCTCGCGTTGAATAACTAATAAACGATATTAGAACAGGTCGTAGGTAGATTGTTTGCCCATCAAAAGTAAGCAGCTCATTCTGGTCATTTGCCAACTTACGTCATAGATCTCATTTTGATCAGCTGGTGCCTTGTAACAAATCTCGTTGTTTATGACTCTTGAAAACTTCATGAAGCGAGAATAATCGAATTCCTTATGTCCGAAAACGTTGAGAGAATCACGCAACAAGTAGTCAAACTTGTCAACGTCAATTGAGCTAGTCTTGTTTGCCACCTACAAAAGTAACAAAGATGGCGAAAAGAGGTTTTTGTAAAAAAAACGATAATTGAAGGTTCCTCAACACACATAACTTACGATCTGGAAACAAAACTTGCGCTCAATCTCTCTCATAGACACACCACGATCAAGTTCTCTTGGCATCTCACCAACAATCAACCTCGTGATAAACTCTTTATCATTGATGAGATTTGTAATCATTTTGACTTGATTCGTATCCAGATCAGGATTATTGCCCTTCCATTCTTCCGTCATGATATAATCCAGCATGACTCCAGACTGTGCCTCATGAGTCCATTGCTTTTGTGGAGCAGCTTGTTTCATGAATTCGTTATCAAAGACATGAGAGAAGGGGCCGTGACCTAGATCATGGCAGAGACCAGCGAGTTTGACACATGAGCGTTCGGATTCTGAAATGTCTAGTTCTGGTTGATTGTGTATGAAGTGATTCATCATTTGTCCAGCGATATAGCCTGTACCGATGCTATGTTCGAATCTGTTGTGTGTTGCTCCTGGAAAGACGTAATAGCATGCCCCCAGTTGTTTGATTTCTCGCAGTCTTTGAAACTAGGAAAACGATGTTTGATGTCAGTTTGATTACATCAATAGAAGACGGGCGCGAGTGACGAGAGGGTCAAAAGCCAAAAAATATGTAGCTAGTAAATTGATATGCCTCTTCATAATATATGCATGCTGCTCCTCTTTGTCGTTAAGTCAAAAACCAAAACTTCGATTTCCTTGTGAATGGACTTACTGCTCGAGTATCTATGATCGCGACATCAAAGGGATCCAGATCTATGAGTCCATGGATGGGATCGTTAAGGACTTTTGTCCTCTTCAGATTCAACCCATACGACCCCATCGTTTTCGACGATTTTTCAAAACATAGTGAACATAAATGTCACAAAAAGGCGCAGTTTCTGTATTTCGCGACTTCGCCAAATTAATGCCGATGCAAATCTACAACAATCTTATTTTCAGTGCTATTTACAATGTCTAGCTTCAGTATCACCACAATAGGCCTGTAGTTCATTCTAAATTTACATCCCTAACTTCCTTGCCATACATATGTTTGCCAGCTATTTCCAACATGTTTGCAGCATCTGGATGAGTATCGAGTATCGATTTCTTGTCTGGCATCATATTCTCGTCGACTTCTTTACGAGTTACCAACCACACTTCCACTAACAAATCGTTCAACAGGTTATTGTGAGTTGCATTATGGCATTTGACCGTCATAGCGACTTATTTCGATCGTCCATAAGTCACAGAACTGACCTGTGTCAATCTTGAATTCCTCACTTGCAGAAAGCCTTGGAGAATTGAATGTTGTGGATACTGGGTTGGCTTTAGAGTGCCCTGTCTCAAACGATGAGTTCACGTACAATGCGAAATAATCCATTTGACCTCCCATGCCTAAAAAGCTATATGCTGAGATTGTGATCAACTTGTTTTCCGAATGACCAGGTGTACATACCTAGCCCGTTTGTCAAAGTTGACGTTCCATGATTGAAATACTGATAATTCTTATTATACCCAGTTGGAGTAAAGACGCCAATCTTTGGTCTCAATCCACACAAAAAACTTGACGAATCACCAAAGAATTTGGGTGAGAGATTCCAGGCTTCGCTGGCAAATCCCCCAAAGACACAACCTTGTTTATCACGTATTATCAGCAAAGTTGCACCTGCATCCTGTATACTATTTTGAAAGAGTGTCCATGATTTGCCGTCTCGTTGTGTAGAGAATAGGAGTGGCCATTCAGTCGATATTCGGTGCTAGAAACAGAGCGTGAGTATCTTGAACGCACACTCAGAATAGACAATAAGAATAACCGATGTGAGCATACGTTTGGAGCCAATGATGAATCAATCGTTAACACATCCTCGTGACTAAGTAGCAACGAAGGTCGAGAGAGGGTTGGAGCGACACGGAAAGGTCTTGGTGTCTTTTCTGTTGATGCTGGCGGTATCTCGAAAAGGCATGCTTCAAACAGCATCTTCCATAACCGTATAATCAGCATCTGATTCTCGGCCCAAAGTCCAAACTCACTATCTAATCCAGGACCAGTTGTGTCACTGCCCTCATCGAGGAAATGGTCTGCTGTATGCGACTTGGGAGCCGATAAAAGAAATTCTATAAAGCGGTCTGATGGTGTATACGTTGTCTGACGTGGAGGTTGAAAACATCTAAGACCACCAGTAGCGATATCCGTCACCAATTGCTTTGCATTCAAACGAGGAGCTGACCCTTTATACGTATCAGCTAACTGCTGTAGTATTCCTCGATCTGGGTTACATAGTTTGGATGCAAGCAGAGCCAGATCCTGCAATGTCCAAACTGCACATTCCGGAGTTGAAGGTTGCGCGATAACTGCAGAAGCTAGAGCATTTGAGGCGAATTTACGTAGATGAGCCTAAGATCGAGTAGAGAATCGTCAGATTTTAGGTTAAAAATGGAATGTTACAAGAAACAGAATAATTGAAACCCAGCTTACTTCTACACTGTTTGAAGTCAGCGGTTTCCCTGAAGAGAGTCTGTCGTAAAGCGACGTGAGATCACGCTGTTCAGAGGCCGATAAAGAATTCAAGTGGTTGGCCTTTCGATTTGAGCTCGAGCTGTTGCCCATACTTTCTTATTATTGTCAGTCTCCGGTTTCTAGTGTTGTACTAGAAATGTGAAAACTACGCGATCAAGACAACAACAAAATCAACAAAGTGGAACGTAAGATTTAATGCCTCTATTTAATCAATTGAATTATTTATTAAGGTCTTCAGAAGATACCCGTCAGACGCGTTAAACCAAGCATCTTTTCGAATCTTGAGACCAAAGTCCATTGTAACGTGAAGATCAAGGTCTGACGACTTCATAGTCCCTGGAATTAATGAACATATTAGCCACAACGCTCTCAGAGCGCTACTCGCGCAACCGAACTCTTACCAGCCTCTCCAATCGAACCGTTGCGATACTCTACTCATACCGCCATCATCATTCCACTCGTAGCTTGATCCAGGAAGTCGACTGGTGTTGCTTGTACCATCATGGAATACAACGTCAAAGTGCTGCCAATTTGGTTCTCGCAACACCCTGAAATATTCCTGTCAACCAGAATTTTATGTTAAGCACCACGTTCGTTGAGATAAGACCAAGACAGCAATCTGCTTACATTGGTAGTTCCAGGCCATATCTTCACGTCACCTTGCTTAAACTTGTACCAGCCTCCGGTTCCTTCAGAGGTCCAAATAGTCTTTTTGAGGAACTCTTGCCCCTTTACATACCATTCGTGCTGATATTTTGCGTTTGGTTCAATGGCTTTGATGCTACAGTGTGAATTTTGGTGCGTGTAAGTCATTTGAGACATGAACCACTAGTTGAAACACAAAGATTCTGCCAAGATTTTTACAATTTTTCCACAAGGTACTCAACTCGTATGTATGCGCAATCAGAATGAGCTGCCAAAAGTATTTGCTCAATCTCTCTATAATCGGGAGTGCACTGTTGGTTCCAACAGGCGAGCTGGGTCCCAAAGAGAAGAAGAGATTTGGAAACTTGGCTACAGCAAGCCCATAGTAGGCTTCGGCATGATCTTGCCATAGATCTTGTAAAGTGGCACCATTCTTTCCAGTGCATTTGAAGCGAGGAACAAAGTTCGTATTGTAACCAGTGGCGACGCAGATGACATCCGCATCGTAATGAACGCCATCGACTGTAGTTATTCCTGTGGGGGTGATTTCCTTTACTCCATCAGTCACCAACGTGACTCTAGGATCTTGTATTCTACAAGCCACCAACTATCGTCAGCATTCGTCATAGTTGTGAGCCGAGTACAAAGCATGCATACTTTGCGAGATACGAGTCGTGTGGAGTTAAACGTCTCGCTCCCACCGGATAAGTCGGAAGCAGCTTCTGTAAAAGCTTTTCGTCATTTACTTGCTTCTTCATGTTTTTAGTTGCAATCTGGTGAATATGTATAAGAAATCGAGCAGAAAGTCAATGCAACAAAATACAGAAGGAGGAACACATACACTCATGGCTTTTTGAGCCTTTTGAGATCCTTTGATAAACATATCCATTTCCAACTCAAAGAAGTCATACATTTCTTGTCGGTACCTTTCAGAATACGCTCGATCTTGTGCATGCTTTTTCTTGTCTGAAATGGGTGGAGTATTGCGATTTCAGTGAAAGCTTCTGAAGCATATTCAAGAATGATACGGATGAAGAAGCCCTTAAAGAACATTACCTTCTTCGGAAAAGACACCCTTCAGACGATACGGCATTATCCATGAAGGTGTGCGTTGAATTATGGTCATGCTTTTCACTTGGAACTTGTCTTCCAGCAGAGCAGGGATTAATTGAATGGCTGATGCCCCAGTTCCAATCACCATCACCTTCTTGTCCCGAAAATCATAACTGTCATCCCACCTAGATTTTGGCAGGTAACGTTTGAGTTTCAGACATCGGACGTTCCCAAAAATGCGTCTTACCTTGCAGTGTGAATCTTGGGACCCAGGAATGATTCATATCCACGTATCTCGGTAGGATACTTTGGTGAGTTTAGAACACCAGTGCCATTTATAAAGAAATTACACCAATCACGACCATGACGTTCTCCCTGTGGTGTCGTTTCAGTCCAGGAAACATAGTAAATGCCCTTCGCGTCATCCCAATCCAGTGACGTTATAAATGTGTTGAATTGAGTGTGTTCATAGACTCCAACGTCTCTTGCCACGCGATCAAAGTATTGTCCTGAATACGTAAATGATACTCTCAGTTTGGATATTAAGTAGCCAGCTCATCACATAATTTTCTTGAATAGTAACACGCTCGACGAACCCCACATACCAATTTCTTGCCAGCCACAATATGGGCGACTCCAGTTTGGATTGTGAGCAAATGTGAATGAATACGAATGTGACGGGACCTAATGTGTGTGGCAATAAGAATCAAGATTTGAAGAAGCTCTCACGTCCAATCCATTCAACGCTTACATCGCAGGCAGCGCCAGGGTATCTTGTCTCGTACCAAGTACCTCCTGGTGCTGATGATTTCTCTATTGTGGTTAATGGCTGTCAGCGGCTGATGATGGTGCAATATTTAAATTGTTGAGATCGTCAACATGTGCGTGATATTCCAGTCCCAGCCTTCATCGCCTCAGGCCTACAATAGCCAATCATGTAATCGCTCCTTTGTCATAACTCGAGCAGGCCTCCAGCGTATGCTCAACAAGATGTCCCACAAATTATTTGATGTTCTGATTTGGCAGAATAGAGGAGAGCATCTCAAGACATACTTACCATAAACCTGTAATTCAATGTCTTTCAGAGATGCAGATCTCTTCCACTCTCGAACCATACTATTGTGCAGACCAAAACTCAGTTCAAACTCCATTCGTGGGTTCAAAACATACGCAAACCAACATACCATATTCCAGATGCACCGGCTCCAGCGCAAATGACTCTTGTTTGGCGCTTCGACGAAGCTCCACTACTAGCTTGCAAATGGTTGGCGATTGCCGAAAGTCTCTCCATGTCCTTCGATATTTCGTGGGATTTGATGCAAAGACATGTATCATAAATTAGCAGAGCGGGTATTTTGAGATGAACGAATTAATCATGAATCTGACTACTTAGTGTTGAACGCGTCCCTTCCTGCTTAGAATACCTCATTTGCTCCATTCTCTGTATAATACCTTATAGGACGAAGTACACACTCACGTGCATTTTAGATAGAAGGAGGTGCTGTAACCAAGTGATTCAAATCTGAATAAACTCGATTTGTAAGGATTGCTTGGCACCGCTGGTGTTAGATATCTATGTTTCAAACTTGTTTAAACGTTTGGACCAACCACACACACAATTATCTGCAGGGCAAGACGACAAGACACCGATGTGAAAGAATACACGTTAATTAAAGATTTTCTTCTTCAAAACGTGACTCCAAGGTTCAGTCGGAACGAAGATTTTTGAGTATAAGTCCACCGATTCACAATAGTCAAGGGCGCTTGCAGAGTCTTCCCCGCGTAAAAGACATTAATCCAGAGATATTTCAGGCGTGTACGGCAGTCTGTAAGAGGCACACGTTTGTTGGATAATGTAAGTTTGCGGTAGGTGCAACAACCATTGCAACTATCTTAGACGGGAAGAACCATTAATTTCGTGTCAATCACGTTTACAAAGCCGTATTTTGGCGTATGAGACTGTCAAAAATGACAACAGTCTTTTAACCTCAAAGCTTCAAACGGCGATTCTTCAAGACGAGCACAATGAATCTCCGTTGCATTGGGCACATCCGACTACAAGCTTGAAACTGGTCTAGTATGCGTCGACAAAGGTGTATACACGTAACACTGAAGGTCGGTCAACACCTCTGATGTCTACAGATATGGTATTCACGACATGAAAGTGCTATTTACAAAAGATGCTCAACAGATACCTGAATCTAAGCAATCACTTCTTATTCCTCCTGAATATAGGATGCAGCAAGTTTGCATCATTTGGAGGTTTCTGCTGGCCTGATTGTAATCTTGCAATTTTGTCGTCAAGAGCCTTTTCACGTAGCTTGTCTAGTGTTTCGTCCGTAGTACTAGTTCAAATACAAATACGAAATTAGTGCTTTGAACGAGTTGTGTGGCAAGTAACATTGATGTGAGCTCACAATTGGCGCAAGCAATCATTCATGGCCTTGTTTGTTGCTTGACAAGCGAAAAAGACACGTACGGTGCCGTGTTTACTGCATTCCGCGAATGCGGATACGAATTCTAGATTTGTTTTGTCGATTGTTAGTGTACGATCGATTGTCTGGGAAGGAGTTGACACGATTTACCATCGCAGTTTTTCAAAGCTGTCTTCTTCATGGACCTGAGACATGCCTCTTCTTCCCATGAGTTTAGCACTGTTATGATGAGCTGGCCTTCCTCCGTTCTCTCTGTAGCCATTTGAAAGGGTTGAGTTGAACGTGTGTCTAGAGCTTGCTGACTACTTGATTATCAAGCAAAGGCTGTCTGCAGTTTGACCCCAACTCATCTAATCGCATCCATCAAAAGAAGAGAACAAACATGGTAAGTCCAATAAGGAGATCTATAAATCACATCTGCATCATGGTGGAAATCTCGTTTTTGCCCCTACATTGAATATGGGATGTGGAAAACTTGAAATACGTCGAAGGAATCATGACAGGGGAATTTTATTGCTATAGAGGGGAGAGAGACAACATAGCCGCTTAGATTCCACTTTATCAAAGCAACCATGAGCAGCAGCAGCCCTCTCGTCACTCTCCTTCTTGTGTTTCCCATAAACATCAACCACATCCCAACATCAACAGCTCACACGTCTCTCCTTTGTAGCCACCAAAGGCAAAGAAAGTCGTGAAAGAAGTTGAAAACATTCAACTGGGTCCCGTAGCAAAAGCCGGAGAGAATATATTTGGTGTTGCTCACATCTTTGCCAGTTTCAACGATACATTCGTGGTAAGTTGCTCATAGAGTAGATATAGTGGAAATATGAATGACGTTGGACGATGCTTATATATGAAATCGTTGGATTTGGAATGCTTGAAATAGGGCCCACGAAACATCAGTAGATTTCGAACACTTTTAGGCCTTGCAAACAAAATCATCGACAGGTTACTTGCATACAACTCTAACATCCATATCGTATTCTAGCACGTGACGGATTTAACTGGTCGTGAAACTCTAGTCCGAGTCACTGGTGGTATGAAAGTCAAGGCCGATCGAGATGAATCATCACCATACGCTGCCATGTTGGCTGCTCAAGATGTAGCTCAACGATGCAAGGAATTGGGATTGACTGCTCTGCACATCAAATTACGTGCCACTGGCGGTAATGGAACAAAAACACCAGGTCCTGGTGCTCAATCAGCTCTACGAGCCTTGGCTCGTTCTGGTATGAAGATTGGAAGGATTGAAGACGTCACACCCGTCCCAACTGATTCGACCAGACGTAAAGGTGGTCGTAGAGGTCGTCGTCTATAAATTCAGCATATACTTGTTTGTTTTGCTGTCTTGTACTTATAAAACCGAGCATCACATCATAACATCGTTTGGGAGTGTGTTTTACGATTTGGAATTTATGTATTTTGAAAGACCAAGACTGCGAATGATATAAATGTGCAGAGATTATACAATTGGTGGCAGCTACAAGACAAACACTATGCGAGTCCATACTAACAAAACGACGACGTCCTTGATTCAGACTCCTAACAAAATAATTTTAATATCCATATCATGCTTCATCAATACGGAAGAAACGACTCCTATGAGCCGTTCTGTTTTCATGACGAGTATCCGCTAGACTTTGTTCATACGTTGGGGGCGTCCCGCAGACCACTACCGCTTCATTCTCTACACATGTCTCAATCTCCTTTGGTACATGCAGCACCGTCGTATGCTCCTCTATCGTATCGGGCCCCTTCATAAGCGCCAACGACGAAATCCGTTTCAGCATTGTCGACTTTCGTTTCTCATGTACCGTTATAGGTGACACTGGCACCGCAAATGCTTCACATCCTGGACTTTCTAGTGATCCATAAAACGATGATGTCGACGGTGACGGTGGTGGCATATGATTAAATGGCGTCCTGCTTAATGATGATGGTGATGCTGATGATGTAAATCCATTCGAGTTTGGGCTTCGTGGTGCTGAGAAGACTACTTCAAAGGGTTGTGTTGTGGTTATTATGGTTCGTTTACGGATTATCCATTGGCGGAAGCGGAGCAGTGCGCATGGTATAATGAGAGCTAGTACTAGTAATGGTACAACCAGATATAGGAGGAATTGCGTTAGGCCTGGTGGCTGTGACTGTGATTGAGTATCTGACGATGGATTTGGTGTTGTCTGTGTTATTGGGACTGTATACGCCTATATATGGTTGAGGATTGAAATAGGTGTGAGTCAATGAGGGACTTGCAAACACACGGCTGAAGAATCAAGTAGCCATATACGGTCGGGAAAGCGTGCTGCCAGTGACCGTGTGTCCATAACAGAGTCCACGTAACGAACTTTCTTGCCAGTGCCACCAAGATGTGGTTCTGACTCACACCAGCCACAAGCTGACTCACCGGTTGAGGATTCGAACTAGTACTCCCACCAACGTTTGGTATAGAATTGAGTTCTAAAGCCACTAGAGATGGAAGTAGACAGTCTGTTGCGTTGCACTGCAAGGCTTGATTCCAAATGCGACAGAACCCAGGCGTCAGAGTCTCGTTTACAGCATAATTAACCACGACCCATCCATATCTACAAGATACCCACAGTAACGACGACTAAGAATGAGTACTGATCGTGAAAATCGATTCAAAAACGGCAAAGCGTACCCTCCCAGGCCGTTATCCACTCGCTCGATACATAGAGAATCTTCAGGTGATTCGCAGTATGAGTTCAAAAAGCATAGCTGCCGGCCACAGGATGTTGTTAGAGGTATGTCTAGGCAGGTTTGCCGTGACTCGAGCGGTGCCAGAGAATCAGAGGAATAACACTGGGGGTATGTGATGTCGGAATTCTCGGCAGTTTGTATGCATTGCTGGGGAGCTAGAGATGGCATATTGGCTGGAGAATCTATATAAATATACGGGCGAGCTGTGTGGTTGAAACTCCAAACACCTTAAACAGTACGATCCAACATTGTACTATGTGTGGCGAGAATGGGGCCGGTCAGACTCGAATTGTTTGGATGGCATCGAGCATTTACATACCAGAGCAGCACTGGGATCCTATTCTTTTGGTCGGGGTGACTATGAACCTCTTTGTTTTTCGGGTCGAGGGTCTAATTAACTTTTTCACGTTCCGGTGGTGGTGGACCTTGGATCTTTTGCGAGAAAACACACCGCCAGAGTACAAACTGGAAGATCGGATCGATATTTGTATGGCAACCGTGTCAAAACACGGAATCTTCTCCTGCCTCTTCCTCGTATTGAGATCCGCCGAGAACTGAAAAAACGTTCCCAAAGAGTCATCCACAGATTACTTGGGTGCTCTCTGCAAAATCGACCGATGCCTATTATTTTGTGCCCTAAACTGTCGCGTCCTCCCAAATGACACGTCTGTTCCGTTTCGGTCTTAAAAAGTACGAAAACATTCAACTCCGAGACAAAACATCATGCTCTTACTACCAATCGCCATACTCGCCTTCTGCTCAAATTATGTTCAGAGCGCCTATATCGGAACTGCTGCATCAGTCTCGGCAAGCACGTCGGATCCTGTTGCTTCAAAACAACAGCTGCAAAAACGTGATACTGGCACCCGACCATTACTGGCGAATACGGATTTGATTTCTGAAACTCAATTGAATGTCGGTACTAGTCTGGTCAGTACAGCGGAGGGACCAACTGAAGGGGTCACGTTGGGTGTGTGATTTCTCACGGGAAACTGTCAACCCCTTTTCTTGCTAAGGGTTGCTCAATTTCATTTGCTTTAGAACTGGCATCGCTGGCCGTTTATGCGGCAGTCATTTACTCAAGTGTGTCCTTTTGAATGTTAATGTCTCTGGAGGACACATTGACTGTTTGACATATTTGCCCGCAACATCCGTCGTGTATAGCCTTTGCTATTGCTACTGTATTGTCGACACTTGCCGGACCAGGAGTGTCTGTCGTCGGGCTGTCACTTTTTGCAGGACTTTATGGAAGTTTCTTTTTGGTCAATATTTTCTACGATTTCTTCCTGAGAGTAAAGGATTTCTGTGTCCGGTTTGTCAATGCATTCTTATTCATGTATCGCAGACCTGCCAGACACGATTCTACTGTGAGTTGTCTTTGACGTGTGTCAAAATCACGCTGCAAGACTGAGTTTCTTGTTTGTTTCTCAAACAGCCAGAGGTCTTCGTCGCATCTACGTCAAGGCGTCGTGTCTCAAGGCCGTCTCCCGCCCGGAATGTCGATGACAAGAAACTAAGAAGAACGAAAAGTGACTCAAATATCGTTTGTAAGTCCGATTTGTTATGTACGCCGTTACGTGCGATGTCGTTTCGAATAAATTCTGTCTTTTTCGTTTGTCGAAAGCTGTCGCTCCTAGCTGTATTTGCTTTTCTCCAACAGACAGGAGTGGAACTTTTATTCAACGCTTTGGATCTGCTCTGGATTCTGACAATCAACCTAGCGGAAGTGAGTAGTAGCGTAAGCGTCTCACTCAAGAGCTCAACAAAATAAACTCCCAAATCCCTTGTTGATAGAAGACTTACGATTGGCTGATGAAAAGGCGCCCCAGTCCGAGGATTTGACTTCAACGGTGTTGCTGGCCAATGAAGATATTTATCAAGATGAATTGGCTTATGAGAATACTCAGCCGCATGAAGACGTCAGGCCTCAAAGTCCAGACGCAACTACTCATGCCTTCCGCGAAGACAAGGAAGTTGTCGGGAATATGAAATTGGGCCCAGATGTCGTCGTCGAGCTTCAAGGCGATGATGAACCTCTTGTTCTTGACAAACTTTCTGAGCTCGCAACTGAATTCAAGGATTGGGGCATTGGTGACAACATGTTGTCAGGATTGTGTATAGCGACGATCATTTAATTTCTTTTTGCACTTTCTGCCACTAGTCGAAGCATCATCGTCAAGGAGCATGTTCGAGACAGAGAAAAGGGCGGTGATAGAGTCTATCAATTCTTTTGTAAACGTGAATGAGGTTATGGAGGCTGTACTGTCTGGCAAAGGTACAGTCTCTTTTAATAATTGAGCCATCGTTTGATCAAACACTCAGTGCCGAAGCTTGTTTAATTTTTTCCTCCAGACATCGACCATATTGTATCTTCAGACCCTGGTTCCCACCCCTCCTCTGGTGGTCAGAGCCACGGTGAAAGTCGTGGACGTGACATCTCACGAATCGAAGCAGCTACACTGTCGCGCAGTGGAAGGGAATTCATGATTGATGATACAAGTGAGCATTATGTGTAAAGCCTGACAACAAGGTCGATGTATTCACATCAGCCCTTCTTCAACGCAGTGCCTGTCCACGTTCCGGATCGAGTTGATCAATTTGAACGAATTAATCACGTTTCTGCTTTTGAAAGTATGTAAAGGCGTTCGTATCATTGTTTTAGTGCATAATTCTTTCTCAATCTCTAATTTTGGATTTGTAGTTGAATCACCTGCTCGTGAAATGCGAAGCGGCGGTGGAAGAAGTCCTCGTCGCCAAGAGGACAAATGTGTTACCCTGTAGTAACTACAAGAAGAGCATTAGATCGACAAGTATAAATACATCCAATTGATCTCAGTTTCTGACTGAGTATGGTCTTCCTTTTTCTTTGTTCTCGCGTTGAGACTTTTGTTATGGTAGAGAGATTCAAGGGAGAATCATAAGAGCCAGTGAAAGCGCCAGGGTGCTTTTCATAAGTAGCATTTCATATGTGGTATCTCTATGGAAGGGCGATCGCTTATTAACTTGAGGCCATGGACAACCAGGGGTTTCAGAACCGTCGATTCGATTTGTGAAGCGTTCACTGGGGCAGACTAGCCCCAATTAAGTATGCTGCCTTAGAAATCGTTCAACACCCAGATTTTCCTGGAAGTTTCAAGTGTCAATTTCAAAGTTTGATGTCAACCATTGAACAGAACAAGACCAAACATGTTTAAAGTATCCATCGTAGTACTTTCTCTTGTATCTATCTGTATTGCTTGGACTGTTCCCAACGATGGAATCGAGCTCTACGATCTGCATCCATTGCATTCTGCTCAATTCAACGTAAATGACGACTATGGCCATCGACACGTCTCGAAATTCAAAAAGCGCTCTCTCAAACATCGATTTGACGGAGAGACGACTAGTGTCGCATCTACTGCAAGCTCAGAACAACAAGCTGATGAATGTAGATTCGGTATGCTGCTGTCATCAAGTTCTGTCAAAAACACCTTTGAAGTTTCAGTTAGGTAAAGAATAAACAGCGAGCTCACGGGATTCTCTGTCCTGTATTTCCAATAGGAAATTGCCTTGTACGTGCTTTCCGAAGGTTTCAATCCACGGCCTTCTACTCCAGGGCGGTCGAGACGCTACACCGTGTTATTGGAAGTGTTGTTAGATTCTTTCTGTCAATGAAGGATTTCTTTTCGAGGTCTTTCCAAGTCGCCATGTATCGCAGAGCAGCAGCCAGACACCAATCTCTTGTGAGTTTGTTGGATGCTGTCACAGCTCGCTTCAAATCAAGCACAAGCTGATTTCTCTCCACAGCAGCCAGAGGTGGTTGTAACAGATACTTCGATGGTTTATGCTCTTGTGCCATCGCCTCACTTGATCGTGGATGACAAGACTCTGACGAGAGCAAAAAGTGAATCGCATCTCGAGGGCAAGCCTCATTGTAGATCTTGTTTTCAAATACGCTCACTCATATTTGCTCTTGCCTGTTCGAATAGCATTCGGTGAGGATGACCGCTTTATCCAACACTATGGTTTTGACCTTGATTCTGTTTCTGATGAAGGTTCTAGTAGCGGTGAGCTAATTTATTTCGATCACTGACTCCGGTCTATGTCTAATTCACTTTAACACATGTCTTCAAATCATAGAAAAGCCACCATTGGCCCACAAAGGTCGGTCTCGGTCTGAAGACTGGTCCTCAGCTATCTTATGGAAGGAAGAGGAGGATACTCAGCAAAAAGAATTGCAGAGTGCCAAAATTCATCCAAGTGACGACGTGGATTCGGAAGGCTCATATTCTACTGTTATTATCCGTGACGACATTGAACAGAGGCCATTCGATTCCCAGCAAGCAGCTAATGAGCCTCAAACTGCAGCTGTCTCGCTAGACAGTGGAGATAATCATCCAAATGACGACTGCAAGTCTCAAAACTCAGACACTCGTCACTTTAAAGATCTGGATTTTTATAGCTCTGACGGATCTGCATACACTGTGGTTTTGGAAACTGTTGGAGATGTAACATTCGTACGAGTTCCAGACAACGATGTCGAGTCTGAGGCTGATAGTAATGATGATATTCTTGCTGTGCTTGATGGCCTCGACTTGGTGAAGTTTGGATTTGGTAAAATAGAAATCTGGCCCGCCGTGCGGATGTCTAAACCGACTAACTCCTTTCTTTTCCACAAACAAGTCGAACCATTGAAGGAAGAACTGACCGCAGCGAGGAGGGAGTCTCTTGCTGCTTTACCACGAGAAGATGATACCCTGGAGCATGTAGGCTCTGGCGAAGGTATGAAGAATTACGCATCCGTTTTCTTCTTCTACTTCAAATTATATATCGGGTAACCCTTGTTGCAGGTCAAGGTTCCTCCTCTGGTAGTCAGACCCACGATGAAGGTCGTCACGATGAACCTCAGGGACTTGATATCTCACGTATGGAAGAGCAAGGTTTACGATCTACCCGACCACTCTTTAACATTGATGTTCCAAGTAAGTAGTCGAACAATGTGCCATTGGAGACTCGAAACAATCTCAAGCCCTCAAATCTTCAAACAATCCCTTGTGCAGTTGAACCCAGTGTTCCAGAGCGAATCGCAAAGTTTGAACTGCCAAAAGGCTCATTTGGCTGTAAGTAAAACTTTTTTGAAACATCTTTGAGCAAAATAAGCATCTCAATCCCTTTATTTCCCTCTTTTC